GTTGCACTTCGTTACGTTCAACTGTTTAAAGATTACAGTGGGTTAATAGGTTACAGGTGTGTTGAACTCCACTTCGTTGCACTTCGTTACGTTCAACTGTTTATAGATTACAGTAGGTTCATAGGTTACTGGTGTGTTGAACTCCACTTCGTTGCACTTCGTTACGTTCAACTGTTTATAGATTACAGTAGGTTTATAGGTTACAGGTGTGTTGAACTCCACTTCGTTGCACTTCGTTACGTTCAACTGTTTATAGATTACAGTAGGTTCATAGGTTACAGGTGTGTTGAACTCCACTTCGTTGCACTTCGTTACGTTCAACTATTTATAGATTACAGTAGGTTTATAGGTTACAGGTGTGTTGAACTTCACTTCGTTACGTTCAACTGTTTATAGATTACAGTAGGTTTATAGGTTACAGGTGTGTTGAACTCCACTTCGTTGCACTTCGTTACGTTCAACTATTTATAGATTACAGTAGGTTTATAGGTTACAGGTGTGTTGAACTTCACTTCGTTACGTTCAACTGTTTATAGATTACAGTAGGTTTATAGGTTACAGGTGTGTTGAACTTCACTTCGTTGCACTTCGTTACGTTCAACTGTTTAAAGATTACAGTGGGTTAATAGGTTACAGGTGTGTTGAACTCCACTTCGTTGCACTTCGTTACGTTCAACTGTTTATAGATTACAGTAGGTTCATAGGTTACAGGTGTGTTGAACTCCACTTCGTTGCACTTCGTTACGTTCAACTATTTATAGATTACAGTAGGTTTATAGGTTACAGGTGTGTTGAACTTCACTTCGTTACGTTCAACTGTTTATAGATTACAGTAGGTTTATAGGTTACAGGTGTGTTGAACTCCACTTCGTTACGTTCAACTATTTATAGATTACAGTAGGTTTATAGGTTACAGGTGTGTTGAACTTCACTTCGTTACGTTCAACTGTTTATAGATTACAGTAGGTTTATAGGTTACAGGTGTGTTGAACTTCACTTCGTTGCACTTCGTTACGTTCAACTGTTTATAGATTACAGTAGGTTCATAGGTTACTGGTGTGTTGAACTCCACTTCGTTGCACTTCGTTACGTTCAACTGTTTATAGATTACAGTAGGTTTATAGGTTACAGGTGTGTTGAACTTCACTTCGTTGCACTTCGTTACGTTTAACTGTTTATAGATTACAGTAGGTTTATAGGTTACAGGTGTGTTGAACTTCACTTCGTTGCACTTCGTTACGTTCAACTGTTTAAAGATTACAGTGGGTTAATAGGTTACAGGTGTGTTGAACTCCACTTCGTTGCACTTCGTTACGTTCAACTGTTTATAGATTACAGTAGGTTCATAGGTTACTGGTGTGTTGAACTCCACTTCGTTGCACTTCGTTACGTTCAACTGTTTATAGATTACAGTAGGTTTATAGGTTACAGGTGTGTTGAACTTCACTTCGTTGCACTTCGTTACGTTCAACTGTTTAAAGATTACAGTGGGTTTATAGGTTACAGGTGTGTTGAACTCCACTTCGTTGCACTTCGTTACGTTCAACTGTTTATAGATTACAGTAGGTTCATAGGTTACTGGTGTGTTGAACTCAACTTCGTTTCACTCCGTTACGTTCAACTGTTTATAAATTACCAGTTTTCAATGGGAAATTAGTAACGACTTTCAAAATTTTTCATTCGTTTTATAAAATTTAATTTTTTTAAAGCATTCATTAGTAAAGTACATTAAAAATCACTCGTAAAGATTTTGTGTTTATCCGAACCATTCCTACTACATAACGTGTGGATTCTTAACATAAAGATGCAAATCAAATCTATATGTAACGTATTTATAACGGATTTTCAAATTTAAATTCAATGAATATCATTCATATGTTATGCAAAAATACGTCAAGCCATTAATAAAAAGAAAAGTCAATTTAATTAAGTTGGTGAAGTGTTATAAATAATGCAATACATTTAAAACAGCATAAATTTATACTCAATCAATGTGTGCTAAATGCACATCGCATATTAATAGTTATTTTGCATAAATTCGTAACGGACTTGTGCTTAACGGTTTTTTTGAAAATTCAAATTTTCACTTACGAATATTCATGAAAAAATTACATGTCAATTTTTTTGTCTTACCAGAATATCTTTAGCTGCTCAAATTTATGGTATAATTAATAATTAGTAATATTAATTAAACTAAAATGAATCATATAAATGACTTTAGAGCATCACAAGTATAATATTTTAAACAAATCAAAATTTCATATCATTGACATTGGATTTTTCTCCCAAATAAAAAAGTTTTATTAAAATTGTACTATAATTAAGCATTTTTGTGGTTCCAATGTGTTAAAATATTGTATTGTCACCGGGAATACGTGTGAATAAAAAAAATGAGCTCGATTGGAGCAGTAGAAGTGGTCGAAAAATTGATTGCAAGATTTGACCAAGACAAACAGAAAGACAGAAAGACAGAAAGACAAGAAAGCAAGTTAAGAAAAACGTGGTAATAAAGAATGCTAATATAGATATAAAATCGATATTTTTTTGAAAAAACCTACTATGATCGAAATCAAAAATGCTTTAAATTGCATTTTAAAACATATCTGGGTATTTTAAATGATAAAGAATGCTAAATATAGATATAAAATCGATATTTTTTTGAAAAAAACCTACTAAGATCGAAATCGAAAATGCTTTAAATTGCATTTTAAAACATATCTAGGTATTATAAATGATAAAGAATGCTAATTTAGATATAAAATCGATATTTTTTTGAAAATAGCCTACTATGATCGAAATCAAAAATGCTTTAAATTGCATTTTAAAACATATCTGGGTATTTTAAATGATAAAGAATGCTAAATATAGATATAAAATCGATATTTTTTTGAAAAAAACCTACTAAGATCGAAATCGAAAATGCTTTAAATTGCATTTTAAAACATATCTAGGTATTATAAATGATAAAGAATGCTAATTTAGATATAAAATCGATATTTTTTTGAAAAAAGCCTGCTAAGATCGAAATCGAAAATGCTTTAAATTGCATTTTAAAACATATCTAGGAATAATAAAATAAAGAATGCTAATATAGATATAAAATCGATATTTTTTTGAAAAAAACCTCCTAAGATCGAAGTCGAAAATGATTTAAATTGCATTTTAAAACATATCTAGGTATAATAAATGATAAAGAATGCTAATTTAGATATAAAATCGATATTTTTTTGAATAACCTACTATGATCGAAATCAAAAATGCTATAAATTGCATTTTAAAACATATCTAGGTATTATAAATGATAAAGAAAGCTAATATAGATATAAAATCGATATTTTTTTGAAAATAGCCTACTATGATCGAAATCAAAAATGCTTTAAATTGCATTTTAAAATAAATCTAGGTATTATAAATGATAAAGAAAGCTAATATAGATATAAAATCGATATTTTTTTGAAAAAAACCTACTAAGATCGAAATCGAAAATGCTTTAAATTGCATTTTAAAACATATCTAGGAATAATAAAATAAAGAATGCTAATTTAGATATAAAATCGATATTTTTTTGAATAACCTACTATGATCGAAATCAAAAATGCTATAAATTGCATTTTAAAACATATCTAGGTATTATAAATGATAAAGAAAGCTAATATTGATATAAAATGGATATTTTTTTGAAAATACCCTACTATGATCGAAATCAAAAATGCTATAAATTGCATTTTAAAACATATCTAGGAATAATAAAATAAAGAATGCTAATATAGATATAAAATCGATATTTTTTTGAAAATAGCCTACTATGATCGAAATCAAAAATGCTATAAATTGCATTTTAAAACATATCTAGGAATAATAAAATAAAGAATGCTAATATAGATATAAAATCGATATTTTTTTGAAAAAAACCTACTAAGATCGAAATTGAAAATGCTTTAAATTGCATTTTAAAACATATCTAGGTATTATAAATGATAAAGAATGCTAATTTAGATATAAAATCGATATTTTTTTGAAAATAGCCTACTATGATCGAAATCAAAAATGCTATAAATTGCATTTTAAAACATATCTAGGAATAATAAAATAAAGAATGCTAATATAGATATAAAATCGATATTTTTTTGAAAAAAACCTCCTAAGATCGAAGTCGAAAATGATTTAAATTGCATTTTAAAACATATCTAGGTATTATAAATGATAAAGAATGCTAATATAGATATAAAATCGATATTTTTTTGAAAATAGCCTACTATGATCGAAATCAAAAATGCTATAAATTGCATTTTAAAAGATATCTAGGTATAATAAATGATAAAGAATGCTAATTTAGATATAAAATCGATATTTTTTTGAATAACCTACTATGATCGAAATCAAAAATGCTATAAATTGCATTTTAAAACATATCTAGGTATTATAAATGATAAAGAAAGCTAATATAGATATAAAATCGATATTTTTTTGAAAATAGCCTACTATGATCGAAATCAAAAATGCTATAAATTGCATTTTAAAACATATCTAGGAATAATAAAATAAAGAATGCTAATATAGATATAAAATCGATATTTTTTTGAAAATAGCCTACTAAGATCGAAATCAAAAATGCTTTAAATTGCATTTTAAAAGATATCTAGGTATAATAAATGATAAAGAATGCTAATTTAGATATAAAATCGATATTTTTTTGAAAATAGCCTACTATGATCGAAATCAAAAATGCTATAAATTGCATTTTAAAACATATAAGAAAACTCACAAAAATGTTGTACTTCGGTAGAAAAGGGGTCGACAAACGGAAATTGTGATTTGGATTGGAACGAATATGATAATTTCATAAAATATTTATTCTAGGAATGAGAGAAAAAGTCTGCTGAAAAAATTAGATAAATTAATTCGTAAAAACCTCCCATGATTAAAGAATTAATACACACATAGAACAAGATTCATTATGACTAGATAAGCTGTGCGCAAAACAGATTCATATAAATGAGGTCCACAAACTTCCTGAAAAGGTAAAATATTAATGCACTTTAAGAATATTGTTCTGATTACATCAATCAATTTTGCATCATCACATTGAAGATGTCAAGAGTAGATTTGAGGAAGTTATTTGTCCTAGACTACTCAGAAGATGAGGGGGGTTAGGGGTTAGTCAAGGAACAAATAAGAAATAAGTTAACATTTTTTTTAAACAAATGCGTTTTTATTATTTTCTTATTACTTAAAATGTATTTAATTTAATATTGTATTGTTATAAATTAACTTATGATTTACTCTTTTAAGAATTTTCGCTATTGTATTAACTTTAACTTAATTTATTCTTTATTTTTTACTTTTCCTTTTTTTCCAATCAGTTTCGCCATCAATTATTTAGCAGTAAAATTGTTTTGGAAAAACATGTTTTTGTTTTCTGTAACATGCAAAACATGACTTATCGCTTACTCGTCTTAAAACTATCTTTTTATTTATTTTTTTTTTTATTTTTTCTTTTAATTTTTTTAATCCAAAAGTGGAACTTTTTCCATTTCTCTTAATTTTTTGTATCGGTCCGAAAATAGTGCTTTTTCTCATTTATTTTTTATTAGGGTAACTCTCATTCAATTTAACATCACCCTATGTATGTATCCCATTTGTTTAAGATTAATTACTTTTTTGCTGAGTTAAACTCAATTTTTTGTTCGTCACTTTGTGAAAAAGTATCTGTTTGATCTTGTAAGCTTTGGAACTGTCACTACAAATTTGAATTTTTATGGCATGTCATTTAGTGAAAAAAAAATTTTTTTCTAAAAAATCCTTGTCAAGTGAACAAAAATTTTGAATTTGAAATGACGGTTATATGTAGTTGCTATAAAATTTCAATTGTCAAATGACAGTTCAAGCTTACATCGATTTGTCACAGTCAATTTACACATTGTACTGGGGGTCCTCGATTTGAGTAGATTCTATTTGAGTAGATTCGATTTGAACAGAAAATTTATTACCCACCAAAATATTCGATTTGAGTAGATTTCTTCCTGTTTTCTTCGATTTGAATTGTTTACAAAACAAATATTTTTGATAAAAACATTTCAGAAAATAATTTTAAAACATAAATTTTACTGCGATAAGCGTGAACTTATCATATTGATAGAAAAATCAATACTAAAGTTACAAAATTAAAGTAAAAATTTAAAAAATCGATATAAAATCAACGATTTTAAAAAGTTCAAATTCAAAAACCTTACAAATTGTTCAGTGAAATAACATTTGCAAGGTTCTCATATTTTTGTTTTGTTTCAAAAACATTTTTTTTGTGAATTTCCGTTTAAAAACAATATGAATATGCGTTGAAATAAATTAAGTTATCTAAAACACAAAGGAAAAGTTAAGAAACGAGGTAAAATGTGCAAAAAATGATCAAAATTTTCATTGTTTTGATACATTTTTTGGACTCAGGAACAAAACATGTAATTTTGTATGGATTCTTTGCCTCGATTTGAATAGATTCGATTTGAGTAGAAATTTTTTGGAACAAAACAACTACTCAAATCGAGGACCCCCAGTATCAGATTTATTTTTAGTAGCCTTGCCAAAATATGCCTTTTTAGATGTTCATTATTTTTGAATCGCCAAAAGTTTTTTTTTAAATTCACCAAAATTATTAAAGAGAAGCTTTTTGAATAGTTTTTTTTATATATGCCAAAAGTTGTTTTTGTTGCTCGGATATTAATTATATCATATGATTCTTCACATTTTTCACAATATATTGTTAATATTCATCTAGTTTTTTTATGTCTAAAGTTCGTACAAAAATGAATTATTTAGTAATTCGCTAAAGTGAACCACAAATTTATTCTCACTTTCAAGCGAAGAGCGCAAAAATTCGATTATCGATAAATTTATCATCTTTTTTTTTTCATTTTCATTTATGTAAAAAAAAATTTCTCTAGTATATGAAAATTAATTCTTTTTCCCTCAAATCAATGAGATGTGATCCGTTTAAGAGCCAAAAAAAGAATTATGTTCTCATTGTGTATTTGCATTGTAAGAAGAAAATTAAAATAATTTAAAAAAATGAACACATCATTGTTTCTTCATTTTCTATCAAAGTCATCAATTTAGTTTCTTTTTATGATTTATGTTTTGTTTCGCCTAGGACAAAAGATTCGGGTTTTAGTAAGTTTTTTTTATTAGTCATCTCAATGTATATACTGTTATGCTCCTTGCTTTCACAAAAATTCTGCATGTAAAATTCATCTTTTTCTCTCATGTGGCAGTTTTAATTTCTTATGTATCATTTTTTAATTCTTTTTGTTTTCAATTGAGGAATTTTCTATAAAGTATCAATTTTCTTTTCAAATCTTTAAAGTTATATGCTGTGGATTGGCTTGTTTTCTTTAGGATTGGATGTTTTCTGAGCCAGCTAGCGTTTAAATCATTCGTGCTCTCACAATGGTACCTCTGAGTATACTGTTTGCCTTTTAAGGTCAATAAGCAATTAATTAATTTGATTCAATTTGGATGGTTTAAGCATAAGAAAAACTTAAGATTGAATTCAATTAATTACTAATTATAGAAAAATAATGAGGGGTTGAGTTGAGGCTAAATTTTGAATCTTATTGAAGGAACCTTTCATATTAGACATTTGATTTTTGATCACAACCGACACAAAAAGATGTCTACAACACATCAGAAAACACAATCCCAAAGCCAATAAGTCATTTTTCGATTCTTGATCAATGATTCTATCCAGTATTTTTTTAAAGTCTCTTTAAAAAATGAGTACTCCTCTACATCATTACACTTTATTTGCATTCATTATAAATCGGTGAATTATGAATTATTTTGCATCATTATTTAGAAAAAAAAGAAGTTTAAAAAGTAATGCTCCAATGTATTACAAATGTGTATGGATTGTGAAATAGGATTCTTATTACACCATTCTTGTTGTGTAAATTCACAATGCATTATCATCTTAAAATGTGTTATTTTTCAGACTTTATCTTCTTTAACTTCCATGCGTGGTAGGCATGGAAGTTATGTTTCTTGTTGAAAAAGCTACCTATATAAAAATGATTAAATAGTCAAAAAGGCAAGATTGTATTCTCATTTTAAATTATAATTATGCAAGAATGGAAAAAAGTTGAAGTCTTATTAATCAGTATGTAATATGTATTAACAGTGTACAGTTTAATGTGTTTGCATTTTCATGCTTTTTTTTCTGCATCATGATCGAAACTATAAACAAAATCCTTTTCTTACATCCCCTCGCGCATTTATGTTAATAAATATAATTTGATTAGAATTGTGCAGCAAAAGAAAAATGTTTATTTAAGTCGGACGAAAATCGTCCCTTCCATAAAAATTTCCCTCCAACCAAGATCAATCCGAACTTTATTTGATATCACGACGATGAGATTATTTTGAGCTGACACAGTTCCTCAAAAATGTGTTAGCCTTAATTGAGCTATTTACTATCCATTCCCTCAATTTTTCATATTTTGGCAGATTCTCTTTTACTTTCTTCATCAAAAATGAAAAATTATTCCCAATAAATGTATGAGAATTTAAGCTTAAATTTACATCAGTTAAACTTAAAAAATTTTCCTATTCAGTTTATGTTCTTTTTCTTTCACAGAGAAAACATAATATTGTTTCTATTAGCTCCTCAATATGCTGAACTTAAGTAATAAAAATTAAATTTATAGTTAAAATGAAACGGAAAAAATATATTTTTATCACCATTTTCCATAATTTCATAGTCGTTAATTACATTAAATTCTAAAAGAAACAACTGAATAATGTGTTTTCATCAATTTATCTAAATAGTTTTTAACCTCGGTTTTCATGCTCCAAATTGTGCTTCCAAATAACTGAATTTTTGTAAATTGTATGTGCAGACTTCTGTGATAGTATTGATGCTGGATTAGTGAACGGTGACTAATCGAGTGTAATTTTCCGACTAGGTCATTTCCTGAAGCCAGTTTTAATTTAATTAACTTGATATTTTGACAGTGAGTTATTATCGATAAAGTTCCAGTCAGATCCACTTACAGCCCGAACCCACGACTTTTATAGTTCTTGAAAAACATACAAATGTTATGTCCGAATTTGAATTGTTTCGGTGAAAACGTTACAAAAATTCAAATCAACGAAAACCGTTGGGAATTCAAAAGTTAATCAACTAATTTGTAAACATTTGGAATAAAAACTAGATTTTTTCATAAATCAAATTAGTTGATTACTAAGCACTCACTTAAAGTTCTCTTGTCTTTCATTGTGTTCTTTCCTTTTCAAAAAAAAAAAAAAAAAACAACAGTGGTATCATAAATAATGTAAAGGCTGGTGCCTCAGACATTCTCATGCTTTTTTTTCCACTAATTCACTATTGATTAGATAATTTTCATTCGTCTTCATTTTAATTGAATTAGTTGAGATAGGAATAAATTAAAAGTAAAGAATTTATTTTACACAAAACATTGAAATCAAAAACACAAGAATTGTTTAATAATAATTTAGGGAATTAGATTTAAAAAAATTTACTACATATTTAGTTTTTCAAAAAAATATAAAGTTAAGCTTTTGACCATCAATTTTAACTGAAGGAAGGAAAAATGGGATGAAATGTGATTTTTAATTATTTACATGTTAAATAAATCAATTCGTGAGAGAATCGGTTTTTGTCTCTCTCGTATCCCATGGCCCATGCATTTATTCGATTTTCATCTTCTAAGCAAAACACAAAAAAAAATTAATGTATAACTACTGGACTTTGCTGAACACAAACGCCAACCATTGACTCATCGTTCGAAGTCGAATTATTGTTATTTGTATTGCTATTAAGATTTCGCGAATTTCCACTGCCAACTTTTGGTAAATTTTGGTGTATGGAAGAGCCATCATTAAATGGTGCATAAACATTGTTTGCAGGATGATTAATGATGAGTGATGCCGATGAATTAAGATGATGATCTTGCGTTGTTGAGGGTAATACCACAATACTACTACTTCCGTTTCCATTATTTGCCGCCGTTGCGACAGATATTAAATCAATTGGTAATGAAGCAGGAGCATATTTTTGTCCGACATAACCACTACTACTTAACGTTGGTGCTATGTAACGACTATTTCGATTATGCATATGTTGTAAATATCTCTGTTGCTGTTGATTGATATTCAATGACGATGGTGCTATTTGAACAGATGGCTGATTTGATGATGATATACTGATTACGGATGGTTCACAATCCATTGGATAAATATTATTACTGCTGTTGCTGCTGCTGCTTATGCTGTTATTGATCAATATATTTCCCTGAGAACGTGTTGGTGGTAGTATCATTGATAAGCCTCCTAAAAATAATCACAAATCCTCAAATTAGTCTTATTCAAAGCATCAACTAATAGAAATAAACAATCAGACGAGAAATCATAAAAATAACTGAAAATAACATTGAAATTCACAAATTTAATTTTTGCTACTGACGTCAGAGATTGAGGTTCACTTAATGCCTGTGCACTTTGCTCAGGAAGAAACACGCTTATTATTACTGTGATTCTCACAAATAATAATCCGTGCTAAAATGACTTCAATCTCTTCAATCCGAAATAAAAATAAAGCGCAGTGAATGGAAGCAATAATTTTTGGCGTTAATATAAAGTGTTTGTAAACATGATTTTCTGATACATATTAACATTCGGAGAAACATGTAATAAATGTGAATATTCATGAGTACAAATGTCTTTCCAGCTAAGCTTCATATTCCAAATTTTAATATGTTCTGAATAATTTGAACAGATGATCAGAAAACAGCTTCGACCCCCATTAGTAAATGATATTTTACGAAAAATGTTTAAGTGCAGGAGAACAAACTACTAAATACATTTATTAAGCGCATTACTATTATTCTGTTACTTTAGCAAATAAAAATGTATAAAAGAAAATAAGGTGATGACATTTAGAGCAATGAAAATCATATTGTGTATGCAATAATGAAACAATAAGCACTTAAAATAAAGATAAAAGGAAGAAGAATGATGCGCCACCATAAAAGCAAAGGGAAGTAAAATAAACGAAATCATAATACATCAAGAGTTCTTGTTGAATGTCTCAAGCATGAACAATAACATGGAAATGATAAGAGAAAAAACGAGATTATTATGCAACTTAACAAAAGATACACAAATTGGTTTTGGGGACGGTATTATATATGTAAAAGTATATAAAATAACAGTTTATTCCTTTACCTAAAGTTTTTATGCAATGTCAATGCTATATTTATTTCGTTCTTTGATCTGAGTTTGTTGGTGGCTTTAATTATGGTTATGTATTATGTTTGTTTTTAAAAATCTTATATCTTTTAATGAGTAATTATTTAAATCATGTTGGTTCCTAGTCCTCAGAGTATAATTTCATTCATTGATATATCAAAAAAGGAAATGTTTTTTCATTTTTTTTTTTTCTTAAAAAATTGGTTTGAAGTGGCAATATCAAAAAATATAAAGAAAATTGGCGATGAAGGAATTTTTCTCCATTTCTTTTCTTCTTTTCAGAAACTTGTTCTTATTTTGAATGGATTGACTATATTATATTTTTCAGAATCATAGATATTTTTGCATGAATTTCACATTTTATGTGTTATGTTTTGCAATTCATTTTTTTAGCATAGATATTGATTGGTGAATTTGGTATTGCTATTATTGTTTGGTTGTTGATTTATATCACGAGGCACTTCGAGTCATCGGCGATCATCTAAAAGAAATCCATTAAAAAGATAGAAGAACAAAAAGAAAGAGAAAGAATAGATGTTTTTGTTAAATGAAATTAATATTTTAACATTTTGCGGCTGGATTGTGGGTAGAATTTGTGGACTTTCTTTCGATTTTTTTTTTTGTTATTATTAAAACATGTTAATGTTTCATCGTCTGTCGCAGTGTTTCTCAAATCATATGACACGACATGACACACTTGTGTCACAAAAAAAAATTTGATTGTGTGTGTATGTGACATTAGAAAATCAGATTTCTATTAAATTTAACTTAGACTTTCTCAATACCGGAAGAAGATGTAAAGTTTTGGGAATTTCAGTCTTGTCCACAAATCTATTGGTACTGAAAAACCGTTAAATCATTTAAATTTAACATTATGTTTTTTTAAAAAATTGTCAAAGAAGGTTCATATTATCAAATTCAGAGACTTGAACTCAGCATGGATGAAAATGATCCTTTAAATCTAATATCTAATTTGCCAAACTAAAACTAAGTTGTGGTTTTAAAAGCTATCAGTTTAGCGGTGAGTCGAGAGTTTGAGAAACACTGTTTTGTCGTAAGCAATCAGTCATTTCATTATAGCCAGCAAATCAGCCGTGCAAAGTGAATATGTAAGCGCCTTTGTATTAGGAAATTCTTTAAAAATGTTTTGTGTAAGTAAAAATGTTAGTAAAAAGCCTTTTTTTATCAACTAAAATAAATAAAACTAATTTTTTATGCCAATTATGATGTGAATAAGATATTCAATGAAATATTACGACAATTTCTTGTTCTCTTATTGTATTTTTTTTTTCCTTCTATCAAATAATTGAGAATTTCTGCACAAAGACAGAACAACAATTGTACAATAAATGAATGAACCCATAAGGAGTGAAAAACAGTAAAAGCTTATTAAAGCGAAAGAAAATATATAAGATTGGATTTGAGATTTATTTTCTTTCTCTTGTTGATGTTGCGACTACTCGAATCGTTTTGTTTTGTTTCATTTTATGATTATTTCATTTCTCTGAATTTAAACGTGTCATGGTAATTAAATGAAAGAGTAAGAAAAAAAACAGAAAAAAGGATAATTCAACTTACCATGAATTTGTTGATCTGTAGAAGGACTTGTGCTCACAGAACTAAGAGAAGCAACATTTCCAGCTGTATTTGTTCCTTCATCAGATGTTCGCTTGAAGAAATTATGTTGCAAGGCATAATAAGGTGTAATACGGGTCTTTGGATCGAAATCCAACATCCGATGAATCAAGTCTTTAAATTTCAAATAATCAGCAACGGTATGACCAATTTCGCCATGTCTACGACCTCCGGGACCTCCCATTTCAACGCCTAGAATATCATGAAGCTTCCTCGAGCCTGGCTGCTTATACTTCCTTGTTTGATTGCTCACTTTCTTAAGTACATAACTTCCATCTGATAATTTATCAAAGAACTTCCTTGTCTTGTGCGCTTGATCGAGAATGTGTTTTGGAGGCATACCAAGTACTTCTACAATCTTATTCATTTGATCGATCTCATTTGAACCTGAAAACAGTGGCTCTCCCGTATGCATTTCTACAAGTATACATCCTAGTGACCACATATCTATTGCCAAATCATATGGTATCCCTAAGAGGACTTCAGGTGATCGATAGAAACGCGACTGAATATATTGGTATATCTAAAATAAGAGAAATCAAATGGTACGGTGAATATTTATTGCTCTTTTGAATCATAATTTTTAACTCACTCTCTGCCCAAGTTGACACGAACTTCCAAAATCTACAATTTTTATTGCCGAACGTTTAGGATTGCATAATAAAATGTTTTCCGGCTATAAATCAGAACGAAAAGAAGAAAATAGTCAAGATTAATAAGGATAAATTTTATAAAAAAAAATCATTAAGACGAACCTTCAAATCACAGTGAATGATGCTTAGCTCTGGTGTACTTAAAAATAAAAGTGCTGTGCACAGTTGCTGAGCAAACTTTCGCGTCAAATTCAATGAGACACCTCGAAAGTTTGTATTACGAAGAAGGTCATAAAGATTATATGATAGAAGCTCAAACACCAAGCATAAGTGATTGCGCCACATAAAATGTCGTTTAAGTTTCACTGCAAGGACAAAAATACATTGTTGCTTAATAATTAATCAATATAAAGATAAAATGACATTGATTTACCAATATAGTATTTATTTTCTGCGTCAGCTCTATTCATCATTTCCAATAATTTTACTTCAATTTGTGCCTGATTTAAAAATGGCTTCTTATTCTTAATAATCTTAATAGCTACATGACATTGCTCTTCATGATCAAACGCCTTCACAACTTGTCCAAATGAGCCTTTACCTGTAGACGTAAATAGAAGATAGAAAAAAAAACATTAATTATATCCTCAATACTATTATAAATTAAAAAGCATTTTCACATACCTATGAGTGAATCAATTTCATACCGATCAAGAAATTTTTCACCAGCTTTTATAATATAGTCGTGATTTTCATCGTCGTATCCATCATTATAAAGTTTTCGCTCCTTTTTATGTGACGAGTCATCTCCTTGTGATTGCTGAGCGCGTCTTTTCTTTTTGGCATAATAAACCTTTTTGAAATAAATAGAGAATTAAATTACTTTAAACGTTTTCCTCCATTTGAAATGAAATTTAATTAAAAAAATATGCTTCAATATTCTCTCATTCATCTTTTGATTTCTTTTAAGTATACATTCAGACTCTTTATGAACCGTTAGAAAGATATTTTTTTTTTACCAAACAACAAAGAAAAGAAATGTTGTTTAATTCAGGTCTAAACTTCACTCATACATTGATGAATTCTTCAAATCATGATATGTTGGCAAATATTTGAGAAAATTATAGCTTAAAGTGACCAAATCCTGTTGAGGCAGGACGCAAATTTGAAACATTGCGCAAATTTCTAACAAAGGATCTAGAACACTAAATTGAATAAAGAACTTCCCACTCGTAATGTACTCAAATTTCCCCATTTCCCTGCCATGTGTTTCATCATAATCATAATAAAAAAGGCATATGCAGAAGAAACATCACACAATGCATGATAAAGAAGAAATGAAATTCGTGGAAGAACTTTTTTAAAGAGCTTTTAAATTTCTGAAGAAGCTTTTAAGTAGTATTTATTTTAAAGGATTTCATGCCTTTTTTTTTTGTTTGTCTTGTGTCGTCTCTTCTCTTATTTTTCCTCTCGTTTTTACGTTATTTCCTAAATAATGAGAGATCAAATAGGTAGCAATGCTACATATGACAATATAAATTGCTCTTATTTAAGGCCATGTCAAATCTATTATTTTATTTTTCTGATGTGGTCCATGCTTTGAACTCAATTATACATACAACATTTTCATGCACATGAAAATGTTCATCTGTGAAAAAACAAGCTGCACTGTACACAGAATACGAAGAGAGAGTGAAATAGAGAAAATCGCAAAATCGATATGGGCGAAATGAAAGCATACAGTTTTAAGAGTATGAGAGAAGCAGCGAGAGGTTATTTTTATGTTTTAAATCGTACTCTTATAGAAAATAATAATAACATTAATTGTAGAATTGAAGCTTTGATGTCACTCAAAAGTACTCCAACAATTCTAATTGCAATTGTTTTGTTTCTACTCTTATTTGTTAATTATAAAATTAAGTTCAAATAAACTAATTTTCATCGTCATTAATATTATTATTATTATTTTATATAATATATATTTATATTCATACATTATACATAAAAGAAAAAACACTTCCTCCCGTTTTTCCACTCAAGTATTAGTGCCTTTATATTCCGTCGCATTTTTTTTTTTTTCTCCTACAAATACACGTCTGCTTCGCCACCCCAACAACATCACATCAGACAACTGAAATGCCGTGTTATTGTGCAAACGTGTGCGTAAAATCATAAGAGCAAGTTCAATAGTCTACCGCTAGAGGACAGAAGAAAATTGCATGAAGAAAAATCATCGCATTTTCTTCTCTTATATGTTTACTGGCTTAATTCGAAATGGGTTGTGAAATATGATAAGCATAAGATTTTTTTTATTCTTCACTCTTGTTTCGTTCTGTTAATATTGAGTCTACAAAAATGATTGAAAAATATGCTACTGTAAAATATCATTTGTCCTTTTAAAACTGTTATATGGTAAAGAAGCACATCGCACGACGTGAAAAAAGAATTTAAAATACAGAATTAAATATAAAATTAGTGAAAATGTGCGTGCTTAAAGAATTTCGAACAGATTTTTAAAGTTCCAAAATAAATTTACAGTTTTATTCACTATTAGGTATCGACAAGATCTATTATATAATCAGACAATAGGATTTTTTTTTTTCATAGAAACCAAAAATTATATTCTTTTTCTTATCAAACATTTCATGTATATATGGCTTGATGTTTCTTGTATAAAACAAAATGTTGCACAACATTTGTGACACTGTGTTGTAACAAGTTTGTGTTGTGTAGCAGACGTTAATGATTCATGTAGTCAGAATTTATTCAGTCATTTCTTTCTTCTCACACAACAAATGAAAATCTCATCACTTCCGCTAAGCTTCTTAATTTTCTTTTCAATGACCTCATTTGAACTTTTATTTTTCTCGCTTTGTTTTTCTTTACCGAATCAGAATTGCTTAATCATTATAATCTTTATTAATTCAGATGAAATATTTATTTCCCATTTACTCGCACATTTTAAATTTTCTTTGTGAATTTTTCACATTTCGTTAAAATGTTCATTATATATCATAATGCACATGTGTGCGTGTTGACACAAAAGCATTTACGACCTTACAGTATAGAAACATTTCATTAAGAAAATAAGAATCAAGCTTCAATGCAAAGGATTAATTTTTAAAAAAAGGTGTAAATAAAACAATTAAAAAGAATATGTTATCCATTAGTTGAGGTCGGTCATGCTTTTATTCACGTAGGCACCGCAGATATTAAGCTCTGTTTTTTGCACACATTTTTTGGTCATGCCATTTCAGGCAAGGACTTAATCAATTTTATTGGAATAATAAAGTATAAAGTTTTTTTTTCATCTCAATTGAATTTAAGTTCTTTTTATTCGATAAGAGTTTGTATATTGTATTTACCTCATTGATGTGCTTATAGGTCTTAATTAGATCCACACTCAACTTCCGAAGAGGCGCTAATGACGGATCTCTGAAATGTGTTGGTATGCGTGCTTGCATCGCTCGTATGTCTGTTGACGACGAGGATGGACTGATTGATCTCTGCTGATGGACGAAACATATTAATAATGATCATACAGAAATGAAAAACGGAAATACGAGTTATATAGATGTGCTCAAACAAATTATACTCGTTTCTACTTTTATTATAAGTTTATCAACTATTTCAATGATTAAAGGTTAATTTTTGTTGCCAAATCTATCGATTTGTGTCAATTTGGAATAAAAAGGTGAAAACTGACTATTCATAAGTGAGCACAACTATATCTACGGAAGTTATTGATTTGTACCTGATGATGGACATCTCGATGCGTCGCTGGCAAGTGTTCTTCCGAAACAAGCCTTCCATACAATGGAGCATGTCTCTGTCGTGTTGAATCAGGAATTGCTCCGGTAACGTAAGATGCAGAAACTGTTGAAATAAAGTAAAAAAAAAAACAGAGAATATACTATAAATCAAAATGAATAGCATAAATCAATGATACTGTTGATTGTTTCACAAGGAATTAACGTCTTGAATTTTATCAGATCAATTTAACAACCTCGATCTCAATTCTGTTCATTCTCTCGCTCTTTATTTTATTCGATTTAAATTTTCCAGATGTTATTGCAATAACCCAATTTCTTATGCTTTAAAGTGTCTTGCAAAATATTATTAAGCTGAATTAAAAATGAGAGAAGAAATATATTTCGTTACTTAAAGTTTTTGCTCTATTTAATTACAGTTCAACACTCGAAAGTGCTTATTTTTAGATTAAGAAGAGTCATCGTACGATTTTTGTAACATTTACTTCGTCAAAATCCCATTATGTTTATTTCAAATTTGAGGGAAACAACACAAAAATATATTCATGAAAACGTCACAAGCAATACCACAAGAAAGGAAGCATAAACACGAAATTAAAAGAACCAAAAAATAAATATCTTCAAAAAATAGTAATATTAAACCGGAAATAAAGTCAATGAACTTTTGGCTTTTCCCGTCTCATTGCCCTTCTGTTAAGCATTGTTTCATTATTATTGCTGTATTGCTTTTGCTCATTTTCCAGCTATACATATTCCTTCTCTATATATTCATTCTTTCCACAAGTTCTTTTTTTGCTGCTTCTTTACATTGTTATAATTTCAAACCAATACGAATAAAAAAGTAATTTTAAATATTAGAAAAAATCTATCAAGCCGTCCAAATATATTGAAATACTTTGAATATTGCGGAATGTTATCGACAAGACTGAAACCACATTAAAAAGGCTGAGCAAGAAGGGCAAAAAATTTCATTAAAAAATAACAAGTGACAAACAAAACAGTCAGCAATAGCACAATTACAAGAATATGTAAAATAAAATTCATAACATTTTTGAATAAGCAATTAACTTCACGTGTATCGAAATTGTGTTTTGTTTTGTTTTCGCATCGGTCAAAAGTAGCAACAACTTACTTCACAGGGTGACAATCTTTTTTAAATCAAAAAATATGTATCGGTCATTATATGGGAAATATTTCAGAACCCCCCGCGTCAAATGACATCACACAGAACGGGAGGTATTTAAAGGTTTAAATCAATCCACTATACAGCCCAAAGTTATGCAGATGACCAAAGAAAATATGCGATCATTGACTCAAAAAATTTATTCACGCATAATATTCCTTTGTTTTTGACTTTTCTCGAAAGGAACTTGATGTGACACCTAATTTTTATACTTTATATTTATGCAAATATTAGTTTTTCGTTCCTACATAAATAATCACATGTGCTGGAATTTTTAATCACAGATAAATAAATTAAATATTATTATTATTATTATCATCATCAATGTATAGAAGGCAAAAGAATATTCGATTATAAGAACGTCGTAAAAACGTTTCAAGCATATTGGTATTAGTGCTGGAACCAACATACGTATATGAATAAAGCAAAATGTAAAAGAGACATGTGGTCAACGACTATATAAACGCATAATAAATTAGATGTTAAAAAAGTTCTTGGTTTTTGTTATATAAATCAAGAACAAGAGATGAGGCATAGCACAGAAAAAAAACAACCTCACACTGGCTGAATATGTGTATATACGTGAACATAAGAAAATAACACGAGAAAGAGAGAAAACAAGAACTACAGAATGGTTTTTTTGAACTGTTGAACAGGTTGGATAATTATCGTCAGCGTCATACGAAATAAATTGATCAAGAAGAAGATTTACAGAAATAAAGAGACATTTCATGCGTTTACCACACGCTTTGTGACGCTTTTATTCATTTACTTCTTTCTTCATCGTGTCATTACCATGATTCGTACTATTTGATTTTCAGATTATTTAATTTTTCATATTCGTAACACACATGCTTAAACCATATTTTCTATTCCTTTCAGTTCAACATTTTGTTTATTTATTTACTGAATGACTCGACAACGTCCACATGCCAATGTCAATGGGAGAAAATCTAAGAATTTTTGCGGGTATCATTAGTTCTGTTATGTGCACACACAGATTTTTTTTTGCGTTTCTTCTCTTTCATTTCTTTTTTTTTTCGGTGGGAAAAGAGAAAAATATGCAATAAAAAAAGGTTAAATAACCGCTTTGGAACGAGCGGAATTTATTGAGAGGAGAAAAAAGTAAATTTTTCTTTACTCATATTCACTCGTTCATCTAGTTCTTTTTCGGTATTTTTTTTTATACAGCAATATACAAATATACCGTTTACAATTTCTTCTTCTTCTTCTTTCATCTCTCATATGTATATAAATATTCAATTGGGTGGGGAGGGGAGTTATTCACTAATCACATGTCATTGAAATAGAAAATTTGCAGATCATTTACTAAATCACTTTTACGCAGCTTGTAAAGCTTGAAGTCAATTATTTTATGGGAACTTAAACCAAAAAAATATTGCAACAGGGAAGGTGTCTGAGCCTCCTTATGAGAAAAAGAAATTAAAGAAAAACATTTTCATTGCTCAAATCTCAACAAAACACAAGAACAAGGAAAGAAGAGGCAAAAAAAAAAACACCTGATGCTGTTATAGACTTCGATTCTATTTTTATAAATTTACGTCAAAATCAAATACAAAATTACAGTTCAATTTTTTTTTCTTCGCACATCATTTTATTCATTTCTATCTTAATGATGAAGTATCGACTTGAAAAAGTTTTGAAATGATATAGATTCTGATTTATTTGGCAACAGAAAGTAAAGAATAAGATATTTTGTTTATTTTCAAAACAACACTCAATCATACAAAACATTTGATGACAAAATAGTTATAGAAAAGTCATATGAAGTGTTACGAAAGTTTTTGATAAAGTTGCCAATTAACAAAATAACTGATAAACGTCAATGACATTGTATTGACGCCACCGATTTCTCTAGATAAATCTGCTGGAAAAATACCGGTTGAAAACACAACGGCAAATTTAATAGATCGAATTCTATAAACTAATGAAAAAAATTATATCTAGAGATAAAGAAAATTAACTGGAATGGATAAGAATAGAATTATCATCGGCATGTTTCACTAAAGTGGATTGTCCTCGATTTCGATAATAGAGTGAAAAGGCATGAAATTTCTAAATCCTTTAAACTTTTAATTTTCTTAAGAAGTATTAATTATTCAATTTTCTTACCAAATCTAGTAATTTAACTCCAACTAGTGGAGATACAAATATTCTAAATATATCAAAATTAAAGGAGAAATTTAACTAGATCAATTATTAGATCCTTTATTAGCCCTAGTAACCAAAAGGTAGATCAATGTATTCCATGAGAATCTTCCATGGATGATACATATGTATTATCCATGTATTATCCATCGGAAGATGATGTCCTATGAAAATGGAAGATAAATGGACAATGCAATAAGACATCAATGTAATACATCAAAGGAATACAAATGGAAAACAAATGGATTACTTTTTTTTGAATAAAACACGTGTTAAATTCCACGTGTTATTTTGTATTTTTCATTTATTTGTGTAATTTTTTGTAAAAGTATTAGTGTGTACTTAATTAAAGTACACTAATACTACGAAAAAGAACAAAAGGACTTAATTTAATTAAGTCGCATACTGATGAACGACCAAGACTCGCACACAAACCTGAGGAAGATAAATAATCAATTGAAAGCCCCAAAAAAATTTAGAGAGAACTTATAATAGTGATTTCTTCAAGCAATTGTGAAGTATATGGCAAATGCCAAATTTAGAACAAATATTATTTTCCTGCAAAAAAATATTTTTTTGATGATATTTCATAGGATTTGATCCTAAGCAGGCTCGGGTAATACTTCGATGGAACACTTCTGTTACATATTTGTAAAACAAATATTTTCCATATAATAAATAATGATACATTTGATCTTCCATCGACGTCGAAGGAAGATTATATGGAACATTTTGGTTACTAGGGAGCCTTAATAGCCTAAATATATTTTTAAAAAAATTGAAGTGGATAATCCACTTTAGTGAAACGGGCCGCATATGTTTAAACAGATATCGATTAAGGACTGAATCTGAACTCTGATCTAAGGTACCAAAAACAATGCAAATGACTCACATTTCAATTACTTTGTCTGTATTAGCTCATGATTTTAAAAAGGAATAAAGCTTTCATCAGGAAATGCCATTTTGATTGAGTAGATCGATTTTTTTTTGTAAGATTAAGACAAAAATATTCAATGAATTCTGACTACCGAACCTGTATAAAGTATAATTTGGCAATAAGAGATTTGAAATAAGCCAGTTGCATATGATTCATAAACCAGTTCCTTAGTCAGATTCTTAAAAAAGTGATGATCAAGAGCAATAAAAGGAATTACACATTTTTCATATGCCAGATTCTAAATAATTTCTAAAGATGTAATAAAATGAAGTGTACTAATTTAAATAATAGTCATTCTTCTGTGCTAATTGATTTATGCAAACTCACGTATGTAATTACTTTCATCAACATTAATATTCATTGAAAAATGTGTTTCTAACTCTTCGTAAGCATTCTTGACATTTTTTATTGTTTTCTTTTTGCCTATTTAAAGCGAACTCATTCAAAAAAAAAAATGATTATTAATATTCAAGTCGTTTAAGATGCTTAGAATAATTGTGCTGTACATTTTGTGTCTACAACAGTTATTACATCAGATTCTTGCTATAAATTTTACATGCCTTAATGGTGAGATTGTAGGCGCTAATGAAATTTGTAATGGAATTGCAAATTGTGTCGATTCGTCTGATGAACGAATAGAACTGTGTGCCACTATGATTTGTCAACCACATCAATTCAAATGTTATTATGGCGGATGTGTGAATCGAGAAAAATTTTGCAATAAATTCAACGATTGTCTCGACAATTCGGACGAATTTAATTGCGGTAGATCAAATGAAAGTTGCGAGTACGTAGAGTAGAATAAAAAAATATATAATGATATTACATCATTAAGTTAAACGTTGATGAGTTTTTTAAAAAAATATTTATTTTATTGTCACAGTCAGTCGGAATTTTATTGCTCTAGTAATAATAAATGCATTGATTCGGCTTTAATTTGCAACAATCAACGAGACTGTCCATATGGTGAGGATGAGAGCTTTTGTATACCACAAATTTGTCCAGAAAATACTTTTCGATGCAGTCATGGAAGATGTATTGATGAGAAATTAATTTGTGATAATTTCAACGACTGTTTAAATGGTGACGATGAATCCGATTTATTGTGTAAGGCTATTAATTGTTTTGGACCTGATTGTGATATTATCAATTGCTCACCAATTATATCGAATCGTTTAATTGTAACATGCATGTATGATAATAAAATAATCTCTTGCAATGGAAATGACAATATAAAGCCAGGAACAATTGCAAAATATTCTTGCAATGACCAATACGAGCCAGCGAGTAGCATACATAAATTCAATAGCCAAGCAATTTGCCAACAGAATGGTAAATGGTCATCGGAAATTTTAAAATGTTCACCAAAATGTGGATATTTGAAAAATTCCGTGCCACTTATTGTGAATGGCTATGAAATAGATTTTATTCATCCGTGGCATGCAACAGTTTTCATAAAACGTAAAAGCGGATTATTTGAATTTGCTTGCGGTGCAACGTTGATTTCCGAATTTGTTATAGTATCAGCATCGCATTGTTTTAGTGGATTAAATGAATCAGATGTAAAAATTGCAGTTGGTAAACGATATAGTAATATCACAATTCATTCAGACGAATCGAATGCTAGAATTTATGACGTTTTACGAATCCTCCGTCACCCATTATATTTGGATAAAATTGGTAACTATGGACAAGATATAGCACTTGTTGAATTGACAGAAATTGTAGAATTGAATGAAAATATTCATCCGATTTGTGTGGATTGGCAGAGTGAAGACATTCTGACTGAAAATCAATTAGGAATTGTTGTTGGAATGGGAATTACTGAAAATGAGACATTCAGTGACATAATTCGTATGGCAAAACTTCAAGTTATATCAGCAGAAAATTGCATAAATAGTCAGCCTAAGGATTTTCAGAAATACATCACATTTACGACGTTTTGTGCTGGTCTGGATAACGGTAAAATTTTATATTCAATTCCTCACATATTTTTACTTCAAATTTAATCATCTTCTATTTTCCATAGGCACTTCAGTCTGCAATGGTTAGTCTCAATAACCTTTCATTTATCAATAATCATTTTCTTTTCTTTTCTACAAAAAAAGGTGATTCAGGAGGTGCTTTTCAAGTTCTATCGAGAGACTTAAAAACATGGAAAATTCAAGGGATTGTTAGCTTAAGTCCTCGAAAAATGTCAACTTTCTACTGTGATCCTTTCAAATATACAATATTTACAAAAATTGAGGTTTATTTGAAATGGATTAAGCTCATTCTGGATGATATTGAAACGAAGACACTTGAGAAAAAAACTCTATCAAGCTACGAACCGATTCTTTAGTTATACGATAATTATTTTCTTTTTAAACAAATTTCGAAACCAAAAAAAAATGATTTTTAATTTTGTAAACCAGAATAAACGAAAGTAATAATGATGCAGTGCTCGTTTCGATGCTAGATTCAGTGCAAGGACTTTACACCTTTTTTTTTGTTTCAACTAGAGTATTTATTTAGAGTTAAGAAATTTTTTCTTTTCATAATTTCTTCTCGCAAAAAAAAAGACTTTGGCAAGTATATAGGTAGATGAATTTTATTTTGAAACACATCCAATCTTTTCATCACGTTCTTAACTTTCATAATAATATTATTCGGTAATTGCAGTCTTCATCTTCATCTTACATAATATTTATAAATCAAATGAAGATGTATGAAAAAAAATAGAGCAAATCACTAAATTGCGACATAGCAACTATCTAGATGCAAAACTTTATACCTTTCTGATTCTTTTCAGAACTATCTGGCCAATCCCACGATGTTTGATATGTTGATGGCATATAACATACGGTCGACATTTTTTAATGATTACGTATTATTATCACAATGTGAGGATTCTCTTTTGCTTTTCTTTTTGTCTCTCACTCAGCTATTTTGTAAATCACTTTCAATATTTTGAGGAAATTTTCTTCTCAAAACAGTTGCTCAAATTCTATGCGAGCTTCAAACGAATTCATTAATCTTCTTTTAATATTCAATGAATGAATGCATGTAGGAAGAAAGTATGAATCCTTTCTCCGGTAGCAACAGTCAATCTTTACATAATCATCATTCGTTACTTTATAATGTAAACTATTTTTGGGTCACTAGAACAAATTTTTCTCTCCTCTATAGATCTTCCTTCCAAACAACAGATGGTTTGAAGATGATCAATCACACAAAAAACATAGCTTTCATATCACTAACACTTGAAGAACTCAAATGAAATTTGATATTAGAAGATTTTCTTCCAATTTTACACAAAATTTAAAGCTATGCGAACTCAATTTGCTCCTTTTTTTGCGAACCGATCTCATCAAAAACAACTTGAGCACTACACAAAATCGCAGAGAATTTATTTATATCGCGAATGAGCGAAAAATTTTCTTAAATTAGATCTTCGTCTTTTTTCCGTTCAATAACTTTGCACTCCTCTTTGTTTTATACGATTTCTGACGCTTTCAAATGAACTTTGCAAGTACAATATCTTTTGTGTCATTCCCAAACAATACGCAATAAAATAGTATATATAGATTAATTCCGCATCCACACAACATTTTGCTACAAAGGCTAGTTTTAAACGCATTTCAGCGAATTAAGGATATAATAATAATATACATATTATTACAGCTAATAACAAAACAACAAGCAAAGTGATTTTCTTGAAGAGTACACCGACACGAGATAACATTTACCTTCATCTGTCATCCATATTCATGACCTTATCAATCAATAACAGTTTTCATGAAGAATTTTTTCTCACTGTGTGTGTCTCAGGGTTAAAGAAGCTAATTTTCTTATAGCCGAAAGAAATGAAAGAAATCGCTAACCTATTAGTTGTTGAAACATATGGAGATAATAATCATAAACAAGATCTGAACAATCTCAAAGAAATTACTTGGGCGTCGATAATTTCAAACAATTTCATGTCTTTCTCACTTCTATTAATAATAAAATTCATTGATAATCATAACTAGAGACAAAAAGAGTATATTAAACCTTGTATTCATCTCCTTCTTCCTTCCCTTTCTATTCCATTCCAACAACGATTTGCAATCATTCACATTAATTTCTTAAGAGAAAAATAAATTTTTGAATATCAAATATTTGATGACATCAACAAATTTGAAATATTATTTTTATTTTAATACTTTCCATTTTGAAAGTTGAATTGCTGACATTTCTTACATCCAACAATGTTGGCAATAAGATGAAAAAGTAACAAAAATAATTGTGTCAAACTCGTTCGCACTCACAAGAGGACTTGAGAAGAATAAGAAGAGTAGAAATGTCGAAATGATTACGAAATATACAGTTTAAACTTAGAGAAAGAGAGGAGAGAAGAAAAAATATTATATAGGTTCAATTTAAAACATACTATTTTTAACTATAGACATAAAGAAAACGATTTGTCTTTAATTATTATTACAGAGACTATAATTTTTCCTAAATATTTTCATCTCTTCAAAAAAATCATCATTAATTGTCAAATAAGTTTTTCGTTCTGTCTAGTTAAGTCTGATTGCAAAACTCAAAATGCTTTGACGCGGAAGGTCATGAACACATTCCTGGTTCTTGCTTAAAAGTTACTCATTAAACATTTTCATTCAATAAATTGACAAAGTTTTATGGTTGGTTCCAGCAAATGAAAAGGCTCTCAAGAATTGTATATTCCTTGAATTCAAATTTCCCCATCTACATCAGGCCTTTCCAAACAAATGAGATTTAGATGCTTTATTGGAAATACCCACATTTCATTACAAAATTAAATTAAATATAAAATAAAATGTAGGAATATGAAATTCCCAGATATGATGAGTAGCAAATTAGATTTTAATATTCATGTTTCTTTCGTTCCTATTTTATCATAATCATCAGCAACCTCAAAAACACTTTCTCTTTCTTTTAAGTTCACATAAAAGAGCCAGCACAAAAAAAAACTTAATACAATAGAATTTTCCCCATCATTTCGAAAAAGATCTGTAGTATAGATACAAACTATGCTTGCTTGTACTACATACAATCTCATTTTCTCTTTAGTACTTTCATCTGTCTACCACGTCTAGCGATTTTGTCTGACGTTAATTCAATAAGAGAGGGGAGAGATACATACGATGAAATCATTCCGGAAGTCTAATCAAAGCAGTTCCTTCTTTGTTGTTGAGGAGAAATATCTATTAATTGCTATTAATATTCTTTAATGGAGCATTACTGAATTCCTTGAATCAATATTTATTTTTACATTTATAATGAAATAGAAAACTGCAAAAATGTTCTTCTTTATAGGTATTTGGAAATGCGCATTTTATGACTATAACAATTTCAAAGACACATTTTATTATCATGGAGTTATTGAGTTATTTTTTTGTTAAATCAACAAAAATTATTAACTAAACTACGTCATTGGAGTTTTTAACAGCAAATAAAAATGAGTATCACGATATGCACAAAAACAATGAATCATGTGTTCTGAGTAAAAATGACTGAAATAGTCGTACGAATACTCTAGTCCATAATACATTCGTAGGAATTACATGTGATGGAAAATTTAACCTTTTCAAATGCACACAAAAGAATAAACGTATGTGACGCTCTAAAGCAAATGTATTGGATGTATATCAAATGTTATGAAATATTATTTTCTCTCATCAAATCCGGCTTAATGTTTTATACCCTTAACATGTAAAGTATTACTTACGTTTCTGTTTCGTCTTATCCATTAGCATATCCTTATCGAGACGATAGTTTTGTTGCTGCTGCAACTGATAATCTTGATAGTTCTCCACTTTTGGAATTTTAAAATACTTATTACAGTTGAAAAGTTGTCTTGTTTTTTGTTTGTTATGGTTTATCTTAAGCTAGTCTTTCTGTTTTTTATAGGAAACACTATGTTCACACTAATAAACGAAATATGTCTTCATACAAGTAATTTAATTATATTACTTTTGAATTGAATAGTTTTCTAATATACCGCCTGATAATTGTTTATCACATCTCACGTGGGTTCCAATGTAATATTACTTCATACAGAGAGATATATTTAAGGTGTATTTTGTGACACATAGGAAAAATGTGGGTTGATTTTATTGTATTTTTTAAGCACACATAAACACACTTTTTATACTAGTATTATTATTTTTATTATTATTGTTATTATTTTCAAGACATTAGCCAATAACTAATTTCGGAACGGAATTGCACTGCAATGTAAAAAAATCTGAACACAAGTTCTTTTTCTTATTGGTATCTTCCTACACTATTCTCTCTGCTTTCTTTCTTTGCTCGTGTATTTTTTTTTTTTTTATTTCCACTCATGTATAGCACTTTCAGCTCTAAACATTTTTGTCAGTTATAAGCATGAATGCTAAGATAACACTTATTAATTGATCTATTTTCTCTTTCTTTCACACTTTTTAGTTCATCAACTGTCCACAATTTTATTTTATTTTTATTTTTCACTTTAATCTCTTTTCTTTTTATAATTTGAGAGGCTTTTGCTCACGCATCGACTAAGCGCGTATCTTGTTATCAAATCAAAAATGAACGTATGTTGGTTAGATAAAGAAAATAAAATATGTCTTGTCTTTCTTTATGTTCTCACTCTTTTAATAAGCCTTTATGGGAAATGAAATGAACCTTTCAATTCTATTGAAATTGTTGTCAACGATGCTTATGCTTCCTAAAAGTAGAAAAGAATAAAGAATAAAATAAAATAAATTGATTAAATATGAAGAAATTCCGCATTTCCCCGTCCATTAGTGAAAATCAACAATATTTATGCAATCTTTAATTGGCAATAAGATCCTTAATAAATTATGAATGTATGATAAATGCCAGATCCTTTTGTCTTCGCTTATTTTAAATTCTTAAAATCGCTAGAAAGCACATTAGAACAAAGTAAATTCTTTGTGTCATAAAATTAAAACTATAATCTTACATGAGGTAAGTGATTCACTTTCGTCGTTAGATATTACAATCGGTTCTATACTTGAGGGATTTCCAATGACGCAAATGATTCAAATGTAATACACATTTATCCATAACAATACAAATAGCAACAATAATAATGATAAAAAGCACTAAAAAATTTCTTTATTGCCATTCATCACCATCTCCTTGAGCTACTTTCTACAGTATATATATATATACTTGCAAGTGAAATATATTTGCTATTTTCATATTGTTGGACTTTCGCTACTAAACACTAAAACATGCTTGTAAAAAGAGTTAAAAATTTGAGTTTGACACTTTAAAAGTAATTTTTTTGTCAGACATTCAATTTAAGGTTTCTGGGTCGTTCTAAAATAATTACAATATCCTTGTGTCGAGTCTAGACTTGACTATACGGAAAAGATTTGATTCTCATAAGAAAAAGTATGCAGTATGAATTTAAAAAAATTCCATTTACTACATGCATATGCATTGCTAATAATGCAATAGAAGAACATCTTGAAGTAAACGCCACAATTAAAATTAATTGAGGTAGATCATTACAATTGGATAGAATGTAAACAGAAGGGAGAGAAAAAAAAATAAAAATAAATAATAAAAAATTGAATTATGTTAAGAATGAAGAACGAAATAATGTATTTTGTAGGGCATTGATAATGATAAGAAAATTGCGTCGTAATGCACTTGATTCTCATGAGTTATTGTATTGCCTGCAAATTGTATGTATACACTGGTATACACAGTATTTATTTTGTTTCCGAAGAATATTTATACTGTCATCGATGCAACATTAAAGCAACTGTATTGCATCACATGAACAACATGTCACATAAAACGTCTAGCTAAAGTTTGTATTTGTGTGAGTGTCTCAGTCTCGCCATCGTCGTAGATTTTCAACATAAAACATGTACATAACAGCATAAAACGCAGTTTATTGTACTTTTTTTCATCATCTTTTTTTCTCTCTCTCTTCTCGTGTGCAACTAGCTCAATATTTAACAGTTTTTTATGCTTATTGGATATTTTTAATTGCAAGAAAACTTTCCTCCAAAAAAATTAAAAACGATGAATTTAATTAACTGGATAAATGAAATGAAATGAAAAAAGCTAAGAAAAAAAACACTACTGTATGTTCCGTTAGTTATAAAAGCGAGAGAAAATATAATGGCTAAAGTATATAAAGTAAAGCATCAGACATGATGCAATTCGTATGCTACAAAAATCTGATGAATAATATTTTTTTTTCTCTCATTTCATAAAACTTTTTAATTAAATTACACAAAAAAACAGTAATATAGGAGAATAATATAAATAATAATGACGTTGTAAGCATAAATAGCGAGATGAAGATTCTGATAAAAAGTGCATATTTGCAGTTTGAGAAAAAATGGTGGTGAAATAATCTTTGTTATGATTTTTTCATATGCATTTCATGCCTGATTTCATAAATTTTCATTTTCCCATTTCACTAATAGCACAGTAAATGCAAAATGAACTCTATTTATTTCGTATAGCACATTTATCATACCTGTTTCCAAGAAAACGAAAAATTTGGTGATGAAGCTTCATATTTGATGTTTTTTACATAAATTATATTAATCCCGAATTTTTTTAATCCTCTGTTTCGTGTAATCAATTTATTAAGTCACTAAACACTAAGCAATTTCTCTTTGAGTGCGTTTTTGTTGTATAGCACTTTCTTTTTTGGATTTTTTTTTTCTTTTTATATTTTTTTTCCTTCCTTCAGAACAAAAGATATTTTATTTTGTAAATTTTACTGCCGAAATTCCGTTTTAGTATCGCACTTGACAATTATCACATAATATAACTATTAAATTTCACGTTTTAAATATCTTGCATACTTAATTTTCTCTTTTTCTTTTAAAAAAATGAATTTAAATCTTTTCTCTGCGAGCAGCAAGCAGTTAACATGCATCGACACTGGGCTGAATAACCTACGTTCGAAAATATTCAAATAAATTTTGTCAGTTACTTTAAATCGACACTGGCTTTATCTACGGATCAGAATTGATTATACCACGAAATAAATTATCTTTTTCCTTAGCTGAATTATCACATGAACAGTTTAATGTTTGTAGTTGTATTTCATTTTTGATTATATTTACCGATTTAAGTAACTTACAGCTGTGTCACTCGATAATGTATTGCAAGATTCTCAGATAATGATAGATGGAATGAATAGAATGATACTAGATGTTTCTCCACAAGTTTCCTCCAAACTTAAAAGTTTGAAAAGCACTGGTAAAAAAGTTTCCTAATTATGAATTAAATAACAGTATACACACAGCATCAAAAGTTCTTAAATCACAGCATCAATATTAGTTTTATTCATTATCTCAAATAGCTTTCTTCGATGCAAAAATCTATATAAATTGTTCAATTTTTTTTACAAGTTCTAAGCCTATGTCTTCGATGATGACAGATTCTTTATAAAGTCTTGTATTAGATTGGTGGACCAAAAGTTGGAGGATAAGATCCATATGCTGACAGGTGTTGCTTTCTCTTATTCTCCTGATTAGCTAATCGATGCTTCAAACGTTCTCGAATTGACTTGATATCTTGACTATCACGGATACCAAATGTCTACAATCAGAGAAATTATTACTTAAAACAACTTAAAACTGAAAAATTATTTGGAAATAAAAAATTACCTTCATAAATTCAAGAAGAATAATTTTCTTTTCCTCACTTAAATTTTGTAGCTCATTTGCAGTGATTTCGAACTGGAGAGTTCCTGTGTTGACTGTAGTTTGAACACATTTATCTACCATATCTACACGCGAGCTTCGATCATTTGAATTATCGTCTTTTGATGTAGATGCTTGTACATTGTATTCAACTCTACGCACTTTTGGTTCTGAAAATGCAGGAGGAGGTGGAATTTTGCGTTTCTGTTTTTCTTCTTTAATTGATTTTTTTATCAATTGAAGATTAGCTCCTATGATATTTGCAGTCCGATGAGCCTTATAAGGAATATCTCGATTAGGATTACTCTTAATCATTACATCCTCTACATTTTCAGACGATGCTTGAAATTTAAACATTGCATTGTTATTATTTTGAACTAAAGGTGACTCATGACGATCACCAGGTATAGCTGGTTCATTTGAATTTTCCGGAACATGAGCATAAAATGGAGAATTATTGGAGTTTCCTTTGAGCCGAGCATTTATATCCTCAGCTCTATTATAAACACCTGCAAGTTGAGTTGATGCGTGCTTGACATTCCTTTTATCAATCATACTCGAAGATCCAATAACATCCTGTGCTGTCAATATCTTGTTCAAAAACTGATTACGAAGTGCTTCATTATTAATTGATGGATTTTGCTGAACATTTTGAATTCGTCGTTGATTGTCACTTGTGGTGCCATTGTCAATTTCAATCGGTTCCGTCTTTAGAGACTTTCTAATCAATGCCAAACGCTTGCTGATCGACATTTTTCTGCAATTTTTTCAATCAAATTGTTAAAAAATCTAGAATTTTGCAATTTCTACCACATAATTACACTACTTCTCATATGAATATGCTTGCTGAAGACTTAGTCAGTGCTCTACTCGTATTATATTACAACTGTTCTGTTATTTTGCCTGATTAATTACAAAAGAATAAAAATTTGAACTTATGTGCTTGCTTTATTCTTGTTTATCAAATTCAGGGTTAGGAACTCTTCTAATTTAAAGTCGTGAAATCTTGTTTGTTACCAGAACTAAAGACTATAGAAAACCCCTGAGTAAATAAAATAAAAGCTTTAATTAATGTTGAAGGAGAAAGGTCTGAAATAATCGAAGTTTTCAACAGTCAAAAAATATTTGAATTCTTTCGTTAAAAATATTCAGTATTGACAAACTTATGCGACACGTAAAAATAAGAGTTCCGTAGCACAACAAGTTACAACCACTGTATTTTAAACAACATTTGATGAAATTGAATTAATTAAATTCACTAAGAAAATCGCATTTTCTGTAGTTATAGTACATTTTAAGCTATTAAGATACATTCATTTAATAATATTAAGTTAAAGGAATTCGAGTAAAATGGAAGATAAAATCAAAAATCCAGAAATACAAAATTCACAACATTTTGGAACAAACTTATCACTAGAAAGCATCAAAATCATTGCTGAATCTATAGGAATCGGTAATTATATGCTTTTTTCTCTTTCTTGTACACGTCTAATTAAGTGATATTTCAGGAAACTTATCAGATGCAGCTGCAAAGGAATTAAGTGATGACATTAGTTTTAAACTGAAGCAGATAATTCAGGATGGACAAAAGTTTATGCATCATGCGAAAAGATCACGTCTATCAGCATCTGATGTTGATTCGTCACTTAAAATAAGAAATTTAGAACCACAATATGGATTCATCAGTAAAGAGTTCATTCCTTTTCGTTTTGCAAGCGGTGGAGGACGTGAATTGTATTTTACTGAGGAGAAAGAAATTGATTTAAATGATCTAATGACAACGACAGCTCCAAAAGCACCACTGGAAGTTACTCTTCGATCGCATTGGCTTTGTGTCGATGGAATTCAACCAACTATTCCTGAAAATCCACCTCCATTGGCGAAAGATGCTCAAATACAAGATTCTGTGAATCCAGTAAAGAAATTAGAAAAGACGGATTTAAAGGACACAAGCGGAAAACCTGCAATTAAGGCACATAAATTAAAAACATTCGAAACTGTTCATATTAAACAGCTTGCACAACATGAACTGTCTGTTGAACAGCAATATTATTATAAAGAAATCACAGAAGCTTGCGTTGGTGCTGATGAAGGAAGAAGAGCTGAGGCACTTCAATCACTCTCCTGTGATCCTGGAATTCATGAAATGCTGCCAAGAATGTGTACATTTATAGCAGAAGGTGTTAAAGTTAATGTAGTTCAAAACAACTTGGCGATTCTTATATACCTTATGAGAATGGTACGAGCACTTCTCGATAATCCAGCTCTTTACCTTGAGAAATATGTAAGAAAATTCATTTTACAATATGATTGTCTTTTATTAATTTTTCTTGTTTGTTGTTAATTAAGCTTCACGAGTTAATTCCATCTGTTTCAACCTGCATCGTATCAAAACAATTGTGTCAACGTCCTGAAGTCGATAATCATTGGGCATTAAGGGATTTTGCAGCGAAACTTATGGCTCAGATTTGTAAAAATTTTAACACATCAACTAATAATCTCCAAACCCGTGTAACTCGATTATTCAGCACAGCGTTGCAAAATGATAAAGTTCCACTATCGTCCTTGTATGGTGCAATTGAAGGCTTATCAGAATTAGGACATGAAGTCATCAAAGTTTTCATAATTCCCCGATTAAAATTCATCTCTGAAAGAGTCTGCAACATGCAAGCTGCTGATATAAGTAACACAGAAAGAAATGCAGCTGGACATATTCGAGCTCTACTAGCGAAAGTTTGTGCTCCTGTTTTGAAAACGATGAGACCTGCTCCAGATGTTTTGGAAGATTATAAGAGAGACTTCGGATTTTTGGGTCCTGCCTTGCATCAAAGTGTTATGAAAGCAAGACAGACTCCAAATACTGCTCAACCAACATCCTCAGCATCAATTTCAGTTCCATCAGTAACTCCAAGGATGTAAATATATAATTTGACAAATTTACTACCCCAATTCATATTCACACCAACTTACTGCCAATGTTTTAAAATTGCTGCTTCAAGCGCTTGAATCTTACCCTAAATGTTGATATTGAACCGCATCTCATATGGAAAACTTAAAATATCTTTTAAAGTATATATGGTGTGAATATTCTCAAAAAGCTTGATCATCTTTCAATCTTTACCAATTTTAATACGTGTTATTCTACATTTTTTGCAGTACAACGACACCTATTCAACGTCAAATTTCGCAGACTCAGCAGGGACAACAAAAGTTTTATGTCACAAAAGCAAGTTCGCCATCCACAACACCAGCAAATATTGTAAAAATACAACAGAATCCAAAAATCTTTATTCAGTCAACGCCCAAAGCTGTCTCATTCGTGAATGCATCAAATCAGTCTCTACAAGAACATGAGCTTGACGATTTATCCCATTTAGCTTAAGAACTTGTGGATACAATTTTAGATAAAATCGATAAGTAATAAAATATTTTATTCAAGTTTCAACATATAACAATTAAGTATGTATTTACTTAAATCACAATAACATAAGTCATTATTTGTATAAACCTAACTTTTTACAAAATCAGTTTTTTGATTATTCTTTAGAATTTTGCGAATTTCGATTTTTTCGAATCATGCCAATCGAAATTTTTGCGAGATTTTTATCCACATTTCTTAGAAATGCTTTTTAAGTAAATTTAACAATCCCTTCCAACTACTCTATCTTACAAATTTTTCTTCATCAAGGACATCAAATTTTTAGATTCTGTGGAACCAGCTGCGTTAATCATACTTTTGAATATTCCGTCAGTTTTAAGCAAATTTTCAGGCGTATCGTATTCTGCTAGTTTTCCGAAATTCATTACTATAATTTTATCAGAATCCATAACAGTATGAAGACGATGTGCAATTGTCAAGACAGTACAGTTTATGAATTTTTCTCGGATTGTCTGTTGAATCAACCCATCAGTTTCAGGATCAACATTAGCAGTAGCTTCATCAAGAACCAGAATTTTATTTTGACGTAAAATGGCTCTTGCCAAGCAAATTAACTGCCGCTGTCCAACACTAAAATTACTACCTCCTGCTGCCACTAAAGATTGGAGTCCTTGTATCCTCAATCCTTCAATGTCTTTCAATTTTACATCCTCTAATGCTTTCCATAAAGCATCATCTTGATAATCATCAAATGGATCTAAATTCTTTCTCATCGTGCCTGCAAAACGGAAGTTCAAGTCAATTAAGTCTAATTATAATAAGGGGCCGTTCACTTATTACGTTCGCATTTTAGGGTGGTGGGGGGGGTTTGAAAAATTGTAACAAAATGTAACATAGGGGGAGGGGGGGGGGGGGGGGGTGTCAAGAAGAATGTAACGTTCTAACTGTCGTCTGTCTTTTAAAAAAAGGTCACGAAAAAAATTTGAATTATGAACGTTCAGAGGGGGGGGGGGGGGGGGGGGTTGCGAGTTGTAACATGTTGTAACAAGGGGGGGGGAGGGGGGTGAAAAAGTCGGTTTTTTTGCGTAACGTAATAAGTGAACGGCCCCTAAGGAAATGTTAATCAAATGTTGTAGCAATTTACCTGAGAAGAGAACAGGATCTTGAGGAATTATAGATATTTGTGATCTCAACTGCTCTAAACTTAAGGCACCAGTTTCAATTCCATCTATGATAATTTCACCTTCTAATTCTGCTATTCTGAACAATGATCCAATTAGTGATGACTTTCCTGCCTATGAGAAAATAATCAATTACTTTTGGATACTAATAACTAGTCTTCGTTTACGTACTCCAGTTCGTCCAACAATTCCAATTTTATCTCCGGGATTAACCGTAAATGTTAATCCTTTCAAAGCTGGTTCCATTTCCTTAGCATAGCTGTACACTACGTTCCTAAATTCAATTTTACCCTCTTGTGGCCAGCTCTTATCAGCTACTTTCTTCACTTCTTTTTGCTCTGGTTCTACATACATAATAAAAAAAAATACAGTTTTATTTTGACAAATAAGCATTTATAAATTCCAGCAACTTCGTACCTAGCTCCCGGTATTCCAAAATTCGTTCTACAGCCATCATTTGATTCATAACTTCAGCACTTTGGCGTATACCCCACTGCAACATCATCGTCAAAGCCATTGATTGTGTTATTGCTAGACCAACAGAAGCACCACTTAAATCTTTTGTATCGAATATCAAAAAGCTCAGAGTTACACAGCAAACAAAAATCATGCACAACACATCAAGCGTAAATCCAAATGCTTGTGATACATTGATGTACATAAACCAAGCTCCAGTATGCAAATTCTGATATTTAAAAATGTAGAAAAAGTTATTTGCATTGTCACGATGTGTATTAAAAACTTTATGAACTCACCTGATGCTGATCAAATTCTTTTTTAAGTATATCTTGTGCACCAAAAGCACGAATGGTACTCAATCCATTGATTGTTGCTGCTAAATGAACATATGCTGGAGATTTTGTGATTCCTTCAAGTCGCTTGAGATTTTTCGATGTTTTAAGGAAATATTTTCGTAAAAAGGAGAAAATGATGAAGAGAAATGCAACAGGTATTAGATATAATGGATTAATAACAGCTGTGACCACAATTGAACCCAATCCCATGAGAACCACTTGAACAGCATCCAAAAGACATTTTGCCAGCCACTCATCTATTGCACCTATATGACAAAGATACGTTTTATTGTTTAATGTAAGAATCACTAAGTTTGACATAAATTCTCAGGACATAAAGGATCGAGAAGATCTTAACATATTTGAACAAGAATTTAATCAAAAATCATTTGCTTACCTAAATCTTTGCTGAACCTGTTCAATATTCTCCCTGATGGATTAAGATCAAAAAATCTCATCTTTGTAGAAACTACTCCATTAAATGACATTTTATGAAGATTTTTCGAGGCTGCAATCGTGATTGTGTAAAAGTATATTGATCGTATAATGGCAATGAAAAATAAAGCAACAATTAAAATTCCACCAAAATAAACCAACGCATCACTATCGAATATTCTCTCAACTGGTTCATTTTCACTTGAATCAGTAGCTAAAGTGGAATTGTCATCTTCAATGCTACTGTTTGATGCATAAAATCTTCTCATTTCTTCTTGATGTGTCCAAAATCCCACAAAATAATCAGATGTGGATGCGATCGCTTGAGTTAGAAGAAACAGGAAAAATACAAATATGATTTTTATAGTATTGCCACCAGCTCTTAGATAATTCATTGCCACATTTCCTTTAATTTTTCCTTTCGATGATTCTTCGACATTTTTTTGAACTTCTTGTTCCTTTTCTTCCACCTCATTTTCTTGCTCAATTTCCTTGTCATCAACGGAATTTACAGACGAGGATGATTTTGATGAAGATCTACTTAGTGATCGCCTTCTAAACGTTTCCACTTCCTCTGCTATTTCATTTATGATATTTCCATCTTTCAATATTTCATGAGCATATCCTTGCTTTTCAATTTTCCCATCTTTTAATAGAACAAGCCAATCTGCATCTTTAAGGAAGTGAACTTGGTGAGTTACGAGAATTCTAGTCGAATGTTGCTTGCCCAAAAATCCACTCCTTGATAAACAATTTTCAAATAAATGCTTTCCAACGTGAGCATCAACAGCTGATAATGGATCATCAAATAAATATAAATCAGCATCCCTGTACAAACTTCTCGCTAAACTTAAACGCGCTTTTTGACCACCTGATAATGATGATCCTCGTTCTCCAATTAGAGTCATATCTCCGTGTGCAAACATTTCAAAATCTTTATTTAAGGCACATGCAGTTACTACTTTGTCATATCGATCTTTATCCATCTCACATCCAAATAAAACATTTTGACGAATGGAACCTGAGAACACCCATGCTTCTTGCGGTGCAAATGATATTTTACCCTTTATAGACATTTTTCCACTTTCAATTGGCAGTTCGCGTAATATTGTTTGTAAAAGGCTTGATTTTCCTGCACCAACGTGACCTAGAATACCTACTAATCTCCCACGTTTAACTTTTAAATTAATTTTATTCAATGTTAATTTATATTCATTTTTATCTTCTGCATCTTTATCTCCAGAAGCGTTTTCCCTTTCTTCCATAGTTTTCCATCTACAACAAACATCGTCCATTGATAAGATAACATTTGCAGGAGTTTCTACATTTCCATTCATACTTTTTCCGTTTTCATTAAACATTTTATCGGAAATGAATCGATCATTACTGTATTCAACTTTTTCATCATGTTCTAAAAAGTTTTGTAATCTTCTCATAGCAACAAGAGCCTCGGCAATTTCAGCGATTCCGCGAACAAACATTTGAGATAACACGCTAGATATAATTTGATACAATGATGAGATGACAAAAACTTTTGAAGCCGTCAACTCATCGCCCAACACTACGATTGCCATCATTGTACAATAAAGGGCTGAGCGTGTAGTAAACAACATGAATGTCATATATAAAGCTCTAACATATGACGACTTTTTGATGACTTTCAATTCCTTCTCACGTGCCCATCCTATGAGTTTCTTGAATGATTTTTCCCATGCGTATAATTTGATGACTTGAATGCCATTAATTATTTCATCCATTAGACGAACTCTTTCGTCTGTACGAATAGCAGTTTGAAGTCTAAATTTCGATGATAATTTGCCTGTGTATGATTGAAGTGGTGTAACCACAGCAATCACCAACATTCCTATAAGTCCGGCATATCCAACTTGTAAATACAAAAGTACACCGACTACAATTGTAAGCAATGGAGCTAGCCATAGACAATGTAGAAATACAGAGACAATATCAAAACGAGAGACATCATTACTTAACAAGTTGACAACTTTTCCAACTGACGTATTCCCCAAAGCTGTACTGGAGAGTCTTAACGACTTCCTGTAAATTAAGGAACATGTTGCTAATCTCACTTTCATTCCATTTGAGAAGCTTGTAATAAGAAACTGATTAATTGTAATAGCACCAAGAGCATTAAGTGCAATCAACATTCCAGCATTAAAAAAGGCCGATTCCTTAGACAAATTTGAACTTGGACTAAAGTAATCTAGCAGTCTTCCCAAAAATAACGGTAGTGACAGTCGTACAACAATATCATTTATGAATTCATACACTCCCAGAACTAAATATTCACGCCAAAATGTCTTCGTGATTGCTTTTATAAGTGATGGTCGCTTACTATTACTCTTGTTGATTTGTCTATTCCAGTTCCTGAAAAATAAATTTTTAATTTTTCTTTAGAGTCGATCGGTAAGTAAGAAAGAACTTTTGTCAAGCTTCATAAACATTTTTCAAATGAACCAGACTAGAAACAGTCCTACTCTAACCATCACCTCCCATCCACACGATTAATTTGTCAGCATGGCATAGAGTGAGATCTAGGTGTACACTTAATATCCAAATAATACGTTTGAAAATGCAACAAACAAGATGAAACTTTAATATGACGGATATTATGAAGAATGAATAGTATGAAGAATGAAAAAGCCGGTTCACGTGTTGCTGGTTTCATTATCAATTATACGACCTTGTGATTTTTTTATGCAGCATCATCGTCTTTATATAAAATTATAAATTAGTTTCTTACTCCTCACATATGAATATCTTAATAAGATTTCGTTCTTTGTCAATACTTTAATTGCATTGTTCAATTCTGTTCCTCAAGTCTTATCAATTTTCGTGAGTAACAAAAGACTTATCGCGTTTATAAAGACAAACATTTGTACTTTAACATGCTCATGACGTGACAAATAAAAACAAGATCGCATAAAGTAATATAACAGATTTTTTTAACTTACTTCTCAAGTCGATCTCCAAGTTTTTCAGATTCGTCACATTTCAGTGGCTTATATAAGTCTTCTACTTCTAGATCTTTTTTATATCCCTTCTTAAAAAGGTCTATTGTCCAAAAAAAGGTAATTATAGACAAAAAACTTGCTTTCTCTCTAGGATTCTCGGCATTCTTTTGATCATACTGTTGCTCCATCGTTCAGGTTTACTTTCTTACTACTGTCGTACTGTTTATAATTTGTTATGTCAACACTCAATTTATTTGTTGCCACTTCACAAATTAATATATAGGCTCTTGCTTTGCAACCAATTGATTTTAATTAATATTGAAATCAATATATATTCAGCATTCCACTTACTTAATGTTCTATGTATCTATCTATTTTTATTATGAGAATTTTATCACAATAAACAATAATAATAAAAAGCAACAAAGTAAAATTAATGAACTTAACATAAAAGCTGTATAAAGTTTTTTAGATTTGATTCAATTACATGTTGAGATTATAATGACATTTAATATTTCCAATGTCTATTAAATTAAAAAATATTTTTTTTTTTGCAAACACGGACCGAATTATGGCCTTTAAGTACGATCGCTGGAGAAGAACTAAATGTTAAAGAGAGAATTTTACAAATTTTTGCTCTTACTGAATATATACTTTTCAATGATGGATATATTTGTGTAATTTTTTCACACATCCTAATTTTAAATTCTCGTACTTGCTTTAACGTTCTCGAGCAAATAAATTTTATAGATAGCTTATTTTCTATTCCAACATGTGCTCGTCAAATCGCTATCAAATTTAATTTTATTCCAGTAATTAATTTTGAAGCCACTTTTTTTTATCAGGTATGAGATTAACATTCAGTCTACGGAATAGCAAAACTTTGTTAAAAAGTTTATCAAATTAGTTTCATTTGAAAAAACATTAATAACGTACGCAGCATTAGGGGGGGGGGGGGGGGTAAATGAGATTTGAACAAATCAATTTTCTTGGAGTTCTATGATTTTTTTTCGAAAAAAGTTCATTATTGTATAAGATAATAAAAGAACGATTCCTTAGAACCTCTTGTGAATAAGAAAATAAGAGGTTCTAGGCCAGTGACAAAGACAAAACATCAATCAGGTTCCCAAGGACTGAAAATTTTAATTCAATGTTTCTCAAAATTTCAGAACAGTTTTAAAATGATGAATATTATGAATAACTTTATTTGAGGATGAATAAGATAAGTAATAAAAAATAAAAATCAAGTTCATGTAATTTCTGAATTACTCCTTTTAAAGTCTTAAAAATATTTTTCAAAATATCAGTTTAAAATTAGTAATCATTGAGCAACGATTATCTAGTCATTGTTTTTATTTTGAATTGACTAAGAGTTTTAAACATAGAAAACATTTCCAAGTATTCAAGTTTTTGCATGTTTAAAAGATTTGCTACCTGAAAAAATTAAATATCGAAACTTTATTGTTCTTCATCACATTAAAGTGCATTAATTTCTTGACTGATCAACTCCTTGATTTCTCTGTGTACAATCAATTTCAATTGTTGTCAAAAATAATAAGGTATGCATATGCAATTTAATAAAATACAAATTTATCCAATTATAAAATGTTGTATTGAGCATCATAGAACATAACGTATAAGAAGTTTGAAAATATCATGAGCATTATTTTTGAGATGTGCCTATGCTTATGAGGGGACTGTAAGTTGCTTAGCATCTCATAATTTCGCGTCATTTTCATATAGATGTACGGACTCAAGAAATCCGATTGAAAAAGAATGTGATTAATATGTGAAAAAGCTAAATTTAAATTAAAATTAAAGAAGAAACAGTTAAAAGAATCCCCAAAGAATGAAAGTTAATAGAATTTAGTGTTGTAAACGTATTTATTGTCACTGAAAACATCAAAAGTTTGAAATCGGAACGAATAGTGAAAACTCTCTCAAGATTTTTTTTTAAATGGAGATGTTGAAAAAAGCTCTATTACATTTGTAGATAATAATTTATTAAAAACTGTATATAGATTCTTAGAATAAGTAAGAAATTGTGCTGAAAGTCATTTTCAAGTGAGCAAATATTGTTTGGAATTTAAAAATAAGTAAAAAATGCGTTTTTTCGCGAGACGCGATTGAAGCAAAATCAAATTATAATTACAAATTTTCTACTTTCTACGTAACAAAATCAGTGAAATTAATGGTAAATTAACAGTGCTAGTGCTTAAAAACAGTTCTATGAAATCAAAAGAGCAAGAAAATAAGATTTTAGTGGCTTAAATTCACCCGAAAGTTATTGGATATATTCGAAGCATATACATATATGTATAAAAGGCCAGCCATTCTTTTTCATTTGCTTCTTCTACTTTCCGATCAAACGACGGCAACTTTTTTTTCATGTATTCGGTTTTAAAAAAATGACTTGAATTTTTTTTCTAAAATTTTATTCATTTTTTGAAAGTTTTTAAATTAATTTCTCATGATTAAAAGTTAGAATTTTTTGCATTTATCACATCCGTCCCTGTGAAACTCAGTGTGTATTTTACAAGAAATCGGTGTACACAATTACAAGTCGTTCTACACACACTGATGAGTTGGGTTCCATTTTGTTGAAAAATATCTCAGAGAAAAAATATGTTTCCTTCAAATTATTCTCATAACTTTAGAATTAAACGAAATTACATGAAATTTATGTTTGCAAGTTCATAATGAATAAAATATCAAATTTTAAAAATCCCCCCTTACACATATACATGACAATTTGATCATTAAAAGTCATACACAATCATAGAGAGGCGACTTAAAGACGGGTGTTGGTTGATTTAAACATAAAATTGCAAACTTTTAACATAAATTCTCAACATAAAATCCTCATTGAGCTAAAGTCAATAGAATTATCAATTAGACTAGTGATATATTTACATCATGTATGCTCCAACCAACCAGCTGCATAATTCTGGAGTTTAGCAGTTGGCTTGCGAATCTGTAATTTTTGTATGTTCTTCTTCTTTCCTATCCGTTCGTATGTTTCTTTCTCTTCTCTGTATATTATCCATCGTAAGCAGAAAAAAGCAAGCAAACGAACAAAATACAAGAGAGATTCGTATGAACAATCTTTCTAGCTGGTTTTTTTGTGAAGAGTACAGAAGAAGCAGAATGTGAAGAAAAATAAAAGAAATATGAAAAAGAAACGCTAACGAGAGAAATTTTGGGGTTAAGCCAGTTGAGCCACAATAAAGTAACTTAAATTATTAAACTTTAATAATGCGGCCCACAAAACGTACATGTATATCCAATTCAAAGAAAAGTTCTTGTTTTAATAATTATTTTGATCTCATAAAGCATTAAAATATTAATGACTCACCGAATAGTTTTATTATAAACAAGAAAAAAAATTAAATAAATAAAAAAAATCTTTCACAGTGATTCAACAATATTGGCGGGTGTTTTTGAAGAGTCAAAAGCTTGAATCGTTCAAGGAAGGAAAAAAGTGAAGAAAAAAATAGAAGCAAAAAAATAATAAAATATAAAAGTAAAGAAGAAAAATGTGTGTGAGAAGAATAATGAAACAGGGCATATAGACTAATGATAATCAAAGTGAAAAATAAATAAAACCTTTTACTCATAATCTGCCTACTCTAACAAGGAATAAAAATTCTTGAAGGAAATAGAGTTGGTATTTGTGAAATAATGGCATCTCAACCATCAGAGCATTTACAAAATGATAGTGGTAATCCAAATTTAAAAGGAAATGAATATCAGCAGCAACAACAACAGCAACAAGAAATATTAACAAAATTACAGAATGGTGGGCAAGCAAATTCACCTTCAATTCCCCCTGTATCGACAGCCGATATGAAAGGCATGAAGTCACCACCAAGTAATGGCAATAGTGGAAGTCATGGTGCTCCAAATGAGATGATTTCAGGATATCATCCATCACATCAAGAAGGTATAGGACTACCACCATCACAACATCATCCTCACATGCATCATCCAGGCAGTGAAAAGGATGAATTGCCACCACCTCATCATCAACAGCAGCATCCAATGTATGGCCATCAACCAATGCATCCTATGCATGCTCCACAGCAACATATTCCTGGCCATCATTTACCAATGCACCCTCATCAACAACGATATCATCCTCATGCTGGTCCACCGCATGGGCCGATGCAACACACTCCAATGCATCCACATGATCCAAATCAACAGCAAATGGATCCATATGCACATTATAGAGGAATGATGGGTCCACGACCCCCTCAAAGATATGGAATGCCACAGCAAGGACCATTACCAAATAACACTCAAAATGTTCCAGCAGGTGCTCATCCGCCAGCTCCTGGTGGAAATCAACAGCAAGGTCCAACACCAACACTTAATTCATTACTACAATCACAGCCCTCACCACAATCACCTCAAAGTGCTCCACCACATCGATATCCAAATCCAAATCCATATGATCCATATGGTCCACCTGTAAGTGGCCCACCCGTAAGTGGATCATCATCGCCAATGCCAACACAATCTCAACAGCAGCAGCAACAACAACAACAAGGCTGGGTTCCTCCACCAAGACCTTATAGTCCCCAGCAATATCGTGGCCCTCCACCAACGGTGAGTCTCTTTTAAATAATTATTTATTTTATATGCGTTCCCTATCAGCGAATCAAATTCTCATTTCATATTGATGCCAGTCACAGAATCTAAAGATATACTTACTTTGTTTTAAATTTGAAGGTACACAATAAAACTAATAAATATACAAGCAGGCAGCTTTGTTTATAAACGATTTTTCTATTTGTCGTTAATGTATCATTCATTATGCCTGATGATGAGTGTAAAATTAAAAGACATTTAGGCGCCGTCATTTATTTCAAAGCATGTATATACGGCATTAAAGTATATAAATGAAATTATTTCATTTCTCTATTTTTTTGTTTATTTTATTATTATTTTTTTCGTTCTTAAACCGGCAAATTTTTATTGACATTATAAAAAAATGACGCAAGCAACAAATTCTTTACGGCATATTTTTATTTTTTATTCACAATTAATACATAAAATGTGTAAATAGAGTTTCTTATTTTTTTTCAATGTCGCTGAATGTTTTCAAACATACTTTTCATTATATATATTTAGCAATACAAACAGTTTGAGACATTAATATTATTACTTTTTTTATTTATTTTGTTGTTGTTTGCGCGAGTTTATGAAGAAGCACATTTAATGCGTTAGAAATATGTGCCATTGACGTTGATTCGGTAAAGAATATAAAAATTTTATCAGATTTGCACATAGCAATTGAATTTAGTGAATTTTAAAATAAACGAAAAGTATGTGCATGAAGAAGGTTCAGTACATAAGAACAAAAGTCATAGTAGATGAATCCAAAAATAAATTCAGAACTGGCTACAACAACAAATAACAAATGAAAAAAAAAAACTCATCACAAAAATGTGTATAAATATAAATTAAGAATTAAGCAATTATTGTTGAAACAGGTCAGTAATGCGATGATTTCTTATTCTCGTCTTTTTGGCGGTTTCTGCTTTCGTCTTCTTGTATATTTTATCGGGACTTTTTTTTTTTGTTATTATATACTCACATTTTTATTGATGTACAAAAAGTAATGTTTAAAGCGGTCTCCCCAAAAAAAAAAGAAAATCGATTGAAAACAAAAAATAATAATAATGCCATCAGCAATATTTGAAAACATTTACGCAAAATCCAAAATGATGCACTGTGATTCACCTAATTATAAGCTTATATAGCTACTTGTGCTGCATGCATGCAAATCAATAATGCATTATTTTTGATAAAAATCTCGCTCTTTCACTTCTTTTTTTCTGTGTTATTTTTTTACGATGAATAAATAACGGGTAAAAGGGATAAAAGGTCAGGGATTGTTTAGTATGCTATCACATTTCAGAGCAAAAAAAATACTCAACATCACATATGTATGTATATCGGCAGTAGCATTGAAATAAAAAAAAGAACATGACATGAATCATTGCGGTATGCGAAAATTTAAGCACTGAGATTAAAGTGTTTTGTTGATACCAGCAAGGAAGCATTGAAAATATTTCTGCTATGAATACAGAAAGGTTGAATAAAAAAAAAAACTTTTTTTTGTGCCCCAAACTGTCGGCAATGTTTTATGTTATATTTTTTGTTGTTGGGTTCATTATACTTTAAACAATTCATTCTCTAAGCTTCACCGACCGCTGTTTCACTACTGTGTACAACATTCACTTTCTAAAACAGGATTTTCTCCTCCTCACAATGTTTGCATATTTGTGTGATATACGCATCAGTGTTTAGTGTACAGACCGATTTTGTCACATGGCGTGTGAGATTGCTGCTGCATATAAACCTTAGTCAAAATATTCATCTCTTTTTTCCGCCAAATATTTCTTTATATACAAAATGTGTCACAAAAATTTAAATGATTTACACAGACACTCGTTCAAGGAACTTTTTTTTTTCTGTCGTAAAAGTCATAAAAATCTTTTTCATAGTGAAAACGAAAATAAAAGTTTTTCTACTCCCTCTCTCTGTCTCTCCTTATTCACAAGAAGTCAGAAACTTCTTTCATTATGTATATACGAATATATATTTATACATACTTTTCCGCCACTACTTGCTATGTACACACAATATATGTATATACATGGCACACAAAAAAAAAGATTTTTCAAGTACAAGGCGAATGAAATAGAAAACTTTATTGCGGTATATAAACGATACACATGGAACGAGTATGATTTATCAAAAAAAAGGAGGAGAGAGAGAGCGAGAGACACAGAGAAAAGGAAAAATAAATAATAAAGAAATGGCATGTAACAAATTTTCTCCATTCACATGTTTCTACATGCTTGTAAACTTTTATTTAAATCCATTGCCCTCGTGAAGAGAAGAGTCAGTCTCATGTTACGATTTTCCTACATTGGAAATCACGATATTCTCAAGTTCTTTTTTTTTGAATAACTCACGTGCTCGGATCCCTTTAAAGACTTTATTTACTCTTTTTCCTCTTCTTCTCCTTTATTTTTTTATTTTTATTTCTTTATTTCTTTATTTTTTCCCCAACGACAAACTTAATATATTCCTTCATTCTTTTTTAAAGTCACGTGGAAATGATGTAGTGGAATGGAACAAAAGCTCTGTGAGAAGACAATTAAAGAGAAATAATTTCATTCCCTTACTAGTCAGTCCAACAATCTCCCCAAAAAAGCATAAATTATATTGCATAAAGTCATAAGATGTGATTTGGTCATGGCTATTGAGATGGTTATTGTATGTACAATAAGTACATAAGGACAAACTCTCTGCATACATATATCTGATATATCAATTTAAAAAATGTATAACTACCTGACCTTGCTTAACAAAACTGTATAAACAACAATGAAAAAAAATGTATATGGATTCCCCCGGCAAATATCTCTCATACCTTGTGTGTTATATAAAGGCATGAGAAAATTATAATACATAAAAAAGCCGTCATAAGCAAAGTGACAGCAGCCAAAATTTATTGATTTTTAAGCGTTCGTCGACAGTTAGTATAGTTTTGACTATTTACCGAATGTCTTCTCTATATGTTTCACATTTTTTTATTATTCATCTCTTTAACTCGTCTTTTTTCGCGGCAAAAAGTTTTTATGATTCAATTTATTAAGATTCATGCTTAATGATCGTTTAATGAACTTGAAATGTATTTTTTCTTGTGTATGAAAAAAAAAATTATTTGATTTTAAAAGACAAATTAATGGAGAGTTTTTTGAGTTTTGCTGATTCTACAAACATACTCTATATAATTGCTGGATTTCTTTGAAATCCTTTGTATCTTCTAGAATTATTAATTTTATGATTTGACTGAAGACAATTTTTATCTTAAGAATTAGCATAACAGACAGGACAGTTTTTAGATTGTAATTTTGATTTGTGAATCATTGATGAAGTATCTGAAACTGTATTATCCAGATAGAACTTAATCTGAGGTACTGAGCATTATAAAGATTAATGCCCGATTACGAGAGTAAAGATTCAAAGGTTGTCTAATTAAGTATCCGACAGATAATCTTTAAACTTCTATTAAGCATGCACGGGATTCGCAACAAAGTTCAATCTCTCAATATTTCAGATTAGGATCTGAAATTTGCTCTTAATCTTTAACCAAATTTCCAAAATACTAATAATCAAAAATCCATCAATGAGCGAAACTTTTTACCTACAAATTCATTGCTCTGATATTACATGACGTCGTCAGATGATGAACTTATCAAATAATATTTAAACAATCGAATAAGCTTAATTTAAATGTTCATTCAAAAACACATTATAAATAAAACAAAACAGAATGAATAAACATTAGCTTTGCATTGAACATAATATTAATTTAATGAAATCGATTAAAAAGTCTTTTATCTTCTCATGAATTTTTAAAACAGCATAAGCGATAGCAATAACATGTGCGCAAATAAGATAAAGGAAAGTGAAAGAATTAAATGATTGATGCATAAAAGTATCAACTCTAAACTCTCGAAGCATAAAACATAATTACATGAAGAGAAGGCAAAGAAAATAGAATTTGAAAGATGAAAATTCAAATGATAAGAAATTGTTCGCCCTGTGTGATAGATAGAAGAACTCAACAACCACGCCCTCTATCATCCTTTTTGGAATTTTCCATTAATATGAAAGAGAGCAGATAGCATGTAGATAGAACTTATTCCGCTTCTGTTATATCTTTCTATACTGTACGATACTGTGCTGTATAAGAGATGATGTGGGTAGTAATGTTATTAAGGGGGAGGAAGGTTTGAATCATTCTCCTTATTATTTTTCCTCTGCATACATACTCTCTATCTCTTATTCTCTCTCACAACGTCAGAAAATAAAGGAAAGAAGAAAATAAAACTTCGGGAGAAATGAGACAAAGAGGGTGATTCAGGACAAAAATCGATTCATTTTGCCTCCTTTAGCAAGCAGTGTAGAAAAAAAAGAAGAAAGAAAAGCAGAAAAATATGTATGGAAAATAAATTTTCTTCTCAACATAAACGAGAAAATGCTCTGTAGATAGATTTTAGATGTACAAAAATGTCGAGGAGAAGAGTAGTAGAGATAGCAACCATCAACCATGTGTGTCTACATGTTGTAAATGAAATGATTTAAGGGAAAGGATGCAAAAGGATGAAAATTATATACGAAATGTAAGAAAATTTTCATGTGATGAGAGAAAATTTTTGTGTAATGCACAAGCAAGTGAGAGAGCGACTGAACATTTTTAGTTCTTGTTTTTTCTTTTTTTTTTTTTTTGTTGAAGGCAAGGAAGGAAAAAAAATTTTGTTCCAACTTTTACCCTCGTACACACAACTACATTCAAAAAAAGCTTAAATTATAGAGTGGGTGGCATGATGATGGGGTTGGTTGGTTGGATGGTTGGTTGTTGTATAATGAATGTGGCAGGAGAATGAGAACAAACGACAGAAAATGTTTCAAGCAGGGTGGAAAATGGAAAGGTGGCTGTTTGCGTCAAGGGGAGACAGAGAGTATGAGGCTTATGGAAAACGTTATACAGAAAATGTGAATGGCAGCAGAATTAGATTGCTATAGATTGTTCCATGAAAACAAAAAGCAGAGTGCTCTATTTCGTTGTTTTCAAACTGTAGATGTAGAATGAATTTTTCTTTCCTTCTTTGATGAAAAGGAAAGAGAGAAAACTTTTAATGTTTTTGCCGGTCTACGTACATTTGTTGGTCAGAAAAATTGAAGGGAAAAAATTCCTTGCTTTATCATAAATGATTCAGTATGGCATATGAATATGAAATGAGAAAATAAATTCCTCCTTTTGCCTTTTTCTTTCGAATCAAATAAATAGATTCATGAATTGATTGACTATATTACAGTCCATAGTAACTATAAATTGTCTGGACATTAAACATATAAAAATTTTTAAATAAAATTTATTGATTATCTTATAAACAGGCAAATACGTCAAGAGGACAGTCTCCTTATCCATCTGGGGTTCAAAGTCCAGGTCCTTATCCTCCAAATGCTGGACAGCAACAAACAAATCAACCACCCGGTCCACCACAACAGTATCAATATCCACAACGATATCCTACACCACCTGCAAATCAACAGCAACCACCTATGGGTCCTCAAAACCATCGACCACCATACTCACAAGTAATTTTAAACTTAACCTTATGTATTAGAGTAATCTCATACGTATACTTTATTTTTTTAATTCAATTTATAACAGTGGCCGTCACCAGCAGCTAGTCCAGGTCCACACTTAGGAAGTTCACAATCGTCCCCTCATGTGCCTCCTCCTCAAAGTCCTGGACCTCAACAGACATCACAACAACCAACACAACTTACTGGCGCTCCGTGCAGTCCGTCCTCACAGCAACCACAATCACCCCATCAGGTAACTTTTTGTTTCTGAATATATTATTATTCCTTATTTGTTTGTCTCAAAGAATAATCTTTGCACTTGACTTTATTACTTCAATATATGGCAAAAAATATATACATGTAGATAGAAGAATTGGGGAAAAAAGAAAAGAATAAAGAATAATGCGATGGACAAAATACACGATATATGTATATAATTTGGAATGAAAAAAAAAATTGAAAGTTCAAATACCTTTTATGTTTTTAAATGAGGTTTATTTACGGAATTCATTCTTCTTCGTTTTCAATGATATACAGAAAACAGCTGATTGCTAGCAAGTAAATAAAAAAGGTTGAAAAGTGTACGGAAAAATCCTTTTTGACTCATACCATACTTTTTTTTATTATACTTTAAAAATATGCTTTAAAAAGAGAAAGAGAGGGAAATTGCCGAAAAAAAATATTGTAAACTCCGCTACGTCTCCAATGAATGAAATGAATGAATGAAAGAATCAATAAAAAGAAGTAAACATTCAAAACGCGTATATAGATTGTTTCACATTTGCAATGCGTTTAATAATCAAACATAGCACAACAGACATACTTTTTTGCGGGATACAATATTTACCTATATTCTGTATATCTATAAAAATTCTAATTGTATAATTTTAGTATTCAAATCGACCGAGTCAACCCTCAACGCCGATTGCAAACGACAATGAAATGATTGGGGTAAGTTTTTTTCTTTCCATTCTCTTCCTCTAAAATAAAAAAAAAATGATACAAACCTGTTGAATTGTTGTGGTAACTTATGGTTTTATGGCGAAAAATTTCTGGGATATATCAAAATACACACCAAATATTTCATGCTTAAATATTTTATCAACAGGTGTCTTTTTCATTTCATTTCATTTCATTTTTTTTCTTCTAAAATAAAATTATTGAGCCGGTCTTATATACATGCATAATAGAAATTATATACAATTAATAGAGAGAGAAAAACAGTTTATGACAATTAAAGTCTTATGTACATTATTCAATACATGCATTGAACTTACGATGTGCTCTTTAAATGTATAGCAGGTAGAAAAAAAAACACATTACAACTTTTTTTTGAACGATATAGAACAATGATCTCTTTAAAGCGAGAAAAAAAAAACATTCCGATATATGTATCAGACGTTTCACTTTATATACTTCTACCGCTTATGTACAAAAAAAAAAATAAATTTATTTCACTTCCGGATGGCGCTAAAATAACATAAATGTTTATTGTAGTTATTCATAGCGTCTCGGTTATGTATTCAAGTTTTGTTCACTTCTTTCATATCTTCTGGGGATTTTACATGAATGGGAAAGAATTTGTATTTTTTTTTAATGCTCGCACATTTTTGCGGGTTGCTCTTTAGAGATGCTGATAATGTTAATGCACAACCGAATCAATTAATGCGAAAAGTTTTTAATTAATTTTTTTTTATATTTATTTTAAATTTTAATTTTTCACCACCCACATCACCCTACAGCGAAAAATAGACTATTTTAATATCACATTAAAAAGGCTTAAAATTTAATACATGTTTTTGTTCTCTTTTTTGTGGTGAAATTTTATATTTTTTGATAATATTATAAGCCAAAAAAATCAATCAGAACACCTAATGAAACACACAAAAAATATGTGTACATATTTGCACTGAAAAACAACAATTTTTTAATTAGTTTCTGTTGTGAAAAAAAAAATACATTTTCATGTGATTCACTAGTATGCGTTTTTTATGCAATTCCATGTAGTTTTTTTATGTACACAATACATTTTATATATTTTATTTTATTTTATTTTTTTGTAAAAAAAATGAAATAATTTATGCTCATGTCATTTACGAGCGCTACTTAGTATGAGTTATTACACTGCTAAAATTTTTCCATGGTTATCTCCCTCTCACTCTCTTTCCAAAGCCTCAATACAAATAAGCACTTTGTACAGAAAAATTGAGAAATAAACGCATAATGACTTGATGAGTTTCTAATTACCTAAAAAATTCAACGACATAAGAAGAATTTGAAACAAAATAATTTACGCTGATTAAAGGACAATTCATGTGACATAAATTTTAGTCTACAATCATTTGACAGTGTACATTTCGAGCGCAATTGTATTGGTTTATAAATGCCGGCCTTTGTGTATTATTTTCTCAGTGGAGGAACAAAAATAAAAATTTCATTTCATACTGGCTCGTGTATATGAAAAAAAAGAGAAAATTGAATTATCCACCTATACATTCATTCGTCGTTATTTTTCACAATTGTAGTGGTTTAAAAAAATTATATGTCAATTTCTGAACAAAAAATATTCATTTTGCTTCGTAGTTTCGATTCAGAGAAGTTACATATTATAAAAAAAATATAATTAAGAGTTTTTAAAAAAATTAAGTTTCAAGATACTTTAAATTGTGACAAAAATTTTGATGCAGAACTCATAAATGTGGTGTTGGCAACATGAATCAAACGGTATAGTGACATAATCAATAGATTTAAAACGTTTGAGGGAAAAATGTGATTAAATATGCAAAGGTATTGAACAATGTTTAAAAGAAAAAAATGTGTTTCAAATCCGTAATCAGCTTTCTGTGGACCTCTAGTGACATAAAAGTATAATTTTGCATGATTTAATTATTTCTTTATTTTCACTTTAGTTTTAATGACGAAATTTAGCTTTTTAAAGTATTTCGTAAGCACAATTTTAATTTTTTTCTACATTTACGCTCAAACAATAAGTCATTCCATAAATACAAGAAGACATAGTGTTCAAAAACATGAAAAAAAAATATCAAGTTAGAAACTTATCAGTGAATTGCATATAGCAAGAAGAAAAAGAGAATTTCAGAGTATTGCGCTTTTTTGTGTGCTCATCATGCTTATCGATTCAGTCACTTACAATGTGGTCGGGTGCAAGTAAAAAGTATATGAGAAGGAAAAGTTACAAAACCACGTGTGCCGTATCTTTTTCTTTAACATAAAACTTTATGATATTCTCTCGCTTCTTTTTTTTTTGTTTATGCTCCCCATCCCGAGATTGTTTTGATAAAAAAAAATTCATTCAAGAATTTCGAGACACATTCAGCAAGAAAAAAAAGGTCATGGAATTTAGTTCATCTCCTTTTCCTCGACTTCATTACAAACGAAAAACAAAAAAAAAGCTTGATTTAATTGGATACGATGAAATCAAAATTCGAACCAAAATATTCATCACATAAATAAGTTGTAGACAGTAAAAGTATTTTTAATGGGAAGAGAAAGAGAAGAAACGTTTTCCTTATATACTGACATAAACGCTAACTTAATAATTGATCAGCTGATTTCTAATGTATTTTTATGCTCGATTGAGTTCCGATAAAGTGCCTGCTTATTTAAAAACTCAAATATAAAATGCGAGGGAATTTTGTTTTCAGTATAATCATGTTTTATTGATTCGGCATTTCTCTTCTTTTTTTGAAATTCATTTTTAATTTATTACTTTTTCGCTTCTTCTTTTATTTGTTGTTCAAAAAATAGGGTCGTTCGTCATGAAAAAGATTTAATGACTTATTTCTTTAATTTCAGAATATGTTAATATTTATTACAATAATTTTTTATCTCCACTATTTTGTTATCATTATAGGTAAATCAAAAGAAAAAGAACAGCAGTGCAAAGAAGAAAACTAAGAAGCAACAAAAGGTGAGCAAATTTTTATTCTTTATCATTAATTAGTATGAAAAACAAAATGCCTTATGTGTGAACGGTAAAAGAATTTCATCCTATGTACATGACTTAACTACTTTAAAACCCTTTTAAAATATTTTGCAAAATATATTCCGCCAGAGTAGTTAATAAATGACGACTATACAAGATAATTGGTTTTAGACTCTCTAGTCTACTTGTCAAAAGTATTTCATACTAGGCTTAATTTTTGTTGAGTTTAGTAAACGTCGCTTATGAATGATCACATACAAAAACTTTGCTTTAGCAATGCAGTATTAGGATTTGCAAATAATGTGATTCTATTTAAGTCAGCTTAAGTTTGCAAATGCCTAGATTTTCTCGTGAATTCATCTTACTAATTCTCAGCTAGTTTTTGAAGGAAATTCGCTTAAAATGTAAACATTTTTCATCCAAGGGAATTTGTTTGTCATGTTCATCTTAAAAACAAAAAAGGTACAAAAATAACAACCAACATGTTCCATATGATGCATGTGACATAGTCGAAAGAAAATGTACATAAACATTTTTTTGATGTCGATGCCGTATCTTGTAAAAATTTATGTAACCGAAGTGCAAAAAAGGAAAATGTAAAAAATGTTTTCTGCTCTTTTTTTGTGAGCAATGTCAAGGTTATATTTATTACTAATTTCTCACAGGCTCAAAAAAGAAAAGAAAAAGAATAGCCGCAACTTGTTTATGTGATTATATTGCCTGATTTTTATTGCATTTATGTGTAACTTTTTTCTATGTCATTGACCTCATCATCATCGCACATTTGCCAGTGTTTATTTTTTGAGACGAAAAAAATAAATTTGCAGATATAAAGCACATAGAATGAGAAGCAGAAGAAGACGAGATGAATATGTCAAGCAATAAAAATGGCAATAATAATAATAATAATAATAGATGACTATGACTTTTCGTACCATTCTGGTACTGATTCATTGATGTACTATTCTGTTATTGTTATGAATAATTCTAAGCACACGTCAACAACAATCAAACGAGAAAATTCAGAGAGGTGTGCTCGTATTCTCTCATATCGACTTGATTTATGATATTACCTAATTTTTTTTTTTGACATATAAAAAAGTAAATAACGATGGGGAGACTAATAAAAGAGCGGGTTCTTGACCTTCGATAACAATTTGTAAAAAAAATAAATGATAATCACACGAGTGAGCTTGCATTTGATTAAAGATTCTTCAATTTATTTGTACCTACTTCTTTTCATATCTCTATTTGCTTGTCAGACGTAAAACTTTCATCAAGATCAAAATTTCACTTGGATAGGATATTACAACCTCTTATATATACTGCCTAGCCACTGTTACTTGGAAACATTAAGAAAATTCAAATCAATTAAGTTTCTCGAACCACTCGACACTTTTTTTTATTCCTTTAAAAGCTCGGAAAAAGAAAATTTATATTGATAGTCTCTCCTTCTTTTTTCTTAAGCGACAACAGCATGTTAAAATGATAAATCATCGATAAAATGAGGCATTAAGTTGCCTGATATTCCTTTAAGAAGAGTCTCATTTATGCATAATATTATCACACGATATACAGCAAAAAGCATTTCATGTGCCGAAAAAAACGATGTAATAAGAAATAAAAATAAAGTGGATTTCCAGTTGTACGCGTTTTGGCATAATGCATTAGTCGCAAGCAAGGGCTTGACACAAAATGTTTTTTTCTTCTGTAAATTGTTTGTCGTTTGCTTGCTTCATCATCATTATTGTTGTTGAAGACTGGGCATTAATATTAGGGAGTTAGTAATCGGTTAGAGACGGGCAAAATGTTAAAAATGTCTTATGTTTTGTCTCGACTGACTGGTATAAAAGAAGAGCTGTATAGTTAAAAAATATCTAAAGCCAAACATTAATTTTAGATACATTTCGTAAAGCAGTAAAGTAATATATTTGTGCCAGAGTCACATTAGAAACAAACAAAAATTGAGTAGAACAGAGAGCGATGATTAAGAAAAAAAAGGCGCAAGATGTACAAAATTTCAGAATAAAAAACAATTTCTGATTCGAAATAAAATATATGCGAGAATCAGTAAAAAAAATAAGAAACTTTAAAAGCCTCTCTTGATGTGAACCGGGTAGGGTAAAACAATCTAAGAAAAACAGCGCCAGAGTTCGCAAAAGCAAAAAGCGTATTTATAAAAATCCATTCAGCAATATTTTTCATGATGAAAAATAAAATATAAATTTCAGTTTTTCATGTAGAAACATTTTCAAAGCGCTTCAGTGAAAATAATCGAGTAAAAATGCTTCGAAAAATGCCGTACGTAAACGAAAAGCAAGCAGCTTGTGCCCCATAAAACACACCAGAGTGAGAGCCGAAGCACAGAAAATTTTATATTTTTTGTGTTCATTCCATATAGCTAGATGTTTCTACATTTATATTTTTCGTTCATTCGTTCGCTTCGTATAACAACATCAGTTGAGTATTAGAGTTTGCTGTGTGGCTCACATCAGCAATGAACAGAGTCGACTCTTTCATTCGAGTAAAAATTTAATGGGCCGTAATAAGGGGGTTTATATAATAGCGTATGAATAAAAAATTGAGTATGAACGGATGGACTACAATTTATCTGCTAAATGAATATATTGCAATTTCGTATGAGATATGTTATATCTGAAAATATCAGGCATTGGGAAAAAGAGAGTGAACAGAATAGCAGTAGAAGTTCACAAGAGCATCAGCAACCTAAATGAATGAAACGTTTGTCGGACGGGAAAAACCTCAAACCATTATTTCAATTTTGTGTGTGCTTTCACAACAACACATTCATGGCACAGCACATTCAGAGCTTACTCATTTCATTCCACCCAACGCAAAATTTATCTCTAGTTTGCCTGTTCTCATTTCACATTTCTTTCTCCCAAACCCGACCCCGTCGTTCGAATAAACGAACGAACGAATTTCATGGCATATACAGAGTTTTCGATCGCTTTTTTTTTGTGCTGATGATGGTACCGTATACCGTATAACATCATGCTATATCTATACCTCTGCATTTATACTTGCTATGTGTATAAAAATATATATAGATGAATGTACGAAGTACAGAATGGCATGAACGACGTCGAGGGGCTTTATATTGTATAATTTTTTTATATTCCATCCAACATACAAAGTTTTGTATAGTATCGAGGCAAAACCGAAGGGAAATAGCACATTTTGAACAGAAAGGCAAAACGAGCAGAGAAGGCAGAGAAGTAGAAGAAAATGCCATGGAATGGTTGTTAAGAAATGAAAGGCAAAAAAATAATAGCAATAATAATATTAGAAAACTTATATTGAAGGCATACAGCATTTATTTTTTTTTTTCTTTCTTTCTTTTATTTTTTCTCTTTCCGTTCGAAATTTTTATTTTTCTTCGTATCGCTTGTTGTTCGTTCCAAACGTCGCTCTGTACGATACGACTAAAGCACTCAACAAGGTTAGGCAAGAAAACGTTGTTCTCCTCTTATAAAATAAAGTATAAAATTATATGCCTTGATTGTAGTGGTAAGATAAACTCAACGTGCTCTGTTCGTTTTAAAAGCAATGAGTTTGAGTTTTATATTATTTCATATTATACATTTATTTTTTTTTCCTCTGTTCCTTCTGTTACTTTGACTCTCCCTCGACTTTTTGTGTGCTTATTTTGTACATTCGTTTCGTATACGTACATTTTTCTTTCTTCCTTCTGAAATCCGTATAGCGAACCCTCATCACGTCTCTGGTACCCTTTTTGTATTTCAAATGGAACGAAAAAACATTTTTGAATGATAAATATATTCAACTACAGACAAACGAAGCTACAACGATATGTATTTCTCTTTAACGTAAATCAGAGTTGAACAACAGAGCTACATTATAGAGGAGAAAAAGAAAAAAAAAATTTTTGTTCCTTCCAAAATAACACAAAAATATTCTCTATATAGCTTGCTTTTAGTACGGCTTGATAGAGAAGCATTTACATAATCACAATAGCAAATATTTCGATCTGAAAAACAGCATTTTAACTAACACAGCGATACTAACTCTCCATCAACAACAAACACATACAATGAAGGCATAACAAAAAGTACAAAATTAAACGAGCATTCTCATTTGAGTTGTATTATGGATGGGCTTAGTTTATTTTTTGATGAAGTCAGCAATTTTTCTTTCTTTGTATATCTCGACTCTCATTTTCTCTATACATGCATGACTCTATAGTATGGTATTACATTAATTAATAACGACTCTCATTTCCTGTCGCACTGCGCAACTCTCCATGCCAAACTCATACTGAAATGAAAGAAGAAAAAAAAGAGAAGAATTTTTTTTATATATATAATCACTTTGTATATCTCTATAAAAATGGGAACTAAATTGAAGTGAAATTCTCAGAACAAAGTAATTTCATTATATTGTTCGCTCATTCGTATATATTCTTTCCATCATTTTTTTTTCTTCGTACTGAATTCTCCTTCTGTTTGAAAAAATATAATATTAGAGATGGAAAGGAAAGGAAAAAAAATGTATAAAAAATTGCCATCGTTTTATGACAACCGGACTGACTCTCTTTCAGAAAGTCTCTCTATATTATTTCATATTTATTTTATTTCTACTTCAATAATATTATGTTCTTTTTCCTTTTTGCTCTGTATCCAGCTGGATACGATATATGCGATGAACAATTTTTTTTCCTTTCCTTTTCTTCATACGGTATGATATTGCTGCAGGAAAGAGAGTATTATTAGTATGAAAGCAATGGATTGTTCAGAATTGTATGTGCAAGAAGAAGGAAAGATATGTGCTTATCCTTGCATGTATGAGTGTGTACCATAATGTTGAGTACAATACAATTTTGGCAAAAATAGGGGATTTTCACTCATGCCTGCTTGCCTGCCTGCCTGCCTTCTTGAATATCTTAAAAGCAAAAAGCAGTCAAAAGAGATTCAACAATAAAAAATATTAATGTTCCCTGTCGTTTTTCCTTTTTGCTTATAACATAAGAGTTTATATATGGTATGCTTAAGGATTTCGAATTCTTTCTGTCGCTTGCTTGCTAGTTAGTTTGGGTTGAAGATATTTTCATTCCTTGCTACACGTTCATTTTTATTAATTCTCACTCACAAACGTCGCTCTCTTTTTTTGTATTATTCCTTAACTCATGTTACGATAATTTTAAGCGCGCAGAATATCATAAAATATTATTGATAAAGTTATTTTTTTGGGTTCTTCTACTTCGTCATTCCCCTTCTATCTCTTTTTCGTATTTTTTATTGTTTACACATTAAGATGAGAAATGAATTTATTTTAATTATTTCTGAAGAATATACCTTAAATTATTTACAAACTTCAATTCCTTTACGTCACATCGCATTATGAATGTTATTTAATGCTGTCAGTGTAATAATTTTGATATATTATATTACAATTAAAATCGAGGAGAAAGCATATGTGTGCAATAAAACATATCTTAATGCCTTTTTTCTTTCTGACTCACGTGTTGTTGTTATTTACTTCTTTTGTGCACTTCACCCATCTGAAATGCAACCACTTGTTGAAAACTGGTATTCGCTTCAATAAATGTGCATTTTTTAAACAAAAGAAATCATTTTATTTGTAGAATATCTTACGGTAGCAAATTGAATGAATGAATAAATGAATGAATGAATGAATGAGTAATGGCATTCTATTAATTGAGCAATTATCATCACACAATTTTCGATACTGATTATTCAATTTTCTCTTCTTCTCCAATTTCTTTAAAATTTAAATAACAACAGCAAGAAGCAGCTGCTGCGGCTCAGAATAGTTCCAATGAAAATACTTCCAATCTAGCGGTGTCGAGTCAACCAACACAGCCTCTGCCAACAAATAATGCGTCGCAGCCTGGAGGACAAACGATGCCGATACAACAACAGCAACCAATGAGGCCAATTTCATCTCCAAATAGCTCATCATCTGGTTCTCGATCAATGTCTCCAGCAGTGGGTAAGTGAAATAATCATAAGAAAAGCTTATTCCCATTCCTTTTTTTTGTTCTTGTGCTTGTATAATGTAATTTAAGTACTTTATAGGCATTCTTTTCGTATTTTTTTTCTTTGGTTTTAGTCTTCAATTTGTCGAATATTAAAAACGTGAAAGGGGTTTCTTCCGTCCTCATACCATACCCACAGACACAAAAAATACATTTTTTTGCATCTTTTTTTTTCTTCCTTTTTTCCGTCTTTTATATAAATGGAATTGTGTGGTATGAGGTGTAAAATGTGCGTAATCATAAAAATGTCTAGCAAATGTCTAGTTAAAGAATCTCTCAATATCAACCGCAATCTTTTGTTTTATTCTATTGTATGTATAATTTCTTTATAAAGTCATAATCAAATTAACGTCACATGTACCGGCAAATTCATTTTGATATATATGTGAAGTTTAAAAACAATAATTTTTTTCTTATGTACAATTAAGTATGCATACATTATTATTATTATTGCTTATACGAGGTAGACGTACATTAGTACACACGAAACAGTGAGAGAGAGAAAGAATGAAAAAAAAAGGAAATAAGTGATTAAAATGCTGATTGAGACTTGCGAAAAGAAAGATCGTTTTTCAGAAGCAACAACAAAATATGTATGAGAAAAAAAAAAATCATGTAATATATAATATAATATACATGGATGAACAGCGATGAAAGAAAATTGCCTCGACATTGACCCAAATTTTTTAAAATAAAAATCGCTTTATATTCATCATTATGCCTATATATTTTATTCACTTGTTATGTACATAAATATAACATATAGTGTATAAGAATGTAAATTCTCAATTTATGCCCACAAAAGTATTATATATATGTATACCCGTATGTACATGACTCAAAAAAAATTGAGAGATATGGGAAAAAGGCAACATACTGTGAAATCATCTAAGCAAGAGTTGAATAAACCTTTTCAACTGTATGTACATGCATGAATCTTTTTTTCTATGTATATAATGTACACTTGTGATTTTTGCTATGAAAAATGTCATGTAGGAAACACTTCGTTTATGTATTCATCAATTTATCTTCATATTTTGTAAACATATTCATGCGGCTTCACGAGTCTACAAAAATATTCAATTTCACGCAATTTAATTCACTTTTTTCCTCTTGTCATTCCTTTCTCGCGTTATGTCTATTGATAAACAAACGAACAAAAACCCAAATGATTTAATTATATGATTCTTTTCTGTCGACCGACGATATGAAACATACGTAAAAAAATAATGAATGGTATGTTTACAACTTTCAATAAAATTGCTATGACGTAATAATGTGGAATCTCCCCTCTAATCAAAAATGCTCGTTAAAGTGCTTGGCTATATACAACACAATGTGAAGTATATAAAAGAAAATATACAACACAATAAATTTTATTTTCTTTTTTTTTTTTTGATATAGAAATGCTCATTATTTTATATATATTTTTTTCTTTCTTTTTTTCATTGTTCTCGTGTCTTCTTCTTCAACAATTACTTTTCTTCTTGGCAATTCAATCGTTATGTCATTTAGGACAACAAAATCCACAAATGCCTCCAAGACCGTCGAGTAGTCATTCACAAGGAATGCCAATGCCCAATCAACAGCCAGGGAATCAACAAAATATGAACATTCCCAATTCAATAAATCCACAAATGGAAGGAATGCCTGGCTCTGTGCCGCCAATGCAACAAAGTGGATATCCTGGACAAAGTCCTGGACAACCTCAACATATGCAACAGCAGCAACAACAACAACAGCATGGACAATATAAACTTGGTCCATATCCCCCACAGTCATCACAGTATTCACAAGGAAATTACTCTCCAAGAGCACAATATCCACCGTATGGAAATCAACATCATCCACAGCAACCAAATAGTCCGAGTCAGTATAGGCCTATACAAAATCATGTGAATCCTGCAAGTCATCCGCAGTACCCCCCACATGGACCATATCATCAAGTGTGGCCACCGCCACCTCAAAATAGTAATAATCCTGGTGCAATGACTAATCATATTCAAGGAAAAAATATTGGTCCTCCACCACCTCAATCTCCTCAACAACAGCAGCAACAAGGTCAACAGCAACCAATCCAACAAGGTCAACAACCACCAACAATTCAACAACAACAACAGCAGCAGCAGCAACAACAACAGCCTGGCGGATCACCTCGTCAATTAAACTATCTTAAACAACACTTACAACATAAAGGAGGTTATCAAGGCACAACACCGCCTCCGCAAGCTTATAATGGTCCAGGAATTCATCCTATGGGACCACCTTCAGGACATCATATGGGACCTCCTGTTGGAATTTCGACAATGGGACCTCCAGCCACAACTGGAACACCCCCAAGTCATGTAATGTCAGAAGGTATGGGAATGCCACCAAATATTCATCACCCTGAAAGTATTCCTGTACCACAAGACAATGGAATACCCCCTCAATCATCACATCCAGCAACGTCACTAATAACGACGGGACCTGATGGCACCGCAATAGATGAAGCAAGTCAACAAAGTACTATATCAAATACTTCAATTGGTGAGCTACATAAAACATAAATCTCTTAATAGTTTTAAAACTTAATTTTAATGCTTAATATTTCTCATTTTTTACAGCGTCAGATAGAGAAGATTCAATTCCGAAACCTCGGAAGGCTAATGAAATGATGTATGGACATGGAATGACACCGAATCAAGCAAATGTATCGCCAGGCACAACTATGGCACATAATGAAGACTTTGAAATGGGATCTCCACCATGGCCAAGAACACCAGCTAGTCCGGTGTTTAATAGTCATGCACCACCACCAGTATCAGGACCAGATTCATTTAGGACAACTAAAGTAACTGTAAGATTTAATTTAAAAAAAAAAATTTTTGTCGTACAAATATAAACCCTAATGCAACCATTCATTAATTTTTATTTTCTGAACAACAACAATACTATAGAAATCTGATAGTTTGGCAAAACTATACGAAATGGATGACAATCCGGAAAGGAGAGGCTTTTTGGATAGACTATTAGGATATATGGATGAGATTAGAAAACCAGTGACTGCATGTCCAACAATTTCAAAACAACCACTAGATCTATATCGGCTGTATTTATATGTTAAGGAACGTGGTGGTTTTATGGAGGTTTGTAAGGTAATTTTTGTCGAACGAACATATTTGACTAAAAGACATTTTCCTTCAACGCATCCGTCCCCTTCCTCTTTATGAATATTTTAGGTTACCAAAAGTAAGACATGGAAAGATGTTGCCGGTCTATTAGGAATTGGTGCGAGTAGCAGTGCAGCATACACGCTAAGGAAACATTACATTAAAAGTATTCTACCCTTTGAATGCCAGTTTGATAGAGGTGGCATCGATCCGGGTCCCATAATTCAATCAGTAGAAGTAGGATCAAAGAAAAAGACACAAAAAGCAGCATCAGTTCCATCACCGGGTTCAAGTAACTCTCAAGATTCATTTCCAGCACCTCCAATTTCAGGTGGCAGTAGTATGGATGGATACGGTGGCTACCCTCAAGGTCCACCCACTCAATATCCACAAACTCCTACAGTACAACAAGATTATGGTCAAGGAATCGTACCTAGACCTCCATCTCGAACAAACTCTCAACCTCCACCTGGTAAATATAACAGTTTTACTTCATTACTTGCTGCTAATTTTTACTTTGCTAACATGAAATGTCATAAGCTTACATAAAAAATTTATTTTTCACTTAGTTCTGTAAATATATTCTATATTCATACCTTCTACATATTATTTTAATGAAATGCATCTTTCATACCATAAGAGTAATAGCTAACATACTTTTATTAATTCAAATACAATATAAATACTATTGACTAAAACCGGGTAGAATTTTTTTTGCTTTTGTTGCATAACATTTACTTTTTTATTTCACCATAAAAAAAAAATACTTTCCATACCCACAACTTTTTAATTTCCATAATGCTCTGCATCCCTTACCTAACATTGCATCATCAAAAAAAAAAAAAAAATTAAACAATATGAGAAAGTTCTTGTATCATAAACCAAAATTTTGTATATCAATCATTAGGTAATGCACCATCCACTAACGATAATATCAGTGTGAGTAACCCTTTCGAAGATCCCGTAGCATCACGTCCTCCATATCAACAACAACAACACACAGGTGCACAGTATCCTCGACCTCAAGGTATATTTTTAATAGCCCTAGAACTTTTACTAAGTTTCACTTTTTTTCGTATTAAAACTCTCACACCTTATAAATTCTATTTCTGTACATGTAATCAATTATTTCACACATGAAAGGCTTCTTTGGACATAATTATTATGATTTTTTTTTGTAAATGTCACATAATGCAAATACATGGAACATGAACACATACACACATCTTTATAAATATATGTCATTGTCTCATCAATTTTATTTTTATATCACCATTTCTGTGTATCACTTTAGAATATAATTTTATGAATATTTCAAGAATAAGCAAAATGTTATGAAAAGTAAAAAATAGTTAGCACTCATTAACAATGATTTAATTTCTTTATATTTTTAGGACCATATCAAGGTCAATATCAACCTCCATTTGCAGGCCCTGAACAACCGTATGGACCACATACAGGACAATTTCCACCAACACAAAATCAATTTAGTAACAGTCGTCAGATGTATCCACCCTATGGTCCTGAAGAATCGTAAGTATAGCAATTACTTTAAATTAAATCATAGTACTAATTTGTTTTTTAATTATAGTAATTTCAGAGGCACAGCTCCAACACAAAATGATTCTTATCGAGGCTATACTAATTATCCTCCACCACCTGGACAAGCACCACAAACGCAACAGGGTCCAAGACCACCGTATGGTCCACAACAAGCTCAACAGCCACAACAGCCGACTCAACAGCCACAACCTTCTGTTTCAACTCCACAAATATCTGCACCATCATCAGTTCCCCCATCTGTTAGCACTGGCTCACAGCCACCTCCACCCAGTATAAGCAGTAATGCACCGTCGAATCAAAATCAATCACCAAACGTTCCGCCAACAAATCCAAATTATTCGGCTGGACCACCAAATAATCAAGAATTTTATAGCCGACCTGATCAGGTAAGAATCAATTGCTCAATTTTAATTATTATTCTTGCATAACATACAAAATTGATATGTATATTTAAATCTTACAAATCAGCAATCGATTGTTGATCTAAATTCAGAACTAGCACGTCAATTAACTGGATCGAAGAGACACCAAAATCAATTGAGTGTATGTTACATTTAAAGAATTTGAAACTCTGTGTGAATTCTTGGTTTGGGGGTATTTTAGGAGGATAATTTTATTGAACTTTTTGGTTTTGGTGTTTTGGTCGTGCTTCTTCGAGTCTTTTTTCATTTCTTTCTTACTATATGACATTCGAAGTTGAGTTAACAACCAAATAATAAACATGTTTTTCTCTATGAATTTAGAATGCTCCACCAAGACGGCATCCTGATTTCACAAAAGATCCAAGTCAACAACCGTATTCACCTTATGGTAGTCAAAGACCACCACAAATGTATGGTAAGTAAAACAAAAACAGCAGTCTTAACAGAAAAACGTGAATGTGTATGTGAAAATAACAACCTTTTAATGTGATTTTAGGAGGATGGCCACCAAATAATAGTGGTTCTCAGTACAGACAATATCCACCACAAGGTCCTCAGCAATGGTCTAATCAAGGTCCGAGACCTCAACCACCTAATCAATGGGAACAACCCCGTTATCCAGTAAACCAGCAATATGGACCGGTAAATAATTCAACAAAGTCTTATTGAAATTGATTTCACTAATCCAATTATATTTTCAGAATCAACCATGGCAAGGAGCTCCAATGAGGCCTCCTCAACGCGGAGGAAAACCGTTTCCAATGGCACCACCACAGTCTGGTCCTCAACCAATAAATAAAATGCCAAATCAATATGGTCCTCCTCATATGCAGCAGCATCATTCTCATCAAGGACATCCAATGCAAGGAGGACCACAAGGACCACCACAAATGCAGCAAGGTCCACAAATCAAACGCGATATTGTCTTTCCACCAGACACAGTTGAAGCAACGCAGCCTCTTCTTTATCGGAGAAAACGAATGACAAAGCATGATGTTAGTCCAGTTGATCCATGGAGGATATTTATGTCACTAAGATCTGGTCTCTTAGCTGAAAGCACATGGGCTTTAGATGTACTAAATGTTTTACTATTTGACGATACGGCAGTCCTTTATTTCGGATTGACTCATTTGCCAGGATTGCTAAATCTCTTATTAGAGCATTTTCAAAAGAGTTTATCGGAAATGTTTGAAACAAAAGTATCAATAGCATCGAAAATAAATGTTCCAGCTATAAAGGATTTAAGTGAAAGTAATAATAATGAAAATAATGATGATGAGTGTAACAAAAATGGTGGTGATAATAAATTAAGTAGCAATTTAATTAGTAATAGTGATACTGGTGATACTAGGTGTATTAAGAAACTAATTCAAATGCCAGCGAATCGTGAAGAACAAGACTCTTCAGTTGATTTGGGTTCAGTTACCGACATACCAAATCCAAATGAACATATTGTGGTATTAAAATCCTATAATTATACGTTACAATCAAGAAAAGGTGTTTCGGTTAAACTACAAGATTCTTGCAATGATATTTTCATTATGGACAGTCAACGAACGTGGGACAAACTATCAAATCGTGACGGTCTTCTTAAATCTAACGTCGGTGATGATCCATTCACTTCTGAGAAAGATCCAATTGAAGTGGACTACATTATGGATTGCTTTAAAGCCGAATTTGCACACATTCCGTTTGCACGCCTCATTAAAAGTTCAAAAAGTGCTGAAACAATAGAGAAATTGAGAAAAGTCACCGAAACGAAACCGAAACGCATGAGACTGTCATCGCAGGAGGAGCGAGAGGTTGAAGAATTGACGAGAAAACTGTATAAAGCACCATCGAAGCAACCCACTGCCAATAATGCTGTATTTAAGAAAGAGACAAATTCAGATGCTGATTGTCGTCAAGTTGATATGGAATTAGAGAAAGTTCCGAATGGACCAGTCAACACTGAAAATAGTGTAGAGAATAGCAAAGAGAATGTGAAAACTGAAAATTCAGAACAAGAAAAAGATACCAAGACTGACTTTGATATAACGAGTACTGTTCGTGATCAGGCTAAATGTCTGAAACGGAGACGAATGAGTGATTATGAAGATGAATGTTATACGCGTGATGAGGCAAGCTTATATTTAATAACTGATAGTCAAGATTCTCTTGCACGTCGATGCATTTCACTTTCAACGATTTTACGAAATCTTACTTTTGTTCCTGGCAACGAAATGGAATTTTCAAGATCAACAACATTCTTGTCGATTTTGGGTAAACTCTTACTAATCAATCATGAACATCCAATAAGAACAAAGAAGCAGAGAAATTATGACCGAGAAGAGGATGCAGACTTCTCAGATTCATGCAGTAGCCTTCAAGGCGAACAAGAATGGTGGTGGGATTTCCTTGTGCAAATTCGTGAAAATATGCTCGTCTCGCTCACAAACATTTCAGGACATTTAGATTTATCATCATACGATGAGCCGATATCAAGACCAATTTTAGATGGATTATTACATTGGGCTGTCTGTCCTTCAGCACATGGACAAGATCCATTCCCAACTCTTGCCACTAATTCAACACTTAGCCCACAAAGATTAGCTTTAGAGTCGTTATGTAAACTTTGTGTAACCGACTCAAATGTTGATTTAGTCATTGCAACACCTCCATTCATAAGACTAGAAAAACTATGTGCAGTACTTACAAAGCACCTATGTAAAAATGAAGATCAAGTGCTTCGTGAGTTCTCTGTTAATCTATTACACTATTTGGCTGGTGCTGATAGCATTATGTCACGAATAATTGCGAAACAAAGTCCATGTGTTTCATATTTAGTTGCATTTATTGAACAAGCCGAACAAACTGCCCTTGGAGTAGCAAATCAACATGGAATTAATTTCCTTCGAGAAAATCCCGATTCAATGGGAACAAGTTTAGACATGTTAAGGAGAGCAGCAGGTACCTTGCTTCACCTTGCCAAACATCCTGATAATAGACCATTATTTATGCAACAAGAACAAAGATTATTAGGCCTTGTGATGAGTCATATTCTGGATCAACAAGTAGCGCTCATAATTTCACGTGTGCTTTATCAAACGTCACGTGGTAGTGGTCCATTGACGACAACGCATCATGGTGAACATTCAAGTGAAGAAGTAATTCAAAAAGTACTCCCTGAATGTCAAAAACTTCCTCAAAATACATCACAAAACATCGACTTTGAGCAGAGTCAAAAGATTCCAGTTGCAACTCCAAATTCAATTCATCCAAATGTACAATCACAAAATTTCCAACCTTTCATGAAATCTCCACAAACCTTTCCATCAAATCCACCAAAATTACTGAACAGTAACGATGATGGAATGAAGTCAAAACTTAATACAATTAATAAGCAAATAACAGCAAATGCATCGAATATTGCAACGTCAGCTCAGTCATCAGCACCAACTATTCCGCAAACGGTTACAGCTTCATCTTAGTGCTTACCAATGCCTGCAAGCCTTAAACATCCGCAACAAAATTTGGCAAAGACTGGACGAAGACGAAGAAAAAAGTAATGAAAGTAAATGATGGATTAAAGTTAAAGGATTTGAATAGGCTTTATCTTCACTAATTGATAATTGATGTCCAATTTATGATACATACTAAGTGAAAATATATATCCTTATAAGTACACAGACACACACCTTTTCATATTTAAGAGACAAAAAAAAAGGTAATTAAAAAAAACATAATTAACGCTTTTGTAGAAAAGATCTGAGCATAAAAAAATAATGTTGAAGAAGTAATGAAAAAAAAATTAATATAAGATTTACGATAGTTAAGTAGACTTTAAATTTTGTATATTTATATTTAAAAGAAACATGAAAAAAATTCTGAACGTGAGTGAATGAAAAGTTTGAGGATAGAAGAAAAGAACAATTATATATAATATATTGAAGATCTATGACTTAATGAGCGCTCTGAGGGCGTAAGAAATTAAAGGACTCATTAAAAGTCTCTATACTGATGCAGTTATACTTAAAACAATCTGCTCGAGGTGAAACGATAATTAAAAATTTTTATATGAATGAAATGGGACATCTTCATGCGACCTAAATTAAATGTATAAAATTAAATTTAAATGAAAAAAAAAATTAAAAGAATCTCTAATCATACAATGAATATTTTCGAGAAATTGAAAGCTATAAAGATATATGAATTGAATAGAGAATAGAAAATAATTGTAATGGTGGGCAATTATTGATTCAAAATTCATTCATAAACAAATTCGGTGATGTGTGTGATGTTTTTTTTAATAGGACAAGGAGTAAGAATAAATTAGAAATTTAAATGAAAACTGTGTATAAATATATAAATTAAAAAAAAAAAACAGAACATAGTATAGATCAAGATGGAAAAAGGGATTCTCTAAATAAAAAATTTTCAATTTTCTCCGATTGGTCCGATAACACATTGAGGAAGAAAAGTTTTTATTTCATATATTTATGATTGATGATGACGTTTACTTAAACAAAAAAAAATTGCTCGCAAGTGACTGATTCGGTAATAATGAAACATAATATAAATAAAATTATATATATACATACATTGATAGTAAATTGACTTGACTAACAACTTGTAACTTTACGTATTTTGATAACGAAGAAAGAAATGAACAAAAAAATTAAGTTATCACATTTTCATGACTCGAAAGCAATCGAAGAATAATTTGGGGACATATAAACATCTATTTATTGATTGATCTACGATGATTGGAAATTGATATAAAAAAATAAAGACTTTGTGGAAAATTTTTGTGGAAATTTTCTTATTGCTAATGGCGCGATGAATATTAATGATTAAGATGAAAAAAAAAACTGCTAGAAAATACTGAAATGAAAAATATGTATACCTTAAAATGTTTGTTGTTATTATCAGAATTAGCGTAGATTAACTATTAAACGCATCCGTAAAATATGCATATTTTTAATAAAAAGTGAATAAAAAATAGTGGAAAAAGATTATTTTCAAGAGAGAATAAAAAAAAGGTTTCCGACATGTCCTGATTTGTAAATAGTTATTATAAATATATATCTCCATTACTGGACAGAATGCTGCTAATTTAACAACATTTTTAATTAATAAATTTATCTACAAATGTAATAATATATAAATGAAATGGAAATGACTCTAACTTAACATTCGATATAAATGATGAAAATTTTTTGTTAATTAATTTATGTAAAAGTTTTTTTTTTGTTTTTTAAGAATGATTTTTTTTTTACTTTATCGAAGAAACTGATATCGCTTTCCTTAGAATTCAATTTTGAATTACATGAAACTTTCTTTTTTCTAGCGCAGGAAATAAACTATGACGTCATTTTAGTATAAAATAATTAAATGAAGAAAAGAAAGAGAATTTTTTTAGTTAAATTAGGTTCTTATGCAGACAGACGTTTAAATGAATGAATGATACCACATACATGCATTCATTTATAAAAGATCCTACTATCTACCATCATTAATTGTTTTACAATCAAACTTTTAAATACAGAGAGATGAAAAGGATGGAATATGTTACAGTAATAGAAATCGAACACATGATGAATTAATTTAAAAAAATGGATTGAATTGAGAAGATTAAAAATGTAAAATAACTTTTAAAGTGTCGATAAAAATCTAAATTAATTGAAAATGTAATTAATTGAAACAAATTCATTGAAAAATATACTAAAAATATGAAAAAAAAAATAATTATGTGACATGTTTTATTCATTAATTCTTTTTTCTTTCATAGAAATTGTTTACTTTTTCAGCATATGGTGGGCTCTCCTGCTCTTTCTCTTTTCTCTTGTTGCATTTTTTCCTACAAAAAAAGTTTACTGCTCATTCACTTCGGACATGTTATCCAATTTTCTAATAGCCTACGCACATTTAGACATTGTCAGCTAAGTCAAAATAGGCATTTGTTATATAAATCAGTGATTCCCAATTATTTTGGATTGTGGCACAGTAACCAACTTTTTGATGAATTTGGAAGCACATCTAAATTGAAATAAGGTAAGTTTTGCCCTTAATATTAATTGAGAAAGTCGCTTAGAAGTGGCTGACTATCAGCATGGATAATCATATTTTACACTAAGTTTGAAGCCCAGGTAAAGAAATTGAATGACAAATTCCAAACCCATCGAATATAAAATAGTCCTAATCGATTTAAACCAAAACATTGTTAAAATTGTGTTGAAATGTTTGGGAACATGAAATTTTTTGAGGATGTGTCTAGCTTTCTCAACTGACCAAGGCTCGCACAGACTATAATATTACAAAGTTTATTTTATTTGCTCAAATAAACAGCAGCCCAGTGCTTCAAATTTTTGAGGATTCAAGAAAACCAAAGTTTTATAATATTTGAAAAAGCAAATGACGCGGACTAAAGTTTGAGCAGCTTTACTAAAAATATCAATTTACAAAATTTGCTGTGGCTTCTTTCAATGAATCTTCAGCAACTAAGATATTCAAAAATTAGTCTTATTTCGAACATAAATTTGGAAGCTGGTGTGCAGAAATAAAATCGACAGTAAATCCAATAAAATTCTATCAATGCTTTAAAAATTAAAAAACCCCGTTAAAAACCAATCAAAATCTGCAAATTTTTACGATAGCCGTAAATTGAATTTACACATAACTCTTTCAACAATAGAACTCCTCACAGCATGCTCATTTTATGCTGCGTTCGCTACTCATTTCTATGTTTTACTTCACTCATTGCTCATTAATCTCTTTCCGCTAGTTCTTTTTTGCGGCATGTATATATACAAACTTTTTTTGTTGAATTAGTTTGTGAGCGTCACTCCAACCCATTGGATCATATTTTGAAAATTTCTTACATTTTTTTTTATTTTGTTTTTTGCCATTTGTTCGTGGAAGGTACGCGAGGTGCACAGAAAAATAAAAGTTGGTAGTAAATATCTATTTACACCTTTCGGTAAATTTAACTAGCATGATAATATTGTTGCTGCCACATAATACATAATAGTAATAATGTCTCGCTGACCCACAAAATTTAACAACTATTTGTTTGTTGTTTAGTGATTGTATGAAAAAATATTTATGTTGTTAACAGTTTCAAATTATGCTAGACTAGTTGGATATACAAATAGACAGTGACGTAAAACTCGTTCTAGAACGAAAATTTCTATCATATTCAGTGATTATAAACCGTAAATTGTTTTATTTTAATTTCATATAGTTCGCAACGGTTCGATTAATTCGACCAACAGGTGCATAAGATAGAAAGAAACACAATTCTAAAGAAAATAGAATTTATAGTCTGTGCGATACCGCAAATTTTTTTTATTACATTACATAGAGCTTTTTCTTGTTTAAATGGGCGATGTTATAAGAAAAATTCAATTACAATCAAAAAGAATTAATTGGCATGCCATAAAGTTATATTTTCTGTACGTCTCAAACGTACTTCGCTCAATAAAGCGTTAAAATTCTTTATTCTACTATAAATAGATTAGAAATGAAACAAGACGTGAAAAAAAATTATGTGTGAGATATTATTCACGTAAACGTGCAATAGCATAAGATGCATTATCGTTTTTCATCGTTATGGGTTTTGACAAAATTCTTTTATTCGTCAGTAACATTGATGATTCATATCTGTTTTTTTCTGATATCTAATAATTTTTTATTGAATAATGTTCCAAATTTCATTTAGTGATACAATAATACAATCCACAATCCATTGTTCTATTTCTTTCAAATCTCTGTGTGTGCAGATATTCTTTTTTTTTTTCATTTTAATTGCACTTTATTGCATTTATTGACGACATACTGTCCGGTAATAATTCACATTTTACACTTTTGTATTTGTATACATATGAATTAATATTATGTAGGATCAAACTTCTAATCTTCATATCTAGGTTTCAAATAAACTAAGGCTCTCGTTTCGATCTTCTGCGGGCGTGACGTGATACTTTTCAGGTCCGTTCTAACAATATTCCATTCGTGAATAATCTTGTAGCTCTCGTTCCTGTTTCTCCCGCTACACTCTAAGTTCCTGACCCATTCCTTAATCCAACGTTGCCCAAATGCCCAATTATGGCTTGATCTCGTACATTAAGCAGTCGAAGTATCTAAACTTCCGAAAAAGAACAAATTTGGAAATGGCTGAATTCGAACCGACGACCTTCAAGTTACCATCCTCAATATCCATATTCAATTATTCCATGACACCTCTTATATCATTAAAATTATTTCCCTTCGACACACTCATAAAAATAATTAACATTTTTCATTGTTATTCCATTGTAAACCAGATTTAACAATGACATTATTAAATTCATATGACGGAAAAAAAAATTATTTTTACAATAAATTAACGATAAGATTTTAATGTAACAATGGTGATTGTTAATTTTACAATGGTCATCGTTAATATTAAATTTTATATAACTTAACTATACTTAATTCGAACTTACAATGAGTATACTCAGAGCACATTATTTGTGAGCTTGCAAACTTTTGTGAGAATGTGCTCATTTCATACATTAAAGTGATAAGATCACGGTACCTTTTTGAGTATGCTCAGTGAGCACATTCCTATGTGACATGCATTAAGCTCACTGAGTAAACTCATGAGCATACTCAAATGAGAAGGCAACATGCCACACGCAACATTTTTTTAATGCAACATTTTCTATTGAATATACTCATGAACATTCTCAAAGAGCTTATACTCAAGAAGATACTCAAAAGAAAGCCAAAAGATATATGCTTAGTGAGTTTATTCTTATAGTTTTTAAAAAGCAAAGTAATTTTTAATTTAATTCCTTGAGAAACTCTTGACATTTAATTCAGAAAACTTAAAATTGTAAAAAGTTTCGTACATTTTTGTATTACATATCTCAACATATCTAAAATATTCAACATTTGCTTTTAAGTTGGTTGACAATTTTTCAAAATGTCAAATAGATATAATTATAATCATTATATGCTCATGAGCATGTTTAGGAAGTGTATTCATAAGAGTATATTCACATAAGTATGTTCTTAATATTCTCATAAGCATGTTCAGTAAGTGCACTCATATGAGAACGTAAAAAAATTATGTCACACAGAAGTGAGTATATTCTTAATATTCTTATGAGAATGTTCAGTAAGTGCACTCATACGAGTGTATTCACATAAGCATGTTCTTAATATTCTCATAAGCATGTTCAGTAAGTGCACTCATATGAGAACGTAAAAAAATTATGTCACACAGAAGTGAGTATATTCTTAATATTCTTATGAGAATGTTCAGTAAGTGCACTCATACGAGTGTATTCACATAAGCATGTTCTTAATATTCTCATGAGAATGTTCAGTAAGTGCACTCATATGAGAACGTAAAAAAAATTATGTCACACAGAAGTGAGTATATTCTTAATATTCTTATGAGAATGTTCAGTAAATGCACTCATACGAGTGTATTCACATAAGCATGTTCTTAATATTCTCATGAGAATGTTCAGTAAGTGCACTCATATGAGAACGTAAAAAAAATTATGTCACACAGAAGTGAGTATATTCTTAATATTCTTATGAGAATGTTCAGTAAGTGCACTCATACGAGTGTATTCACATAAGTATGTTCTTAATATTCTCATGAGTACACTCGTTAAATGTACTCACGTGAGCTTATAAATTTTTTGCAAAAAAATAAAGTGAGTACATTCGTAATGAACTCCTGAGCATGCTCAGTTGAATGAGCTTGCATGAGTAGACTCACTTATATGCTCACTTTTCTGAGCATGCTCTTTGTATGTTCCGGTAAGTTCATTTTTGTAACCTCTTTTACCTAAAATTATTTTATTTACAAATTCTTAGAATTCCAACAAATTCCGTTCCAAATGTTTACGTCCAAAATATTATTTTTCAAAAAATTATTTTCCAAATAATTTCATTTCCAATTAAATATTTTCCAAAAAATTATGTTCCAAAAAAATCCGTTCCAAATATATCCGTTCCAACAAAAAATGCTCCCCCAAAAAATGATCAAAAAATGATCAAAAATGACCAAAAAATTATCAAAAAATTATTAAAATTGATCGAAAATGATCAAAATGTAATTCTTCAGTTCCACACCCTTGCTTTTTCCTCGAAATTTTTTTTTATCAATATACAAAGTTAAAATGCATTGTTAATTTTTTTTTATGAGTGCAGCATGTCCTTCTGCAAAAGATCTTTTGTCAGACTATAAATTGCATCCCCTTCCTCATTTATTTCATATACATTTTCTCGTTGCCATATACATTTGTATGTCATAATAATTCTCAATGATCTATTTTTTGTCTCACTGTTGCCATATTCTATCAAGAAACGCGAAATCGCGTTAAAGCCAACGATTTCATCGACAGAAATTATAATTTTATCATCGAGCTTCCTCTCATACAAATTCAATCTCAGTTAACTTTTGCTGAAATTAATTTGTATCAAATATAAAGAAGAAAATTTAAGTTCTTCTCAAAATCTGATAAAAAATACACTAGTGCCAATAAACCCAAGTTAGGTAAGAAAAAAATGTATAAAATAGTTTAAATGTCGCAGATTATAATCTTGAAATTGTCTTCCGAACAATTTTTTTTTAAATTACAATCTTCAATAATCTTCATACAAAGACTTTAAGATTTTAATCTAGGGGAGCCTTGACAAATTAAGAACTTAGAGGTTCTTAATACTCTAGTATGTGTCAGAGACGCTCTATATTCTCAAACAGATTTTAAGATCTACATAAATGAAAACTTCTAGGCACTCTGAGTTTGATGATTTTTACTCAATGGCAACAACTTTTAAAACTGTGAAATTAAAATTCTCTGAAATGCGTTTTAAATCATTTAAGTATATCTGCAGAAAACGTACCTTAAATTAATCTAAACACTTAATCCAATCAATTTTCATATGCTTTTCTCGAGACGTGAAATAATCACAAACAATAAATTTTATTAAAAACTGAATTGTTGAGATTGATTTCCAAAATCTTTCGTCGAAACCCATTTGAGAATTTTCATTTTAAAGGGAAAGCAGACAACGACCTTTGCATGGATTATAAATGATATCAGTAGCTGTGCAGCATGCAATAATCATAATAGAATGAAGAGGGTTATCAATTTATAATTTTTGGGAAGAAAACTTGCACTTTTCAAGAATAATTTATAGCACAGAAAGTTGTATGATCTATACATTTCAGCAACGAACATGTGCTTCACTTCAATTCGGTTCTTAAAAGGGGGAAACAAATTATTTTGTTTTTGTTTTTATTCAATTTGTTCCTACTGCATTCGTTTGCGCAGAATCGTGCCGGAGTGAGTCAAGTGAGGAACGCATAAATTCATGTATATATGTTGAATGTACAGTCACTGAGAGAGAATTGAGAATACATTCTGAATCATTTTTAGTTCAAACACGAGTCCTTTTGGTCGCAAATCTTTTTCACATTCTCAATTTTTAATTTTTTTCTTTGGGGAAGTAGATTTTAAATAAAAAAAAGCTAGGCTGCAATAAAATTAACTGGAATTTCTTTTTGCTTCTATAACTGTCTGTCGCGACAGAGCATTAAGCACTCTAATTGGATAATTTTGCCGATCTTAACAAGAACTTTTGCGATAAGTTGTGCCAGATTGAGGCTTGAAAAACATGGCAGACGTTCCGAAGCCAGTCAAGAAGATACCGATTCATGTTCAGGTAAGTCTCAAATTTTATCATTTTTATGAATAATTTTTTGGATAAGACATAAGACATTTTTCCGGGGTAATCGATAATATTTTTCCGACAAAAACAACAACAATTTGCAGGCCATGCCATTCGGAAAAAAGGGTGTTATCACCAATTGATGCATTGCGTTGTGCGTGCATAAAAGTATCATATAGCACGACATACTTTCACTAATTCTATAAAATGCGTAACTTAATATGAAAAAATAACTTTCATGACGAGTTGCAATTCATTTAGCCACAATTGTCGACATTCATGATAAAAGAGGAAGTTTTGTTCTATTTTTACAAGTCTATCGATTTTTCAAGCAGTTCCGAAAAAAAAAAAATCCAAAAAGCCTATTCTTCTTACGACTTTTTTATTCTTCTTTTTACAACAATCGCTTCCCGTGAATGAATATTTATGGCAATTGAATTCATTAGCATGCACAAACTTTATAATTCTATCCACAATGTTCTTTTCATCCATTCATATAGAGCTCACAAAATAGACTCTACATAAAGCGAGCTAGAGTCGTAAATCACGATTCCATTCAAACAAATGTTGACATCTACGTCGAAGATGGAATTATTAAGTTCATTGGAAGTCCTGGTGAAATTGCAGTGCCAGGTGGAGTTCGTGCTATTGATGTTGCTGGAAAATATGTAATGCCAGGTGGAATTGATGCCAACACTCAATTTGAAGGTGAATCCAACGGATATACGTCAGTCGATTCATTCTACAAGGGAACTAAAGCTTGCGTTGCTGGTGGAACAACGTGCTGCATTGATTTGATTGTTGCAAAAGAGGGAGAATCTTTGATAGATGCATGCAATGCATGGCGTATTAAAGCGGATGGGAAAGTCGTAACTGATTATGCACTTCGATGTGCAATTACAAGGTTAATGAATAATTCCATAAGATCTTAGCACCTTGCAACCTCAAGAAAAGTTTTCAAATTATCTTTTCTTTTTCTTTCTGTTTTTCGTGTAGCTGGAATAAATCCGTTAGCAATGAAATGAAGATTCTGTGTGAAGAGTTTGGTATAAACACATTCTGTATCGACATGACGAGCACAGATCTAAATGATTGTGATTTATATGAAATTTTCGAACATTGCAAAGAGCTTGGAGCATTATGTCAAGTTCATGCTGAAAACGGTGCAATAATTGAGAAAAATGTTGAAAAACTCATCGGAAAAGGTCAGACCGGACCAGATGCTCACGATATATCTCGAAATTCTGAGGTCGAATCGGAAGCTGTAAATCGAGCATGTGTCATTGCAAATCAGGTTGATGCACCGATTTATATTACCAAAGTATCTTCCAAACAAGCAGCAGATCAAATTTCACTAGCCAAACGTCGCGGTGCTCAAGTTTATGCTGAAATACTTGCAGCATCGATTGGATGTAAAGCACCCGTATCACCGTCAGTCTTTACAATGACATCACCCCCATTAAGATTGAAGGATGCTGAAAATGCCAAACTTTTGCTGAAACATTTGGCATTGTAAGTCCAATTTAGACATAATACAATTTTTAAATTACTTAATCATGCTTAATTTTAGGGATGACTTACGAGTCGTGTCATCTGGAAATTGCACGTTTAATACTGCTCAAAAGGAGGAGAACAAAAATGACTTTACAAAAGTTCCACATGGTGTCAATGGATGTGAAGATCGTATGAAGATTGTATGGGAAAAATGTGTTGCTGCCAATTTAATTGATTTGCAAAAATTCGTTGCAATTACTTCCACAAATGCAGCCAAAATTTTTAATTTGTATCCGAAAAAGGGAACAATTGCTGTTGGATCAGATGCTGACATAGTCATTTGGAATCATCAAGCGAATAAAACAATATCAGCTAAAGATCATATTCAGGCCAATGACTATAATATTTTTGAGGGTACAAAAGTAACTGGAACTCCAGAATTTGTCATAGTCAAGGGAAAGGTGTGCTATGAAGATGAGAATCCTCGCGTCGCTGAAGGATATGGAAACTTTTTAGAACTTCCAGCACATTGCCCAATGCTATTTGGAACCAAAAACGGTGACGATTTTATTGACAATTTTTATGAATGTGTTCAACTTGACCAATCTCAAGTAGACTTTGAGGACATGGATTATGTACCAGACAAAGCTGAATCAGTTATCAGTACATCCACTCAGGTTACTCATACTGCTCGTGCTCCGAGACCTGAAGGTCAAAGGGACTTGCAATCATCCTCATTTTCTATTTCCCAAGGTAGTTTACATGATATTAAAAGTATTATGCCTGCATATTCTAGAATTTTTTTTTGTTCTTTTGTAGAAATTTCCAATGAACCGCAAAAGAGTTCCATTAGAGTTCGTAATCCTCCAGGTATGTAAAACATAGACATTTGTAACTTAATTCATTGAACATTTATGTAATGTCTATTTGTAGGAGGCAAGTCGAGCGTTTTATGGTAAATCAAGGAGAATCATCAAATATGTTTAATCATCGTACCAACATTATAATAGAAGACATTCTATCAATGAATGAATATTCAGTGTTTCGCTTTAATTAGATTGGAATTTTTTTATATTGAGCATGCAGCTTTGGACCGAAATAAGAGAAAGTTTTCTAAATTTTTCCTAATGATTGGATTAGATAAAAAATTAATAATTATATTTATGCTATGGATTAATAAACTGCTTAAACTACTTTAATTAATTTTGCTTGCTATTTGAGCATATTTCAGTTGTAACAAGAATTTGAAATTTAAAGTTTTCAAGTGGCATGCGCTATATTCAGAGGGAAACAAAGTGCTGAATAAGGGAAAGTCACTAAGTTAGTTTTCTCGGATGAGATCAAAACATTTACATTATTAATTTCTTTAATTAATAGTTAAGGCTAAATTTAAGTGATCTTAATTAAGATTATATTGATAAAATGATTTCACAAAAAGATAACGAAGAAGGGAAACTGTTTGTAGGCGGTAAGCACAATGATTTTATTGAATTTTTTAATTTTTTTCCCGAGCGCTTCACTTTATTGTGTGTGGCGTTTGCTGAATAACATCAAAAAAAAGAAAGAAAAAAATTTAACCCATAAAATTCAGATATTCCAAACAAAAGAAAAAGAATATTTGTTTGTTTTGAACTGCACACATTGAAGCGATATCAACAATTTGATAAACAAAAAAAATTTGATAATTATGCATCCTTTTTTCTAGGTCTAAGCTGGGATACTCAAGCGGATAGCCTACAACGTTATTTTAGCCGCTATGGGGAAGTTATTGACTGTGTAGTGATGAAAAATAATGAAACAGGCAGATCAAGGGGATTTGGGTATGAAAATATTTACATTTTTCCATCTTCAACACTATTGTATTGTTTATGTTTAGGTTTGTGACTTTTGCTGATCCTGAGAATGTCAAACGTGCTCTTGAGAACTGCCCTCATAATTTGGATGGACGAACTATTGATCCAAAGTGAGTATTATTGTGATTGAAATCGTGGAGCATCAACTTATGTTTATTTTCATTATCTAGACCGTGTAATCCGCGCTCGATGCATAAACCGAAAAGAGCGAATGCTGGATTTCCAAAAGTATTTCTCGGTGGCTTACCAGCAAATGTTACTGAAAGCGATTTGCGTGCATTTTTCGTACGATATGGACAAGTTATGGAAGTTGTTATAATGTATGATCAAGAAAAGAAGAAGAGCCGCGGTTTTGGATTTTTATCTGTAAGTGATTCACATCAATTGTATTCTTTTTCTTATACATTCACTCGATTGCTCATTATTTTGCGTGTTACGTCACAACTTGTTACTTATTATTTTCTTTACTTCCGATTTAATGACAGTTTGACTCTGATGCATCTGTAGACAGGGCTTGTGCCGATCACTTTATTAATCTTAATGGTAAGCAGGTTGAAATAAAGAAAGCGGAACCGCGAGATGGATCGACAAATCATATGATGCAAATGGATCCAAATCAATCAATTGGTGCGTCACATTGGGGAGGTCCAATTATTGGTAATGGCGGACCGATGCCAATGGGTCCAATTAGTGTCCCGAATATGGGTAATATGGGAAATACTGGATTTAATTACAATTACGGATCTACGACTCCTTCAAATCCATCGTTTGGCTGGCCAACGCCTCAGCAATGGGGTAATAATAACTATGCAGTTCCTCCGCATCAAGCACAACAGGGAGCAGCACAAGGAGCATATGGAGCATACGAATATAATGGAGCTATTGGATATAACTCGACGAGCAGCTATGGTGCAAATGGAAATAATTGGAATTCTTGGAATCCAAATATCACAAATATTGCACCGAATACTGGATCTACATCTGGAGAACATATGTATCGACCACAATCAGGACCGAATATGCATTCAGCACCACCACCAAATGGAGGTGGAAATCTTTCTAAACCCGGCTCTGAATATAATGGAGCGGCTGCTTATAATGGCGCCTATACGAATTATTATAGTGAGCAACCATTCAGTAATCAAAATCGACCACGTTCGTACGGAAACAACGAGCAATATCCAGCATTTTAAGAATACGCGCACTTCTTTATTATGTATAATTTTTAATGGTAAATTAGTATGCGAAATTTACAAAATGATTCGCAGAAAACCCCCCCAATTTCATTTCATTCTTATACACATTATTATTATATGATTATAATAACTATCTTACTCGATCTGGATTATTTCTCTTTTAACTTCTACCCCCAGAAAAAAATTGTAATTTATATATTTGGATATAGAAGCAATTTCTATCAACTTTTTACTTATTATTTCTTCTTAATTTGAAAAATTTTCTCTTAAACTTTTTTCATTCTAATTTTCTTAATTTTTCCATCCACATAATCAAATTTAAGCGTTAAAAAATATGAGAGACAAAAACAAACAACTTAGAACTACTTCTGAGTATATTTTTATAATGACGATTATGATTTACAAGAAAAAAAAGTACACAAAAAAAATATAATGAATCAATACTAATAGTTTCGATAGTATTTTTAGAAAAACGTATCATCGAGATTCGATGAGTAAAAATAACATTTCTTATTCTTTTAATTTCGATAATTCCGAATATTGTTGTTGATCTTTTTTTTTATGAAAAAATATGTAAATCGTAAGGTGCGAAATAGAATTAAAATCTTCGATTCTAATGAAACAAAAAAATACTAAAAGTTCAATTGCAAATATACACAACCATGTAACTATCAAAAAAGATGATAAAAATTTATATTTTTAAAATAATTATAATAATTATGATAAATAATAATTGAGAACAGAACATAAGAAATGTGGTTTATGGTCTTAGTAATATTTAAGCTGGGAAATGTGGAAACATGTCTCAAATCCTACCTTTTTTCATAAGTTCCCAAACACACACAAAAAACACAAATACACACGTCACGATCATATTCATAATTTTAATCTCCTGAAAACGTAACTTCCGTATTTCTCGTAAAAGTTCATAATCAGTGAGCTCTTTTAAATTTTTCTAGCGTTTAATAGAAACTCAGAAAATAACGACTTTTTAAGATTCAAACTTGTCTCTAAAGTTCAATTTTTGAAAATAACGGTTTTTAGAGTTCAATATTTGAATTTTAAAACATTAGTTCTTTGAGTTCAATTTTTGAATTTAAAATAACGATTTTTTGAAGTTCAATTTTTGAATTTTAAATTAACGGTTTTTGGATTTTCAGTAAATTGTCTGAAACAATACAAATGTTGCTTTTGTCAAGCAATAATTCGATGAAAAAGTATCTTGTGCTGATTGAAATCAAGCACAAAAAATTGAAATGCTTTAAATTTTGGCTCATTTTACCACCAACCAGTCAAAATGAACTTAATTGATAGCACGTCTAAGTTTGGAGAGTGCTCAAAAATCCTCTTTTCTAAAAAAAAAAACGATGAAAAACAAAAAAAAAGAATAAAAAATTTTTCATTCCATATAATTGCACTTTTACATGATAAGGATGACGACGATGAAAAAAAAAAATCAAGGAAATTAACAGAAACAAACAGAATGATACAAATTCAACAATCCTTTTTTATACACAAAATAATAAGTATAAAATAATTTTTTTACAATGAAGCATGAAGAAAATTGCAAATTTATTTTTTGATGATGAGAAAATATTATGAAATGACTTTTACGCCTTGCGTTCAAGTTAAAATGAAAAATTTTAATAAAAAAATGATTATGAAAAAAATCAAAAGTCAGTCTTTTTATTCCATCCATTAAAATTTATGTTCATTCATGGGAAATTTTTTTGATCGTACACGCAACTATTGGTACTTCTTCTTCTTTCTGTTTACTTGTTTTACAGCCAAGCTTGATAGCCATTTATGATGAGTCATGATTCTCAGTACGCAGAATGTGTTAATGTAAAGGAACAAAGATCAACGATCAAAATTGTACTTTTTGTGTACGTTTTCAGCATTTATTTTTTTAAATTAAATGGATTTTTTAACGGTTTTATTTTGAATGTTTGAAAACCTCACAATTTTTTTCGCTCAAATCCCTACAATTTTTAAATGTTTTGGACGGTTTTTCATTTTATGATTTCATGCTTCCATATCTAATTAAATTATAACAAGTGAAGCTATTCGTGGAAACAGAAATTAAACAAATCAATAAGAAGGCAGTTAAAAACTTTTTTGAATAAAGAGCTACAATTTATTGAGCAAATAATGGGGAACTTCATAAATGACGTAAACTATGTATTACTTAAATGGTGTTTAATACTTGCTTTATCTCTCTGTTCTCATCTATACCATTCTCAATGACTGTCATTTATTTTCTGATTTTGCTTGTTGACTTACAAAATATGAATCCCCAAAATGAGACGTCATTACCATATGAATCCACGTAAACATTCAAAAAGAAATTTTTGAAGAATTTTATTTTATTTTTATTTAATTAAACCTTTATTGCCAAATAAATGCAAGAACAAATTGAAAACGAGTGTCCAATATGTCTACAAAAGCTATTATATCCAGTCAAATTACCATGCAAGTAAGCGAAAATCATAAAATTCATAAAAAATTCTTTGTTTTTGTAAATAAACTTTCTATTTTCAGCCACATATTCTGCTTTCTATGCATTAAAGGTATCCGAAAAAGTCCAGATGCGGTAAAGTCATGTGCAATGTGTCGAAAACCATTTAATATTGAAGAAATCGAGCAGAATGTAGGAATCGAAAAAACGTCCATAGATAAGCAATTTAATTGGTTTTATCAGAGTAAAGGAAGCACCAGCTTTTGGGCATTTGACGAGAGAACAAATGAAGAATTAGAGCAAGCTTATAGCGATGAAAAAGATCATTTGATAATATCAATAGCTGGTTTTGTATATTGTATTGATTTTCTCCGTCTTATACAATATCCAGTGAATCATCCAGAAAGAATAAGAAAAATCAAAAGGTGCGACGAATTAAATCAAGAAAGTTTAACAATTAAAGGGATCGCTGGTGTTCGATTGACAGAAAGTGGAAATGATAACAGTACGAGTGATGTTAATGAAGAAGCAAGTGGAACCAATGATGATGAATTAAGTCAAATACTAAGTGAATCTCTTCAAATTGAAGAAGTTATTAACAGAACTAATTAATGCATTGTTCAGAGTATCTAAATTTTACATTTAATGTTTGCTTTATTAAATAAAAAAAAATTGATGTTTCATATTATTATTTCTATGTTATCATGTATAAATAGTTTCCTTTTATATTATTAAATATTCGCGCTTAGTCGGACTTCTTGTCTCTCTTGTCTCGTTTCCACTGTTCGATTCTAGTTTTCAGTTCAGGCACTATAAGAATTTAATTCAATTAGTTAAAGCTCAAAATTAAGATATTTAATAAATTACCTGGCACAAGCTGTTCTTCTGTTAAGTGCTGTCTATTAAAAGGATCTGTGGACGAGTTCAACAAATGTCTAGTGATGACAGACCTATCCATAATAATTCCACTTGGAAGTTGCACTGGATCGTTAATTAATGTATCCATAAGTGGATCTCTAAAATCATCAGGAGCATCTGCAAAATCGTCTTCATTCTTTTGATTCATTGTATAAATTTCCCCAGCCTTTTGAATTAAACTTCTAAACTTTTCAACTTCAATTGCAGCTCTGATGTTATTCTTCTCAATCTTTTCAGCAGCCTCTTCAAATAAATGTCTCTGAAATGAGCGTTCATCACGTGCGAGAGCAGCTGCAAATTCATCACAACTCAAACGAATGTAAATATCAATGATTTGTCCTAAAAGACGTCTTGGTTCCCAGCCATACCTAAATAATAATTAAATTACAATTATTAATAAATGCTTTAATTGTTATTAAAATTAATTTAAGAATTACCTGGCAGGGTTTCGGACTCTCAAATCTCTACATTTTGGTCCACAAAGTTGATGTAGATTGAAATTCAGCATAGAACTAAGACGATCGACAAGCTCTTTGCGTAAGAATGGTTCCTTAATATCATTTGCAAGATAATGAATCATATCGACAGTCTCTCTGGCTAAAGTCAAATATGAGCGGCACTGTCTTTCATCTTGTACTAGCTGACGTTGACGTGTTGCTTGTTCTTCCGTATCTAATTTAGACCATTCCTTTTCATTCATCATAAGCGTTTGCACTTCGTGAATTTTCTTGAGATTTTCAAGACTCTCATCGAGTAAGAAGGTTGAATCATTCATAAGCATGTTAATAAACTTTACAAACTGATTTCCATTCTTTGATTCTGCAATCATAGCTTGACGATGAACCGGGCTGTTCCAAATACTCTTAAAAATATGAGAAATGTGATAGCGAATTGTAAATTTATCATAAAATTCAGTGCTTTGTCCAGTCGTTTCAACATCGACATAAAATCTCATTAATGCTGATATTAAGCTTGTCTGTGTGAGTTCATGGCTCATGACCATGTTGAAAATTTTCGTTGTTGTTTGTTGAATTGATGGTGAGATCACAAAAAGAACTTCTACGAGTTTGGCAGTAAGATAAGGATTCTTAATCAAATGAGGTGCACAGACGAGTGTCAATAGCCATGTGACTATTGAGTTGTCCATATAGTCAATAATTACTTCAACACGATTCCTATAAAAATAAATTAAAAATTAACGGATATTTAGAATTAGAAATTACACGCAAGTTCAAAATTTGAACAAGTTTAAAATTTTAATAAAGTCGTTACTTACTGTAGCAAGAAGAGTAAATAGTCAGCAATATCCTCAATGTACCACACAGGCAATGAAGCAAACTCATCTGATGCAACAAGTTGATTAGGCGGTATTGTGTTATAGAAAGGAACTTCAATTTTCTTTCGTCCTTCAATGTGATGCAAGACATAGTCACATACAGAGCTATAGAATTGAAGACAATTACGATTCACGTTTGGATCCAATACAAGAATTTCCATTGTATTCTTGGCTTTTGTTAATTTCTTAATTCTATTGACCCATTTATCTCGAGCATTCTTATTACGTCTTGCAACTGGCGTATTTTTCCAACGAGATTCTGTTGCATTTAGTTCATCGACCATTCTCTGTAATTCCTTTATAGCACGAAGTCGTTTATGATATCGAGATATAGCCGGAATTATACCCAAGTGATGACTATGAAGTGTAAAGAACCAACAATGGCTAACAAATTTCGGATCTTCCCATTGTACTTGTCCACGAATTTTCTCGAGAAACTTGCTATATTCAGCTTGTTCAAATTTCAGTTTTGTATCATCAGCAATTGATACTAATGATTGTGGATGAAATGGAAAGAGTGGATCAATTCTCTCTAATTTCACTTTGTGACATAATTGTTGAAGAACTGACATGAGATTAAGCATAAATCCATCGGATGCTAGGCTACGTTCATCTGCATTATATTGTTCACGCTTTGCATTATGCTTTAATAATTCTCCAATATATTTTAATACCATTTCACGTGTGTCTTTGTTCAGTATAAATGTGTAAAAGAGTTTATGAAGTAATGTCCTAACGTACTCGAGTTTACTTTGTAAATCATTCTGAACGACAGAGTCAATTGTGTTGTCTTCATCATAATACCGATCATAGATTAAGATTGAGATAGACAAAAATGGTGATAAGTATGAGATTTGAGAGATTTCACGTCCTGAAATATCAGTACTAAGAGCAGGAAGGAAAGTCCTATGACTCACAACCAAATTACAAATTGGCTTCACATTTTCATTGTTTGCAAGTCCTACAGACACAAGTTCAATGAGTCTGTCAATTGTGTGAGTTGGAAGCGTATAAATAGACTTGATTTGTTTACATCGCATATCCAAATAAATGTCTTCTAATATCGTATTAAAGATCCTTGTAAATCTCTTGGGATGATCATTATACAGTTCGGTTATGAGATGCTTTATAAAATCTTGATATGGAATTGTTTCATCGTACAAAATCTGCAATAATGGTGAGCGAGATCTAGTATCTACAATCTGCTGTGTTTCGAATGACCAGTCATGATCAAGTAATAAAATTGCATTATTGACGAGTTGTCTACGACATTCTGTGCTAATTTCCTTGTGTTGTCTCTCTGTTAATGAACGATTGTAGGACGAAATTAAATAGTATAATGCAGCTTCTTTGGCAGTGCACTTTTTCGTTTGTTTCCAACGTGACGGTTCACTGAATGTTTCATCATCGAAATCCATCTCAATATCATCATTTCTCATTCTACTTGATAAAATTTGATCTGATAAGGAATTTACTTCAATTTCTTGAATTAAGTCTGATGTAATGTATTGTCTAATCACATCATTGATTATCTCCGATATTAATTCAGGATAATTAGTTGGAACTAAGGTGCTATCCATAATTGATCGTGCAACATCCTTTACTGGGAATGAAGCATCAAATTCTTTACTCCATGATGAGTCCAAAATTCTTGAAATACTTTTTGCAATCGATTCTTCTTGAACTTCATTATCATCAATTTCCATACGATCAGGAACAGTCTGTTTAATTTCCTTCTCGTCTGTATCCATTTTAATGATTTCAGTTAAATTTGGATTACTTATATTCATTCCGTTTTCTTCTTTGTCATTTGTTACAGAAGTTGTTTCTAGGAGAGTAAGGTACAGATGTCATTACTACTATTCTATCTATTAATAAATAAACTTTTTATTTACCTGATATAATTGTGTTTTTGTTATCATCCTTCTGGATCTCTTTTTCAGCAACAAATGTACAACAATTATTATTTATGCTTGTCTCATCAATTCTTTTTTGGTTATCTGACTCATCAGTTTTTTCAGCATTTGAGGAAGTATTATTAACACCTAATCTCCTCAACCGACGCAATCGAATCTACATAGAAAGAAAAATGATTTGACGGAAATGTAAAAAAAAAAATAAGAAAACGCAAATTTTCTTTAAGGTCAATTTTCTTTCTTCTGTTCTGTTCTTTATGAAAATTGAAAAACAAAGAGTTTTTGTTTAAAACGCAGAAGGAAATTTTCGTGAATTCACTGTTTTTCCTGTAAATTACCTCTTCTTGAGTCAATTGTTTCTGATTATCTTCATCCATTTTATTGAATATTTTTCACTATTTATTTTATGCAAATATTTAAAAACAACTTTTCTCTCGTAAAACTAACTGTCTTCCGCAAAATTCCAATTGTTTATGAAAATTCTGTAGCTTTTAATTAAGTTCCTATCTATTTCGAGCAATGAATCTTAGCCTTTTAAGTTTAATTTTGTTCAAAAAGAAAGAAACTTTTTCTTGCTGAATTGTTGCTGAATTCAGTTTTGAATTTGAATTTTAATTTACCGTTAAGTTTTTGTAATTTATCTTACCTTATTAACTGTAGTTTTAGATCAAATCATATCTAATTGCTTAAAATAAATTACTTGACTACTTACTTTCTTAGAATTACTATTCTCTCGCTTTTTTTTTAAAATCAATGAATTCGTTTATTAATGATTGTAGCTTTAATGCTTTTCAATTCATTGCTTTAATTAATTTATTAGTCAGATTACACAAATTCCAGTGCATGTGTAATCACGCTTTTCTAGCAACTTCCTATTTTTTCATCATCAGGGTTTTTTTTTATTGAAGAAAATATTGTGTCGAAATTGAATAAGCTTCATCAAGAAAGAGCATGAATGTCACTGAGAAATCGAATCTGCCAATTTTCAACAATATCATACATCGAACATCGTACAAACAGTCAATCAAATATACATTACATTCTAAAGCTATTAAATTGTATGTAGTATACATGGAAATGGTATACAGGAAGAAGAACTTGATTTGATTACGAAATATAACTAGATAAATAGATCTGCAGGCTACAATCTTAAATTATTGTTTGCATTTCAAAATGTTAAAAACTGATGACAAATTTTGTCAAAAAAAACTTCTAGGCTACCTAACCTGTGGCAGATTGCAACCACACTTTTAAAGTACCACTCAACTCAACTCAACATGATTTGTAAATAGGAGTGTAGGCAAGGGGATAAAAAATTCAAAATCTTTCCTGAATAAGATACATGCTTGATAATGTGTTTCATACTTTGTTATTAAACCAATATTAAACTTGACAGTCGGTATGGAAGAAAATTGTAACTAGACGCAAATTGACAATTTAAAGTGCTGAAATCTGTGACATCAAACAGATCTAATCATCAAAGATACCACGTTATTAAAATCTCAACAAAAGAAGCTGCAAACAATACCTTTATTGAATAGTCGAGTAATTTTTGAGGAAATCTCCAATAAAATTAAATTAGAGTTTTAGATGTAAACCTTTACAATCTTTTCTTATCTATACGTAAAATCTTGAGCAGGAGAAGAAGCACTTTTCTTTATGTTTTCTTGCTCATGCTTTTCACAATATTAGAAAAACACACAACATTCTCAACAACGAAATGACTCATTGAGAGGACTCTTATAAGCTTAAGAAGCACTCAAATGGCTTTTCACATTTTTCTTTCTACCATAACTCTCAGGTTTCATCCCATTGTACTGTGTTGTGATACTGAAGATGATAATAATAATAGCAATGAATTTAGCGAACTTTTATACAAACAAAAGTTGTCGTGGAGTGAAATATAGCGTAAAGTAGTCACAATAATCTTTACTATTATAATAACGATGCTCTAATAGACATCAACTAAACTACGACTCAAGGATCGGATTTCAATGTTGCCAACAATTTAAGTCTCGACAATTTACTACAAAATGCCAGCTATGCTTAGTACCTGTCTGTAACTTTTTGTTTAAAGCTTAAATTGATTTTCCCTAGCGAACGTCCTTGATACACATTTTAATAGATGTCATAAAGTTTTACTATTTTTATTAATCATCTCACAACATTGCATCCCCAATTTTATTTTCCTGCAACGAATGATCTGTTCTCATTGAAAATCCCATAACTTTAGCATGCGATAATAAAAAAACCCTCTAAAATCTAGATTTATGTTGCGATTAGGATGGAAAATAATTTTTACAACTTTTTGTAAAATTCATACATACTCATCTATGGCATCGCACAGATAAAGTTTTTCTTTCCCTCTCTCTTTGTTACACAATGGCAACATCAATAAATTCTCATTTATGAATAAAAAACAACAATTTTTCCTGTGAACGGTTTACATAAAATAAGTGTAGTCAATTGAGTATTGTTTTGCATGCATCTACCACATATGTGGTTCTAAATCAGTTGTTCTCAGACCGTATAAAATACAAACAATGTCTATAATTTAACAGCTGATTTTCTAGTTTTGATACACTTTGACTAGCAGGAGTATTTTTATTATGTTCACACCGTTTTCACGTGTGAATCTATTGGTTTTGTTCAGATTGAAAAATCAGTTTTTCGCATTTTGTGAGAAAACAAAGCAAAATTGGTTATAAAAGGGCAAGAAGAAAAGTTTGTGCCTGAAATTTTACATCATTTTCAAAAAACAGATTTCAAATTGGTTGTGGCATTGCTGAGAAAATCGCAAAATACGCTTTCTGTAAGCAAACAAGCAAGCAAGCAAGTTAATCAGCAAGAAATCTCAATAACGAGACATTGTAGAGACTTCTAGTTTTTTACATTTGATCCGTGCTGCTCTATAGAAGAGCTGTATTGTTTTTGGGCAAGGTAGGAACAGCCGTTGCTTCAGAAATGGCAAAAAACTTTCCTTTCTTACGAATTTTTTAAAACAAAAGTTGACTGTGATTTTTATAAAATTCAACTTTGGATGAAAATTTTTTTTAAAAAACTTTTAAAGAATATTTGGCATATTCGTCAAGCTTTATACCTTCAAACTTATGCTGAGCGTAGCTCAGCTGACTCGATAGCTTTATATCTTCAAACTTATGCTGAGCGTAGCTCAGCTGACACTCCAGCTTTATATCTTCAAACGTATGCTGAGCGTAGCTCAGCTGCCTCTCTTGCTTCATATCTTCAAACTTATGCTGAGCGTAGCTCAGCTTACGCGATAGCTTTATAACTTCAAACTTATGCTGAGCGAAGCTCAGCTGCCTCTCTTGCTTCATATCTTCAAACTTATGCTGAGCGTAGCTCAGCTTACGCGATAGCTTTATAACTTCAAACTTATGCTGAGCGAAGCTCAGCTGCCTCTCTAGCTTCATATCTTCAAACTTATGCTGAGCGTAGCTCAGCTGACACTCTAGCTTTATATCTTCAAACTTATGCTGAGCGTAGCTCAGCTTACGCGATAGCTTTATAACTTCAAACTTATGCTGAGCGAAGCTCAGCTGCCTCTCTAGCTTCATATCTTCAAACTTATGCTGAGCGTAGTCCAGCTGACACTCTAGCTTTATATCTTCAAACTTATGCTGAGCGTAGCTCAGCTTACGCGATAGCTTTATAACTTCAAACTTATGCTGAGCGAAGCTCAGCTGCCTCTCTAGCTTCATATCTTCAAACTTATGCTGAGCGTAGCTCAGCTGACACTCTAGCTTTATATCTTCAAACTTATGCTGAGCATAGCTCAGCTTACGCTTTATTAGATTATAATCTTTGTATGAAAATTATTAATGATTATAATTTTTGTATCCAGGTTATAATCTTCAAAACAGAAAAGATTATAATCTTTACTAATCTTTCATATTATTGAAGATTGTAATCTTTGTTTAAAAAAAAATTATAAGCCTTGGATTCAGCATAGGGTTTTTGGAACCTGTTAACAGAAAACAAAAAAACAGCTGTTTTTCGACAAAAATCTGTTAACAGAAAACAGGTCTCAAAAACAGATCTGTTTTCTGTTTTTCATTTTTACATATAATTTACAGAAAAAAAATTCTTAATTTTTTGAAGAACTTAATATATTTTTCTAGCATTCCAAATTAAAATGTATTTACTATTTTAATATTTTTTGGATGTTTAATAGCTTTGAAATAATTGTCAAATTTATGATTAATCATTATTAATTTTGACACTCTAGCTTTATATCTTCAAACTTATGCTGAGCGTAGCTCAGCTTACGCGATAGCTTTATAGCTTCAAACTTATGCTGAGCGAAGCTCAGCTGCCTCTCTGGCTTCATATCTTCAAACTTATGCTGAGCGTAGCTCAGCTTACGCGATAGCTTTATAACTTCTATCCATAAGACTTATGATAGTACGGTGTGAATATAATCCGCATTGGGTTTCTACCCGATACACTAGTTTTTTTGAGATGTCAGTCTTCCAATACTTTTTAATTGAACGCAAAACTTCAATGGAATTAAAGTTTCAGTTTCATCGAGTTTTGGAAACTTTTGACGAGTTTTTGGAAAAATGGCATGTACAATTTTATAATTTTTTTTTGGTGTGATTATTATTCTAATGCTCCTGCAGATTATAATCTTTTGGAAACAAAGATTATAATCTTTGTATGAAAATTATTAATGATTATAATTTTTGTATCCAGGTTATAATCTTCAAAACAGAAAAGATTATAATCTTTACTAATCTTTCATATTATTGAAGATTGTAATCTTTGTTTAAAAAAAAATTATAAGCCTTGGATTCAGCATAGGGTTTTTGGAACCTGTTAACAGAAAACAAAAAAACAGCTGTTTTTCGACAAAAATCTGTTAACAGAAAACAGGTCTCAAAAACAGATCTGTTTTCTGTTTTTCATTTTTACATATAATTTACAGAAAAAAAATTCTTAATTTTTTGAAGAACTTAATATATTTTTCTAGCATTCCAAATTAAAATGTATTTACTATTTTAATATTTTTTGGATGTTTAATAGCTTTGAAATAATTGTCAAATTTATGATTAATCATTATTAATTTTGACACTCTAGCTTTATATCTTCAAACTTATGCTGAGCGTAGCTCAGCTTACGCGATAGCTTTATAGCTTCAAACTTATGCTGAGCGAAGCTCAGCTGCCTCTCTGGCTTCATATCTTCAAACTTATGCTGAGCGTAGCTCAGCTTACGCGATAGCTTTATAACTTCTATCCATAAGACTTATGATAGTACGGTGTGAATATAATCCGCATTGGGTTTCTACCCGAAACACTAGTTTTTTTGAGATGTCAGTCTTCCAATACTTTTTAATTGAACGCAAAACTTCAATGGAATTAAAGTTTCAGTTTCATCGAGTTTTGGAAACTTTTGACGAGTTTTTGGAAAAATGGCATGTACAATTTTATAATTTTTTTTTGATGTGATTATTATTCTAATGCTCCTGCAGATTATAATCTTTTGGAAACAAAGATTATAATCTTTGTATGAAAATTATTAATGATTATAATTTTTGTATCCAGGTTATAATCTTCAAAACAGAAAAGATTATAATCTTTACTAATCTTTCATATTATTGAAGATTGTAATCTTTGTTTAAAAAAAAATTATAAGCCTTGGATTCAGCATAGGGTTTTTGGAACCTGTTAACAGAAAACAAAAAAACAGCTGTTTTTCATTTTTACATATAATTTACAGAAAAAAAATTCTTAATTTTTTGAAGAACTTAATATATTTTTCTAGCATTCCAAATTAAAATGTATTTACTATTTTAATATTTTTTGGATGTTTAATAGCTTTGAAATAATTGTCAAATTTATGATTAATCATTATTAATTTTGCAATCGAAATTTTAAAATTGTTGAACCTTTTGGAACATTTAGATACTAGAATATTTCAAATAAAATATTAGAGCTTATGGAACTTTTACAATGCAACAATGCAATGTTTCTTGAAAGTATAAATATTTTTTTTTTGAATTTTTATATTTCATTATATTTTATAGAGTTAATTAACGAAAAATTAAGAAATAATTATGCTTAGCTCTATAATGTATGCTTAACTGCTAATAACCACCAAAAAGTTTCATTATCTTAGAGAAACACTTAGGATAACTCAGTTTATTTTGAATTCTAGAAAAACAGGAAAACAGCTGTTTTTAAAAATCAAAACCCGAAAACAGACTGTTTTTCAAAAACAGCTGTTTTCCACAAATTCTAATTCAGCATGCCAAAAACTTAACAACAAATTCTCAAGAAATTTCAATAGTCGAGGAGCTCAATTACGAAACAGAAAATTCATTGGATTTGTTAACTTCCAATAACTGCAATACGCTAATAACTTTATTGACTTAATTCCCATTAAAAACTGGAAAACTTAACTTACCTCACAAGTGTACAGATTAATACAAAACCTAAGAATTTTAGAAGTCACAAAATACACTTTCTGTAAGCAAACAAGTATGCAAGTTAATCAGCAAGAAATCTCAATAACGAGACATCGTAGAGATTTCTAGTTTTTTGCATCTCATCTGTGCTGCTTTAAAGAAGATTTATATTGTTTTTGGGCAAGGAAGGAACAGCCTTTGCTTCAGAAAAAGCAAAAAACTTTTCTTTCTTACGAAATTTTAAAAACCAAAGTTGACTGTGATTTTTATAAAATTCAACTTTGGATGAAATCGATAATTTTTAAATAGAGATTGAACTATCCAAGGATCATATCAGTGATGGGATATGGAAGTATTTTCAATAATGAAACGGATCAGAAGAATTATTGCAGGCAAAATTATTGCAAATGTTATCTCGTGATTTGGATTGCTGTTTTTTGTATTTCAATGCTCACATTTATTAACATATAACTTTGTTACATGGAATACCTCAAACCTGCAAATAAGGTTTTATTACAGTTTTGCCTTGTTCTTGGATATGTTGATTTCAATGATTTCACGGACTTTCTTCAATCAAAGGGTTGTTTTTTTCTTGTGTGTTACGTAATAAATGAACAACTCTTTACTGATCCAATTGAAACTATTTGCAATCCTTAAATAGGTTTGTTTGGTTTTAATTTTATTTAGTTCCTTTATATTAAGTAATTCGTGTTACGAGAATACAATAATATAACGATATAACAACCTTTGCTCTAAATGAAGTAATATTAAGATTTGCAAAGCAACAAATCTCTAGATTTTAATCATTTTGAGTATCACTGTTCTAGACGCCGTTTATTATTATTTGTTTCTGTTGAACTTTATGCGTGTTACACAACCAATACAAATACGTGATGAGATAAAAACAAGTTTTCTCTGCATGCTTGATATTTAAATTTAACAGCTGATCGGCATATGCACGTGCTTTTCAATGAGCAAACTCTCATTCTACAAAACTTCTCTCTTCTCTTGCTGCTTTTAACAATTTTTTTTCTTACTTCTTTCAACATTTCTTTTCAGTGTCTTCGCGTTAACTTACAACGATAGAAGTGGTCAGTCGAGAACCCATTTAATATTATTCAATTCTTTTTTTTTTATTTATGTAAGAAGAAGAAAATTTGTTTCAAACTTTAAGCCATAATGGTTGCCTTTTTATAAGCAAAAATACTCAATTTTGTTAAATGTTCCTAGAATTAAGGTCAAAAAATGTTAAAAGTATTAAAAGTATTAAGTTTTCTCGCTATAAGTTCTATAAATTGTGAAAATTTCATCAATAAGCCACCATATTTCTTACCCGGAGGTGACTTTTCATCATTCAGCATTCCAGAAAACTTTCAAATTGGAACTTCTGTGTATAAATTGAAAGGTAAGTTTAATGTTTTGCTAAAAAATTAAGCTCATGAGGTCATCACATAAGTAAATTAAAGCAAAAAGTCACACATAAATTAAGTATGACTACATTCCTTCTTATTCTTTATACTGCTGTGAATACTTACTAATGCTGGTCCACAAGAGGTAAATAATAAGCGACATGAAAAAGAATAAGAAGAAATGTCTGACTTGTTGTATTGTTGTTGTAAAAGAACCGTTGTTCGTTTACTTTCATGATCAACATGATGTATGAAGAGCATTGCAGAACGTAAAATTCTCTTTTGTGTGCCTGTATATTTGTATTTATTGTTTAATGGCAAACAATCGAATTTATATTGCATTCATTCATGAATAGATTGATGTGAGTTGGGAGAGAGTCACATGAACTAATTAAATTTTCAATCATTTTTAATATTTATATCGTAGGTTTCGATCCAGAGGGTAAAAAGATTTCTTACAGCATCTCCGGTCCGTATTTTTCTGTCGAGAGAAATACTGGTATTGTGAAGCTTATTAAAGAACTCGACCGGGAAACGCAGAAAGAGGTGGAGACAATTATCACGATTACAGGTTCATTTTAAGTTTCTTCTTATACATGAACGCATTCTTGCTTGATAAATGCAGTCATGCATTCACTTTGCTAGTCTAGACGAGTCAGTGGCATTCATGGAACATGAGAGAATTATTGGATGATTAATTACTCTTGCTTTAATGACTACATTTATTTACCTACATGCAGGAGATATCTGTCAAGGTTATTTTCGGTAATTCTCTGTTAGAAGTTTTTGTAGCCATAAAATCCATAATGTAAACCAGCTACGCTACTGAACCGATGGTCAGTGAGAATGCGTTCCTGTCTCAGAAGTCTCAAATGTCTTCATTATTTTCATTACTGTAATGCTAATATTCATATTACATTTAATATCTTTATTTATTTTTTCAGACGAGTCTGAGACAAGCGATGAAGAGCCAAATACAGTTTCTTTACGACGAGTTATTCCAATAAGAGATTATAATGATTTTACACCGACATTTTTGGGTCGACCTTACAGTGCGGAGGTGCTGGAAATATCGAAAATCGGAGTTGTTTTAAAAACAACACCAATTATTGTAATTGATAAAGATGAAGGAACAAACTCTGAGATTACATTATCATGTTATCGAGAAGAGCTTCCAGAGCATGATGGTCCTTGTGACTATTTTGATATTATTACTGTGAAGAATGATGAAGGAAATTACACAGCAGAAATTCGTCTTTTGAAGCCATTGGACTATGAAACGAGAAAGTCATTTTCACTGACAATTTTAGCAAGGGACGGTTCACGCACTAATCCCTTGATGTCAAATGCCACAATCAATATTAATATTATTGATGCACAAGATCAGCCTCCAATTTTTTACGGAGGTCCTTATTCAGCGACTGTCAGAGAAAATCTCGAGCCAAATGTGCCAATCTTGCTTGTTAATGCATCAGATGGTGATATAGGCAATCCAAATGATATTATATTGACTCTTGAAAAGGAAAAGTTTGGATACTTTAAACTTGTGAAAAGTGGAAAGGGACAGGCACAATTGGTGACAACAGACATAAAAATCGATCGAGAAAATTCGGAAGTACTTGAGAATGGTGGATATTATACATTTTATGTGAGAGCAACGGAAAGTTTAAAAAATTCAACGTTAGGAGATTCCTCAATATCCTCAATTACGGTCATGATACAGGATATTGATGATAATATTCCTGAATTCAATCAACCATATTTCAATTTAACGATCCCAGAAAATCTTGAGCATGACATGGCACTTCCGAAATTGTCAATAATCATAAACGACAGAGACATCAAAAACAATAGCGAATATAATCTGACAATTTCAAATGTTGAGAATGCCGATGGAATTTTTGATATAATTCCCAAATCAGGTCAGGGGAGAACACAAATTATTGTCAAAGTGAAAAATCCCACAAGATTAGATTATGATGTAGAAAGTGAGGCCGAAAAGACATATATATTTGAGATTATAGCAACGGTTAATTTCGTTCCAATGTCGAAAACATTGATTGAGGTTCATCTCGATGGAGTAAATGATAACTTTCCGATGTTCAAACAATCTAATTATCGATTACAAGTATCTGAAAATACTGACATGGGAACTAAAATTGGTGAAATATTTGCTGTCGATAAAGACGTTGGCAAATATGGAAAACTAAAATACATTTTACGTGGATTTGGATCAGAAAATTTCGTTACGGATAGTGACGAGGGTGGAATCTATGTCAAAAGTAATTTAGATTATGAGCAGCAAAAGAGCTATAGTCTATCCTTAATTGCTCGTGATGGTGGTGGTCGTGAAAGTAATGCAAATGTATTTATTGATATATTGGATTTAAATGATAACTGTAAGTCCTTTATCACATTACAATTTATTTATTGCTGTCTTAAAATTTAATTCTATCCGTAGATCCGCAATTCGAAATGACTGAATACTATCGGAGTATAAGAGAAGGATCAAAATCTTTTGAACCACAGTTTTTCGTTAAAGCTCATGATGCTGACGGTCTCACACAAGGAAATGGAAAAGTATCTTATAGTATTGAATCAGAAAATTCCATTTCCGGCCATGTTTTCAACATAAATAATGAAACTGGTGAAATTTATATTCATTCTGGATCGGTTCATTCGAGTGACACATTTGATGGAAATTACGAGTTGATGATTTGTGCGATGGATTTTGGCAAACCGCCTATGAAAAATTATACAAAAGTTATAATTAGAGTTGGATCTGAAAATCAGCGTCCAATTTTCCAAGGACATTTTGCAAGCTCTGTTGAGTCGATTCCCGGACCGCCTTTTCATCGAATAGCAATTTATGAAAATACTACTCTTGGCTCCAATCTAACAATGGTTCAAGCAACTGATCCAGATGGTGATGATAAATTACTGAGGTATAGATTAACAGAACCCAGCGATTCATTTGTGATTGATGAGATGTAAGATAAATATCTTTAGATATAAGCTTTTAAAATTTAATTAGTCAATTTTTTATTATTGGATATCTTACAGAACGGGTGTCATAAAAGTTTCTTCTTATGCAAGACTTGACCGTGATAAAGCAGATTCTTATTCAATCATTGTAAATGCCATCGATTCTGGTATGCCAAGCGAAACATCTACAGTAACAATAAAAGTAAAAGTTCTCGATACGAATAATAAAGCACCAAAGTATGTATTCAAATTCCATCTATTTTCTATACTTACTATTATGCAGAACAATTTTTTTCTTATTCCTTTCCATTTCATTTCAATAGATTTAGGAAAGCTTCTTACACTGCTTACGTGCCGGAGCGTAATAAAGGACTAGAGGTGCTTAAAGTTGAATCTTTAGATTCTGATTTGGATGCAAAGCTCAAATATTCAATTATCGAGCCAATATTTGCTACGACCAAAGCCGGATTCAAATTAAATCCCACAAACTTTGATTATATATCAACGTTCGATATAAATGAAGATACAGGCAGTATTGTTCTATTGAAAAACTTGGAGAGCAGTGGCCTGTATTCAGTCACGTTGACGATAAAAGTTCAGGATATGAATGCAATTAATCCAAGCGAGCAAATCGACACATGTGAAGTCATATTATACATACAGTCATATAAGGAATCTGGTCCAATATTCTTAAATGATGAATGGAATCCAATGGATAAAAGAATTAATTTAAAACTTAATGAAGAGATGCCAATCGGAACAACTGTATTTGAATTTAAAGCCACAGATCCTTTTTCAAATGCAGAAATTTCTGAATTTGATATGGATCCACTGCAAGAGTTCTTTACGTTAAGTGGAAATAAACTCATCATATTAAAACTCATTGACTATGAAAGCATTAACAAGACACTTTATAAATTCGACATAAAAGCCATTTCGTATGATTCGTTTTCAATTGCTCACATCTCCATTGAAATATTAAATATTAATGATAACAGGTATTTATCGTAGACAATAAATTATTTGAATAAGCTCATCGGGGGTCCTTTATTTTTGACATCACTATCTATTAACGTTTAGATGAAGCTTCACTTTTGTGATAAATTGGTAGATGGAACTTCATTTCTGAAAGACCCCAATAGCATAAGCTGATTATAATATATTTTCAATTTGTTTTCGTTCTATAGTCCTATTTTTGACAATACAAATTATAAGGCAACAGTGCTGGAAAATATAAAAGACAATGAAATCGTATTAAAAGTTAAAGCCACAGATAGAGATGCCATAAGAAATGATAATGATAAAGTTGCTGGATATTCCAATATCGAATATTCATTAAGTGGAGCAAATTCAGCAATGTTTGTCATCAATGAGAACGGTGAAATCAGGCTTGCCAAAAATCAGTATTTGGATCGTGAAAAGTTATCAGTTGTACATTTTCAAATTGATGCAGCTGACTCGTATGGGAAACCGCTGACCGTGAAAAAATCAATTGCAAATGTGACAATCGAAGTTCTGGATATTAATGACTGTGCGCCAAAATTTTTAAATGCGATGAAAAATGGAATAATTTATGCTGTTCTATCTGAGAGCTCCTTACCAAATACATTTATTATACAGCTTGAAACATATGATGCAGACGAAGGCCCATCTAGTGAAGTACGCTACGAATTGATAAGCGATGGTGAATTATCGAATCTCTTAAATCTGAACGTAAAAACAGGTGAATTGAGAACATTGAAGTTTTTAACAGGACGAGGGAGATCTGATCCATATGAAATTATTGTAAGAGCTATTGATAATGGAAATCAAATTCCAAAACAGCAGTCATTATTTACGGATCAAATACTTCACATTTATATTGGCGACACATTCCAAAATGATGGAATTCCGTATTTTATTTCACCAACTCATGATGAAGAGGCTTTCATTTATGAAAACTCACCGATTGGAACTAAAGTTTATCATGTGATTGCTAAAGATCCTGATGATCCAACAAGTCCAAGTGGCATGCTTACATATCGTATTCAAGACGATATTGACGATGCGAGATATTTTAAAATTGAAAGCCATACAGGACTTGTAACAAACACTCAGTTATTGGATCGTGAAATAAAAAGCAAGTATAACGTCATAATTGAAGTATCAGATCAAGGTGATCCCATACAAATATCAACAAGAGTATTAAAAATTAATATACTCGATGTGGACGATGAAGAGCCAGCATTTATACGTGAAACAAACACAAAACCAATTGAATTTTCAGTTCTAGAAGAGCAATCAAGTGGAATTATTCTTGGTAATATAACAGCCATCGATAGAGATATAGGTGAAAATGGTGCAATTGATTATGGCATCATTGATGGTAATGAACTTGAGTATTTCAAGCTCATTGTTGCCAATAATTCCGCATTAATAACAACGACAAAACCAATTGATCGAGAACTGTACGACAAGTTCTTATTGACAATAAAGTGCTTCAAAATGACAACTCATTGGCAGCAACGTACGAGTAAAATCTCTCATACGAGAGAGTATGATGCCAATGATTTATCACAAATACAAGTACTGATAAATATTCTAGACATCGATGATCACAAGTTAGAGTTTGAAAGAAAAACGTACACGATAGGAATAAGAAATTCAATTCCTATCAATACGATAATTTATAAGGTACAGGCATATGATAGAGACTCTGATAATCTTCCTATTAAATACTATACCTCAAATATATCTTATGTATCTCAATATCATAGGAAAGATACTAAGTTCAAGGATGATTTAACATCCATATTTGAGCTGAACAATAAAACTGGTGAAATTTTATTAGCTAAATCGGTATCGGATTTTGTGGACGGTCATTTTATACTCAACATTCATGCAAGCAATAATCAGTTCACTGACAATGAAGCGCTCGTTAAAATCTTTATTGTACGAGATAAATCTATAATGAAGTTTATATTCACAAAATCCCCAATGGAAGCTGAAGAAAAGTTATCGAAATTTTCCGAGAAACTCCAAAGTAAATTGAACGGGACTGAAATTGAGCTCTTGATATTTGATGCACAGGCACTGAGTAAACCTGAGCAATCTCTTGATTTCACCTCAACAAGTTCATGTTTCAAATTGTTACGAAATGGCAATTCGTTATCGGTACAAGAAACGAAAAAAATACTAAATTCAGAAGAGATGAAAAATCGATTGCGTGAAACTTATATTGAGTATTCGGTTGATTCAATTGATTTATGCTCCTTTGGGAAAGAATCAACTGCTCAAATTTCAATGATGGCATCCTCAGGAAATTGGTTAGTGTTCCTAGCATTTCTTGTTTTGATAGCATCATTCATATCCACCCTAGCAGCATTTTGCTTATTCCGAAAGTAAGTTATATTATTATGGTTATTGCTGTTATTGCTATTATGTGATAATAATAATAAGAACACATAAAAACAAAATTTTTATATCATTTTAACAGAGCTGAAGTTCCTATAAAAGCACCCATTCTTCATCACAGAATATCCAATCCCGATGACATATATAATGGCATGAATGACGGCGGTGCTGAGCCGATTTATACAATAATGTAAAAAAGTTTATGTATTTTTTTAAACGATATCTAAGATAAAGGTATATATTGTGATAGTTTAATTCTAACGAAGAGAAAAAAAACATTGTATGTAGGAGAAAAGGTAAATAAGGAGGTGAAGAAAATGTGGGAAATAAAAGGAAAGACCATAAATAAAATATGAAAGTAAATTTTATTATTCACGAAGGAAAAAAAGACATTTTCCTTGATGATTCTATGGTTATGTTGAAATTTTTTTACGTGCTCAACTTGGCCTTTTTATGTTGTTCATTTCCGTTTATTTCTCTTTAGAAATTGTCTCAAAGCATGTTTTAGTAAGAGCTCATGAAAATAATCATCATCATTTTGTTTCATGTAAAAAATAGTCAAACAAACATCTAATAGCTGCAAAATAGTCAAGCTTTGAGTATTTAGTCAGGCAATAACTTTTTGTTAAGTGACCTGTAAAAAAGTTTTAATACTAAAGCGTTATTTTAGTCGTAGATTAAACTTTATAATTTTTGGTCACCATTTCAGCATTCAAGACATGTAACTTGATTCATATATAGCCTAAGGGATGGAGTTAAAGGTCACTTGATACGTTACACGAAATAAATAATATTCCAGATCTCATTCTCGAAAACTATTAGAAATGTCAGCTTAGATAACGTTAATATCCATAATTATTGTAAAACCAATCTTTAACTTTATGTTCATTTAACAAGCCTTAAAAAATTAGTTTACAGGATTTCAAATGCTTTTTCGTGAATGTCATTAATTCCCAAATTTTTATTATTCAATAGAATCGATAAACAGCAATTGACAGTTTTATTATACCTAGTAAAAAATGTTTTCAGTTTAGAAACAAAACTGCATAAACCTACAATCCAACATTCAAATCTCAAATATTGATTCTTTGTTCATTAAAATTTTTGTTTCTCTCTGAGTTTATAAAACAATGTGCTGTATATATAGGAGACATAGATTTATTTGATTCATGACTTCACACAATAATTTTAAATTTTGAAAATACTCCCGAAATTAAGGGTTGTTCACAAATGATGTTCAATTATTGCGGTGCAAAAGAAATTGACAGTGGTTCTCAAACTTATCAGAGCGCGACATATTTAACTTCTCTAACAGACAAATGAGTATACTCATGGTACTGTAACATACTCAAAAATACATTCAAAACATACTCTTGAGTATGTTACGGTCGCAGAGTATACTCACTTGTCTGTTAAGGGATTTAAATATCCAATTCCATAGTAGAGCATAATATCCACTGAAAGTTTCACTATTAAATTAGAAAATCAAAACTTTATCAATTCTGTTCCTATTTTAAATTAAGTACACCATTTATTGAAAATTTCCGTAAGCGATCTACGTTTGAAGAATTTCAATGACTCAATCAAGTCTCATTTGACAGAAAGCACTTTATCATTCAGTTAAACTTCGTTCCTTTAAAAAAGCAACAATGCTTTACAATAAAAGACATTAAATATTCCAAACACTTTGCTTCCAATCGGAAACTTCTACTTTTCACAAGATGCACAGGAGAGTAAGTAAACATTTATGCACGTAGTATGTAACTTAATAATCTGTGCAATTTATTTGAAGCATCTTTAATGAAGCAAGACAGGTTCATATTTAATGCATAAAAAAAGAGTTAATGCTTCAAAAAGTGAGTAAAGTTTAATATTTAAATTTATGAAGAATTCAATTAAAACTTCAAAGTATCTTGTTTTAAAGTCTCAATAAGCAGCTTGACTAAAGATCTTTCATGCTTATTAAAAATTTATAAAAGAGTTTTGAAATTGTGCTAGATTTATTGAGAGGTTACATCTTATCTTGATTACATAGATAAAGATTAAATCATATCTTAAAACATTAATCACACGATATTCCGAGGTATTGATTCCGTAGCAATTAAAAAAATATAATAATGGATCGTACAGGTATTACGGAACATTAAAAGATGAATCCCCGAAATTTTCAAAGTATTTCGCAGCAACAGAATTCCACATCGCATGCTGTATTACTGTCTTATAATGTATGAAAATTCCCACATATAAAACGTGCAATAAAAATGTCAGTAAAACAGGATTTGTTCCTTAGTTTATGATGACTGAAAGTTGGACAGTGAAAAAATTTCATTGCAGTTAATTTTATTTATTTTTTTTTCAAAATTGCTTCATGTACGTAGAGAAATCATCCAAGAGAGTGAAGCAAAATGAACATACAAGCATACAATTTTTGTGCTACAATCAAGCTTTCATACATTTCCTTCCACGAAACTGCAATCAATATCTCGGATGCATTTAACACGATACATTGCAACTAAATCAGTTTTCTCGTGACAATCAGCAAGTGAAGTTGTTTCAATTGAGTTACAATAAAAGTTGAAGAAAAAGAAATGAAATTGCTGCTCGCTATAATCTGTTTGGCGTCAATCCAAATGGAATTCATTGAAAGTAAAAGCATTAGAAATGCAGAAGAGCCGCGAATATTTTTTCGACAAATTCTCGATGCAACAGGATTCTTTCCAATTGAAATTAATGTACCTGATACAGTGTCATCAATGATGAGTGGTTTAAGTTCCATGTACGATACTGTATCAGGTTATTTCGGAAGTGGAGGAAGTGAAGGTCAACCGGAAGAACAGACCCAGCAGATCATTCATGATGAGAACAGTGTCAATTCGAAAATGACTCAGAGGAAAAAGAAAGTGAAAAAAATTAAGAAAAAGAAAACTGTAAAGAGCAATAATGAGTACGATTATTTCTTAAGCTACTTCTTGTTGTAATTTATCATTATTTATTATTATTTATTATTTTTAATAAATGCGTTCAGAATGACAATACATTTTCGTCGAATCTTTAAACTGTGTCCTTATATCTTATGGATCCACGACCACGATTTACTGAGCGGTAAACTTTTTGCTTTGGGCTAATTTGTACGTCATGAACTTCATCTTCTGGTGCTAATCCATCATGAATTCTTGTTGAAACCCTTTCTGGATTTGGTGCTTGAATTCCAGCTCTTTGTTTTGGATGGACTTGTGTGTCATGGACTTCATCCTCGGATTGTAAACCAGCGGCTATTTTAGCAGAATATTGTTGCTCATCTTCACGTTTGATTTGTGCTCTTTGTTTTGGGTGAACTTGAGCATCATGCACTTCATCTTCTGGAATAATGCCGTCGTGAATTTTTGCCGAAGTTCTTTCATCTTCAGATAATAAACCAGCAGAAATCTTTGCAGACTGTCGTAAATCCTCCTTTAATTTAAATTGTGCTTTTTGTTTTGGATGAATCTGTGCATCATGAACTTCATCTTCTGAAAGAATTCCGGCAGCAATTTTTGCAGAAATTCGTGGTTCTTCAATATTTTCAGTCTCTTCATTGTCTGCATCAGTGCGTGTGAATATTTCAATAGTTTCACTCGGTTGTCCTTCAATATTTCTACCACTTCCATGGTCATTGATATGAGGAACCGCATAATCAAAACTATAGAAAAATCCTCTTGGCTCACTAGTCACTTCCTCGACATTATCAAATTGTCGTGCGAATCGTGACCTAGCTTTTCTTTTTTCTGTAGCTTCAACAATTACGGAATCATCACGAACATCTCCAAAATCTTTAGCATTATCAGATGAGATATGTTTCTCGTACGGGAGGACTGGATAGCGTGCAAATTTCTCATTTTGATTTGAGACCTGTTCTTCTAAATCATCATTGTCTGAGTTATAGTAGCCATTCGACTCTGCATCAATCCCATTTAGGCGTGCCGCCTCTTTCCACAATCGCTCATGCTCTTCTCTAGCTGCCTGAACCTCTGGGGTTTCTGTCACAGGCTGTAAATCAAATTTCGGTCTATTATCAGTCTGATGAAAACCCAAACTATCAGACCAATATTGCACTTCAATATCATTTCCCCATGGATCAACATAACGATATTGTCCTGTATAATGAAAGAATATGTAAACATAAAATCCAATAAACTAAGCTATGACTTCATACTGGACATTAAAATTAATAGATTTTCAAAAAAATAATTACCTCTCACTTCACCATTGGCATTTCCAGCTTCCAAGCGTGCTTGTTGATTGTCAGAATGACCAAACACAAATCGTCCCAAACCATCTTGTCCATGAAATTGATTTGCATCATATACTTCCTCGGTATAATCATCACTATCAATTATTTTTCCATTGAAAGCTTTTCCAGCAGCGGAAGCTTCACCAATTTTGTTCGAGTATCTTAAATCTAAGCTCTAAGTGATATTCATTATGTGCGTGTTGAAAAAAAAAAAAGTTTGTAAAAAACATCATAAATTAAATTAAGTGGAATTATGATTGTTAGAGAACTCACTTGCTGTGTTATGAGCTTTTGTGCTTCTTCAGGTGTAATGTCGAGAAGTTGGATGTGCGCGGCTCGAATTAATGAAACCGCCTTGAAGAAATGAAAGAAAAAGAACAGAATTAATATAATTATTATCATATTCTTTCGTATTTTTTTCCTTCTCGTCTTTATTTCATTATCTTGAAAATTCATCGATATCTCGTCGTACTTAAATTGTACAAGATCCTTAAGTCTGCATATAAAAATCCCATAAATTTTTGATTGAAATAAGAATTTATTTTACCATTGAATTTTCTTGATTGAGACATGTAAATGTTATCTTTTTGTCTACTGCTGTACATTCCGTGTAAACATCACATGAAGATAATTCATGATAGTAATTTCACAAAATTGCTACTTGAAACGGGTTGGGATTATTATCGTATATGGCAAGTTGATGATTGTCAAGATCAGTCAAGATGATTAATGTTTACAGTTTATTTGCTTAAGAGATTACGTAAACAGGGTGTGACTTTAAAATTTAAATTTTTAACTCTAAAATGATTGATTCTTAGTGACGAGAATATATTGCTGGAATCTGGAACTCTATTCTTATAAGCTTGTTGTGAAACTGGAATGGCTAATGTCACATTAACAAATGAGGGATCTTTACATTCAAAGCAAGAACTAAGTTGGTAACATTTGAAGTCCACAGTATCCAAAAAAAGGTAGTAATCGTCATTTTTAATAAAATTAAACTTAAAAGATGTAAATTTTAAGTTTCCAACCAAAGCCGCTGTCTCATGGCAATTAGAAGCAAAGAACTCAATCACAACGCTATAATCAAGCTACTTGTCACTTCAGCTTACATAAGATCTTTTGCAAGTAAACAAATTTCATTTTTCCAGAGAATTCAATCACAATAGAAATTGTAAGGCGTGGCAAAATAGATTTTAAACTACAAATGAGCTTCTTCAAAGATTTAGCAATAAAAATTCTTCCAAAAAAAAAAGTCCGCAAACAGTTCATCGAACCTTTCACCATCCATTTCTCGATAACTTTCTAGCTTGTTTTATTTTAATCTCTTCCAAATATTATCAACATTTAGAATTTTCTAAAAAGTGATGAAGAAGAAAATCAAATGTTTTGATGATGCTTCAGGTTCATTTGCCTCTCTCACATGGAGCCTTATTACCATAAAATTCAAATATCTAGTTTGTTGATGATAAAATTATGTAAATTAATGGAAATAAAAGTTCTGGAGATAATATTTGCCTTGAAATGCATACAAGACTGCTTTTTGCGCACATTTCAAAATATTAATCAAGAACTGAATTTTTTAGGAACAAAAATTCGATGACATATCGGTCATTTACGACTTTTTTGTTGTTGATCTAAAATTACGTCTGAATTTCTTTCAGCTGTGAGACCAAAACTCGTTTATTTCGCATCATCTCCTTTGATTTTTGTCGAATATAAAGTCTCTCTGCTCTCCCATATCACCTTGAACTTGAATTTTTATGAACCTTATGTCTTGAATAAATTATTTGTCATTTCTTCTCTTAAATATTTTTGTGTTTACGAATTTTTATTCCACATGCTTTTGTTTCGCTGCACGTCAGTTGAAATCGAAGAGAAAAGAGAAGGAAAAAAGTTAAACTTTCAGTTTCTTTTAGACAACCCTCATTAGTTATCGCTTCCATGTTTTCACATTAATGTGCTTGATACATTTTATAAAGATACCAAACGATATGCGGGTCATGTACTGTGCATTTTCAGCAGTTTAACTTTATCCGATCTTGACTCATCTTTCTTGTTATCTCATAAAATTGAGGTTAAAAGGATTAAAAAACTCAGCAAATCTTTTCTTGGCTGTCACGCGTTTCACCTACAAATCTGCTTCACTTATATGGTAATCGAATTTTGAAACGAATGGATGCATTCATGATATTTAAATATCATTCCTAATATGATTCCGAATGTGTCTGTCTGGATGATTTCGGTTATATCCAAAAATGACGGCTAGAGTTAAAATTTTCAGACCTACACTCTTCGCATTTGCAAAGAGTTTATCATCAAAAAAATTAGAATAAACCTCTGATGCTTGAGTATCCTGGACGTCATAACTGAACAACCCATAAAGATATTTTTAAAGATATCTTCATTTTTTGACACACGATTTAATTGAACTATTCAATTCACATTTGAAATAACAAAGGAAGCGTAAATTCCATCTACTCATAAGTCACGTATTGAAATCACTTGACGCATTTCAATGGAATAAAATATAACGTCTCATATGATGTCATCCTTCAAAAATCGATTTGCTTTTGACAGACCTATATATTCGCTTACATAGCATATATAAATATTAAAGCCATCACATGTATGGTAAATCCATAAAACATTGTATGCAAAACTAATGCATTATATGGTCATTTCGTCTGACTAAACAGTTTGAAATGATTCAAATGCAAATTTATTTTCAGTTAATACTTGACATACTAGCAACTCCGGTCGACATTGTTGAAATATTGTCCACATGATATAAGTATATAAATATAATGCGTCCATGTCATCAAAACATTGATGCTTGTGAATATTTTTTTCAGAATTCTTCAAAAAACAATGGCTGCAAATAGTGTTTACTTTTCCTTCTCGTGTTATTTTAAATGGAAAAAAGAGATCCAAAATATTTGATTATGTATCATAATAAAACCAACTAAACTACATATTTTTCCGTGTTGTATGGAAGTGAGAAAAAAAATCAATATTCATCATGGAATGGCAAATCATTCAATGTGTACACACATTTGCTCTGCTACTATCAATCTATTCGTTCATCCTATATAAACATAAGAAATGTAACATTTAATAAATCATCTATCAAAAGTAATTTTCGTAAATCTTTCGTCCTTTTTTTTCTCCCAGCGCATACATCGTGGAGTGTGTATGGACATTGATTATTATAGAAAAAGCTAATTCATCTAGTCATATATCAATATTTTTTCATCTAACAAATGAGCAGTCATAAGAAATAATGCTTTAAGATGAACGTAAGTGATTTAATTCATATTATTATTAAACAATAATAAATGTCAGTCCAGACAAATCTCTTAATTAGCCATCAATTTTTATTAAGCGTACTTCTTAAAAGAAGAATGAGAAAAAAAAGAATAATGAAGAGATTCAGGAGAACTTGAAACTTTTCTGATATTTCTTTGGTCTTTATTAAAGTTAAGACTCATTTTTAACAGTCAGTATACAGACACAATAATTTAAAGTGTTTCCATTTGCATCATGATAAGAAAAGCAGATCCTATAAATATTCCAAAAAGTGTGTTGGGCGTTGTTTCGATTTAAACATGCCTGTTTGCAGACACAAGGCTAAGCAAATTTGATAACTTTGCATTTGGATGCATCGAACCAAAATCACTTCATTTATTATTTTATCCCTAAGTGTCCAGACTTGAAATTCATAGATTCGAATTATCACATGATTCAAAAAAGTGAGATGCAATTAAAGAGTCTTAAAATTTACGTAGATGTTAGATTGGGAGGTGATTTAATCACCAAATTTTGTCTGATTACTTAATTTTATGAAGGAAATTAGGTTTATTATTTCTAAAGATGCCTGACTTTGATTTTGTCTCATTCCTAACAAATGAGCCCTTGTATAAAATGATACAGTATATATGTACAAAGACATGAACACAAAAGCTTAGTTAATTAAATGATGATCATATCAAATAGTCATCGCACGTTCTGATTTGGAATTATAAGGATCATGAACGGTTGAATGATAACAAGTCTATTAGAGAAATATTGAGATAGGGGAGAAGTAGAAAATCAACACATGTAGACATTAATTGACATAGCAAAGACAAGAGCTTTCAAGAGAAATGTGTATGCAGAGTAAGGAATTTAATAAGAAGAAGAATAAATCACAACTGCTTGCAATATATGATTAGTCTCTTAATAAAGTTAATTTTGAATATTTTGCGTAGTCTTTATGCCTACTAATCAGATATAATAAATAAATGCTCCTGTGACACTAATGAATAAAGTTAAGCATTTCCAGTCTACTTGACATTTCTTAAATTCTATTAATTTGGCTTTTTATGTCTTAATAACTCACACTGCCAACTGTAGATATTTTCCACAAAACGTGACTCTATTTTCTCATTTCCTTATTACATCATAGACTTTGCTCTAAAGAATTTGATTCAGCCATAGGAATGCTTGGCATTCTAAACTGCCTGCCGCAACTCTTTCCCTCTCTTCTCCCTATTTAAATGCTCATGACTTTCTTTCTTTCTTTTCTTCTTTTAAAGAAGAAATAAATAAAGGAGAAGAGATGAAAAGTCAAGGTCGTCAATGGCGCAGAAAGTTTAAACGTGATATTGAAGCTACACACTCCCAATATCAATCAAATCGACTTAACGATTAAGCAAAATTTATAATATATTTTAAGCAGTCATTACAATCAATAAATCCTTTAATATCTCCATCTTTTTTCCTTCATTTCCATCTCATCATTGAAATGAATAACTCCATCTACTGTATTCCTTAAATCTCAACTCACGATTTTATAGCGCTGATGATGAGTGACAAGGCGATTATTCAAATAATAACATTTACATCTGACTCGATTCTATTGAGAAGTGCCAATTTTAAGGCTGATTCATCTGTCATTGCTCATATTTAAGTTATGTTTTGTTAAACAAATGTGATATCATATCTCCAGAGATGAATTAACAGAAGGATGAGATCAATGTTTGAGTTTTGACATCAGTTCTGCTTTTATTGTAGACCTTGATATCAAAACAGCAGAAGAACAGCAAGAAACTTATGTGATTTTGAAGAAATTCTATTTGTTTTGCAATAACAGTCAAAAGTATTGGTAACAAGAACATTTTGTCAAAATTATTGTCTGGATGTGTCGTTATTGCTTCAAATATAATTTTGGATATGAGAATCGGGATCGTACATTTATGATATTCAAGATTTTTTCAAGATGAAGGGTATAAACTCAAAAGGTGTATGGCATTTAAATTTAAAAAATTGTGTAAATATTTTTAACTTGGATGGGAAGTCTGGGGAAGTCATAAAACAAGTTTTTTTTAAGTGACATCATTTATTAATAACCCTAAAATCATCTCAAAAGTTTTGTTATTTAAAACCATCATAACATCTTCTTGACAAAGAAAATAAAGATGTTTTGAATTACAAAGATGATTGTGTCCGAAATTCTTGGTTAAGTTTGACAGTAAAATCGTTTAGTTATGTGAGAATCTTTAAATGCTTACACCATTTTAATAGACCATCAAAGTTAATTCTTGATTTAATCGATGCTTTGGATATTTATTTTAACAGTCATCAAAGATGCTTCCGTATTTCTATTATTATGAATTTGATTATGTTGACAAAAAGTTGATGAGGAACAAAAGTTCTATGATTCAGATAGGGGTCTTTAAAGTATAATATTGAAAGAGGAAGTATTACTCAATTTCTGAATTTAAGATACATTTCTATGTGGTTCATTTAACAATTTAGAATCATAAATATGATAAGTTGGGGAAGGGAAATCTAAACGAGCTCTAAATCAACTTTCCGAAGCTCTAAAATTTAACGAGCTTTAACATTCCCATATCTATTTTTATAAAAATAAATCTACTTCTAAGAATATAAGAATTTATAAGATCTCTTCAGTAAAGACAAAGACCACGCATATTTTTATGCCACAATTCTGTCTCAGTAAATGGAAAAAATATTCAAGACTTAACCAGCATTAAAAATGATTAAAGCATTCGTTTGATTCAATTAAATCAATGAAATATCTTCTAGGTAAGTATTAACTTAATAAATGAGTCTAGAATTTAATAAAATGCTTTAACCTATCATCATAAAAAAAACATCAGAAAGAATCATATGTTGAAAAGTAAAATTATTTTTTTGATTTTATTAGTCGAATTCCAGCAGTCAGCAAGTTATTCAAAGAGGTTCCATTGTTTCTTAAATAAAAGAAATTCTAAAAAATTTAAATAAACAACAAATGAGCTTTACGCCTTTTGTTACAATGCTTCTCGTGACACCCATGCTGTGTATATCTCACTTCACATCTGACATTATTATCTTCTTTACTATGCTTCTTCTTCTGTACTTTTAGTGCATTATTTACATAAAAACAAGGATGATGGAAAGAGAGAATAATGTTGCTGCATTCAAGAATACAGTCATGGGATTTAATATGAAAGATTATCACTCTCAAATGCATGAAGCTTCTCATTTTCATTTATAATTCATTTTGATACATCACACCCTTTGCTCTGTTCCTCTTAACAAGTATCTTCAATTAATTTATAAATGCCATTATCAATTAATTTCTGCTTCATAGCTTGATTAAGTTCATCGTTGTAAAATTATTGCCTCAATTTCAAACACATGATTTATGAATTAGTACTGATTCAAATTTTTAACGATTTTAAAAAATTCAAATTCTTTCAACTTTCTTATTGCTTAAAAACATTCAGAAGTGTGTGAAGCTTCAGTCGATAAAAATGCGCAATGATTTCCTTCATTAGGATTTATATCCTAAGCGTCGATTGTCTTTTATCCCTTTCTTTTTTCATCCCATTTTTAACAATTACGTTTATTTTTTTCTCTGTAAAAGTTTAATGGAAAATTATCGTAGTACCGAATTATTAATGATATGATGACGACGATTTGCTAAGTTTTTAAGGAAAGAAAAAAAAAGAGAGATAAAAGAAATAACAAATCTACAACATGAATGAAATAAGAATCTCTCTAGAGAATAGATAAACTTTCGTTGTATTATAGAACAGAGCATTACCCACTAGCATGTGGGACGGATATGCCTTTCAAGAACAAATCTTCATGGAGATAAACATGTGAAGAGAACAAATTAAAGACAAACTAAGAAATTTTTGCTCGTCTCAAGCTATAAATTGTTCACATATTGCCATAAATAAACTTTATTTTACCATATCAGACTGAATGTGCGAAAGAAACTGGATCGAAAATAAGGAAGTTTTCAGCTGGTTTTAATGACTTGATGACTTTTTAAAATGCAGCACACTTGACGTTTTGTAATGACATTAGAGTCGACTAAGTCAAGTTAAAACATCCTTGATTTCCTTCTTAAATATCAAATGTTTTAATTACAATCCTCGCACATTATTCTTGGAACTTGCTCTTAATGTCAACGATATTTCATTTCATTCTCACCGTCTGTAGCTTTAATAAAAACGTACATAAAAGTACATGATGTTATAACAAGTTGAAAATCCTCAGAGATGAAGCTTATGTAGGAAAGATGTGTTTTGTATCGGACAATTGAATTATCAACAGAATAATGGACGAAATACATAAAACGTCGTCAAGATTACATTGTGACCTTTGTGGATTTACTGTGTTCTTTACTTTTATTAATGACACTGCGTAGAAATGAGTACGAAGGGCAATGGATATCGATGAGTTGGAAACAGCTTTTGAATTACGTAGGAATTTGATGTGAAAAAATTATTGTTGAATTTCACAGGAATTAAAAACTTGATTTTAGCTTCAAAAAATTTACAAATGTCTAAAAATATCATCCATAAGTTACTAATATACTCAATTCTGCTTTAAATCCAGCAATCCAGACAAACTCTGAGCACACAAAGTATGAAGAAATAAGAATCTAGCTAAAATGTCCTTTTATTGTAAGAACACTTGATACATAGAAGACGATGACATATATTATACCCAGTCGTGATAATAAATTATTCAGTGAAAATATTTTGGACACCAATTTATATCATTAACAATGCCATAATAGTAATTACATTTTTCCTTTATATTTCACAATATTCCAATAAATTATCTCTTTTATTGCCATTATCATTATTCAACAGGCATCGCTCTTATCTTACCATTAAGCACAATAATAAAATATTAAGCTTCATTTTTAATCACAATTTTAACACAACACTGAACTTTATGTCCTTCTTGCTCAATAGTTTTCTTTCTTATCACATCGACTTATTTTTCTATTTTTTTGGAAAATACACACATGCGTTGGTTCCCGTCGCGATCTAAAGAAGCTATAACAAAATTTAATTGAATGTCTGTTGCTTATATATAGCTTTCTGGACGCGTTCTTTTAGTTTTTTAAACATCTTCTCTCTTCTCATTGTCGTTATACATTTTCTTTTTATTATTTTTTTTACCTATAATAATCAAGTTGGTATTCGTCCAAATCAGCTTTATAAACGTCTTGTGTGTGGATGAATAAACTGTTGCGCGAGAGAGAGGCATTGTTATTGAAAAAAAAAATATTGAGAATGTGCACTTACCACGTTGATAAAAATAGAATGTTTATTTACGAATTATTATTTTTTTTCGTGGATTGCGATTCAATGAATGAATGAAAAGCTTCGCCAAATTTAAATGGATATTGAATGCTGATTATTTTAAGGGATACTTACAACTGACATCATCAGCGTATAATTTTTTGACAACCTTTTCCGATACATTAAAATTGGGTGTTGGCAACAGGAGTTCATTCCAAACTCAGTTGCGTATGTGAATAAGCTTATAGCCAACCTGTGATTGACTCCCAAAATCGCGCAACAAATTGAATGTCATGAAACTTTTAAATATTAAAAACAATTCTAAACTCCAAATTAAAGCAGCTTGTATAACCTAAACCTTAATTACTGCTTCTACATTTTTGCAATTTTATAAAAAGCCATTTGGGCCTGGAAAGTTACTAGCTGTTACAACTGTATCATTCAGAATTGAGCCTACCGAATTTAAAAAATAACAATTATTGGCCCTTTAAACTTTTGTGGCCAGCCTTACAATCTTCAAAAAACAAACAGTAATCACGATGTTCATGAAATGAGTAAAAAATAGACAAAAATCAATGCATTAAGTGCTACTTAAAGAAGGCTCATCCATGATTTTTGAAACTTCCGAATGATGTATCCCATTGATTTCGCATTACTTATAACTATTGATGCAGCATCATCGTGATTACGGTTCTTTTGTTAGAGTAATTAGTTATACATCAATATGGAATGTAAGTTTGGAGATTCCATATCTCATGAATCGCATTATGTTGTGTCATGTATAATAGATTTCTTTTGTTGCAATCAATAAAAAAAATTCAATTGTCGGTCAGGTAAATAGTTACATGCTGTGATGAGGAAAATATAAGCTTAAGGTGAATATTTAGGCAGTCAATGACACTCAAATCCGGTTTTCTTCTTCCAACCAATTATGACTCAATATAAAGTATTTTTTGTCAATCGTCAAAATAAATAGATGGATATCTTATGCACTTATACTTAATTTTACACTGTCTTGAATTCAATGAACTATTAAGTAGGAGTCTAGTATGAAATCTCATAAAGCACAAAAATAACTTGAATATCAATACGAGTTTATATAGACAACGGGAAGGTAGCATTTTTATCAGTTCAATGACTTCTCTATCTATTTTGATATCGAAGCTTTCGCAAAAGTTTTTAAAGAACAGAATGGAATAGAAAAAAAGTCAAAAATTATGATGTAGAAACCTTAAAAATAGATGAATCTCATTTAGTCTTAACATTAAAAATGATGTTAAATTCTTCAGTATTTTAATACTTTATTTCTCAAATTGGTTCGGATTTAACTATAAATAAATATAAGTCTTCATAAACACTGTGTCTTTTTTGCGATATTTAATTTATCAAATCTAATAACTCCTTAAAATACAAAACAATGAACTAAATTTGAGATTTCAGACTGTAATAAAATCTCTTTAACATTCGAAAATTCCTGTAATCAAATTGTGATTCAGTCATCCAAAAGTATCATAAAGAATTCATAAATGACGATACAAAATCTCTCAAGTTCTGAAGTCATTCAATAAAATTATTTATATTCATGCTAACAAAGCCCATCAATCAAAATTAAAATGATCACTTCTTCTTCTTTTTTATTGAATGCGGTACATGATTTACAAGATTTTATTGCGGATACTGAGGCATCCCTAAATTTCGCATAATATTGTTTAATGCAATCTCATGTTCAGTTAAAATTTCAATAATCGCCTTCAAAAAAGTCGGTTGAGAATGTTGATAATATCTCATTAAATACATGAGAAAGTCAATGTGACGCAATTCTTTTGGTCCAAGATATCCGAAGAGTTCTTTGAGCTTTTCAATATCCTGTGCTGTTGAAACAATTGCACTAAGAAAATTAAATATTTCATCTCGACTAGAATGAAAATTAAAATGGAATTAAATAAAAAAAGAAGAGACAATTAAGAAAAAAATATTTGCGAATTTGAATTGTTTTGTTCTTTTTCATCCTCTCTTATCCTATGCTGATAGCTACCTTAAGATTGTTTCTTTATTGCGAGACACAAACTCATGATTTTCTTCAATAATGTCTTGGTTTGAGAATAAAATTTTACCCCTCAAAGTGTTCTCAACATCACAAAGGCACTCGTTGGATAGAAGATACTAGAGAGAAGAACAAAAAAATTCATTAAAGTAAATGAAGTTGAATAAAATTATCTCGTTTCGTTGGGTATCCTTTTACTTGTATAAATATGAAAATACTTAAAGCATAAAAGCTCATTGTGGAGTGCAAAAAAATTAAAATTCTACTAAAAAGCTGAAATTGTAGCTTGAAAAAAAAACACAATTTTTTCCGTATCTCAAATATCGTAATTTAATAATTCACGTTACAGAGCTGTATATTTTGTTGCTGTTTCCTACTAGAAAGAAAATAGTGTGCTATTAGAGTCATTTATGGGCGCTTTGTCTACTCATTCATTCACTCATTACTTGATAAGATCGAAAGATATACTGTATTGATTTTTTTTTACATTTTAGCAAATGGTTTTGTAGGAGGTATGAAGAAAGAATATATTTAATTTTCCTGTGCTACATCTGACTAGGGGTGAATTTTTGATTTGCTGTTATCAAATTGTTCTATCGAAAAAGAAACTTTTCAGGCAATTTTCGTGAAGGAAACTTTAAAAACTTCTTGATACTGCAAACGTTATTGCAACATTCTTTTATAGAATATACGGAAAGCTTGTTTGTTTGCTTACTAACTAGTCAATCCAATTGAGAAGTTACAAATAAATTTGCGTTTTAAATTTTGTTATTTTTCCAGAGCAAATTTTGAGTTTTTTTAAGCATCAAAAAGACTGTTGGCTTATTGCTTTTGCGATTTAATGTAGCTAAGGAGTGTAAAATTACATTTCTATAACTACAGAATATTATGACTCCAGAAACTTTTTATTTTGCTAGGGTTTTTATGAAAAAATTACAAAAATAACCCCCCCCCCTCCCCCCTTAAATTTTTCCATACAAAAAAATTTCTGTCTCCCCACTTCAAATTCCTGGCTCCCCCCCTGGATCTATATAATCAATTTTAAATGAGCTTATGAAACCCAAATCTTTTATTATAGTTGTTGCCAATTATCGTGACTTTGCTTTTATATCTATTATTGAACATCACAAAATTGACTGAAGATCTTGAGACACTTGAAAGAAGAATTATGAAACATCATTGTTATTTGTAATACAATTAACAATCTTGTATATAAAATAGTATTGAAAAATGCGTCGTAATCACCTTATCAGCATAATGTCAATTTGCTTAACGATCTCTTGTCACACAATTTATAATACTACCAAGTACCTTGTAAGTTGAAAATTCATTAACAATTTAGACGCTATTAATTGTTTGTAAATAGTCACAATATACATCCACAACTACATTGAATTCATTTACTTTTTTAAATGTGGCTAATTAGTTGGAATTGAGTATCATGAATATATAGCGCGTTCACTTACCTGTCAATCAAGAAATCAATTAATGATTCATTGAAAATTACCCTCGGCTTATCAAATCAAAATTGGAAATAAATCACAAATGTAAACTTTTTAATTGTTTCGTTGAACTGTGAACGAACAAAAAATTCTACATGACTTAATTACCTTACAAGAAAGAAGAGCAAGTAATGACCTAAGGCAATCTTCTAAATTGGATTATAATGATAGGAACTATTAGGATAAAATTGACATTAGATTATTAATCAGGAATATAAGCACATCAGTAGGTTAGAATGTAAAGTTTAGGAAAAGTTCAAAACATCCATAAAACTTTTAATGTTTTTACTGGAGCAATAAAAAAAGGAACGAGAGATAGAAGTGAATTTTTAAAATACCTTAATAAACTTTTAGAATAATTCACAAGTGATATAATCGTGCGAAGAAAGCACAAATAGAACGGAAAGCTACAGTATTTGCAGCCTTATTGATAACTTTTCTCTTAAAGGCAAAGTGAATTTTCATTGCGAACCCTTCTTTCTGGTCCATAAATCAATAACGGTGCTTTAAAATCATTTCTTTTTATATCAACTCGTACGGCGAATTTGGTAATAAAATTATGCTTTGAGAATTTTTGCTACATGATCCAGTGATGCCGAAATTTAACCAAACTCTTCGAATGCAAAAAAATTATATTTCCGTATTTTGCATTTTACTTCTAATGTTTGACATAGCTGCTAGTTGATGACATATGTTGAACATTAGCTTCATTGTCTGCATTTGAGGAAGTTCAATTAACAGTAATTTTTGAAAAAAATGTATGAACAGTCAGTTATAGTCGACAATTACAGAGACTATGGATAACAAATAAGATACCGTCAGTGAACTTAATTAATGTGTTGCTTATTTTAATGTGCAACTGAAAGAAGAATTTCAATCGGGACAATACAGAAAAGATTAGCCTCCACTGAGTCTCAACATATACCTTCGTTTAAAAAACGGCTATAGCAATAATACATTTTCTCAAAAATAAAAAGTATCCAAAAGTTTCTTCTTTCCTCAACTGATGAAAACTCAGAATTCAAGTTTATAAAAGGTTTGAAATTTAATATTAAAGGTAAAGGAAATTTCATAAATAACTAATATCAACGATGAATTTCAATTCCACCCACTTATCATAGCTTCATTTAACCTCAACCATTGCCATTTAAATTATTATCTAGTTAAAATGATACATTTCAGTGAGTTTCAAAAGTAATTAGATAGATTAGGTAACTGAAAAATTATTGACACCATTCCATTTATCCTATTCCATGAAGGATAACTCTTTCAATTATCTTAATTAACTTAAATTGAATGTGAACAAAATTCCAATTTGTTGCAGTCATGCTACAATTTCGACAAATGGAATTTAATAATTACCAATTTTCTAATGAGTACAAATAGATTTTTCATTTTTCATACTATGAGCTACACTTAATTATTATTATTCGCTCAATTTTCTCGCAGTCAGTGCATTACAGAATGTGGACGTGTTTACTGATGTTTTTGTTCGCTTTCAATGCAGTACAAAATGTAAGTGAATAAATAGAAATGAAATTAGGATTAAGGAGCACGTGCAGTGCATAATCAAAGCGCATTTTTGCTGCAATCACACAATCAAAAAGTAAAGTGGAACTGCTGAAATATTGTTTTTTATTAGTTCAGGGACGTAGCAAGAATTTTTTGTTTTTTTTCGTCTCAAACCCCTGGAAAATTATAAAAGTTATCGTTTAGTGAAGGATACTCCTTGATATACTCCTGTATTAGATTACCATTATTAAGTGTTATATAAATCAAAAAAGAATCACTTTATAAATTGTTTATTAAATACCTTACTATTGTTTGAACTTATGTTAAAATGGATAGTTTGGATGTTACAAAGCGCTGTTGACATATTAATATCCATTGACATAAATTGTTCTGCAACTAAGTGAAAAGCATTTAAAGTGTTACTCTACATTTGAACGATACCCTTAAAGTCGTTCATAACTACATTTTCTCTAAAACAATTCATGCAATCATCCACATAAACATTTGTGCAGCAAAAATGCGCAAAAATAATGAAGGCAATGAATTGCTAATGATTCTACATAATACTAGATTACAGGCGAATCAAAAAAAGTTGAGCATGATATAAGGGTTATCAAAGATTTAGAGCTGAATAATAATGAGAAAAACATTTCGAATTTTATACCCACAACAAGTTCTATCAACATAACAGATTTGAAAAGTAAGCACGCAGGAGCGAATGAAACTTTTTGCAAATCATTTAATGATTTTTTTTTGTGCTTAAAGAATTGGATGAGAAGCTTAATCCATTAAAATCCCGAGAGAAGCGACAATTGCGAAATTTGAATGGTCACGGAATGATGGATGAGATGCCAATGAATGACAGATTACAATACGACGAGATGTCCATGGATGAGGCAAATACTGAAGTCCAATCAACAATGCAGAGCATCAACATACCGAATACAAAAGGAAATCCTTCTTTTTCCATTCATGCAAACACGGTCTATATTTTATATCCATCTGTACTGCAAGATCCAAATATTTTCGGTCGATTATCGATTCCTCAAAATGTTAATCTAGATCGACAGAAGGAAAATTTATTGAATCAGCCAGATCAACCTCCTCCAATGTCATCAAGAAGATATAATTTCCAAGGAAACTCTAATAATCTTGAAAGCTTTAGAAAACGACGAAACGTTCCAATCATACCTTTACAAAGGCAAGGATATGAGAAATCAAATGATGAAATGATGACAAATCCACAAAGAAAAGATCAGCAAGGAAAAGGAAAAGTTGAAAGTAATTTAACGGGAACAATTGTTGTACTGAATCAAGACGTTATAGAACAAAATACAAAGCCATCGTATTGATAGGTAAGCTCAAAAAAAAAAGAATCGGAAAATCTGATAAAAAGCATGTGTAGGAATTGAACAAAAGGGAAGAATTTCTCAATAAAATCAATTTACAGTTTTTTGATTCCATTTGCTATATAATGCGAATCGGCCGGAAACTTTTGATTAACTTATACGGATAAATAATGAAATCATACCATTACAGAAAAAATTACAACCATGTCGAATGACAGTTTAATAAGCAATTAAACTAAGTCGTAAAAATCGATTTTTAAGGTTAAAATTTTTACTGGTGTTGGTTTTTTGCTCCCCTTTTTCCTCATTTTCTCTATCGATGAATTTTCTTTATTTTCGTTACATTTCCATTCACAGCCTTCATGTTCCGTAAGTCAACGATTGTGGACGATTTTTATTTTGTTGTTGCTTGAGAATTACATTCACAAATTAAACGTTTATTACGGTTCGTATTTTCACGTAAAAATGAAATTGTTTGTAACAAAAGAACCGCTGACCATAACTCGAAAATTGGACGATCTCTGAAAATGAAATTTATTTTCATCCTACATGCAAATAAAGAATTTTTGATCAAGGGTTGGTGACTTTGTGGTTTGAAATGTTTTGTGAAGGTTATGGATCTTTAGTTCTTTTGAAATGGACATTGGACCAAGGATTATGAAATTTTTCGTATGATTATTATTCTTCTATGGAGCTTTTAAACCCTCACTTTGAAATCAAGCAATCCACAAAGTCATTTATCCTTGATTAATGCTATTTCATTTTACTTCTCCAGTATTTTAATCAATTTCACTCTTTTTATTTAAAATTTATTTTGGTCCATTTCCATTTCCATACAATTTTTTTTGCTCTTTTCTGTTATGATTCGGTACTCAAAAAACATTAAAAAATTTAGCAGCATATTCTCGGAACATTGATATATTTTTATTATAAATTGTTGCTATTTTTCTGGCTTTTTTTTAACTGGGTCTACCAAAAAAAAGGGAAACTTTCATCCTTTGATATTACAAACATTGAATAATTTCTTTAGGCAGAAATGAAAATTTTTTCATCATCAATTCATGGTTGGGATTTACAAACGAAAATAAATGTTTTACTTATTGATTTTTCTCTTATCCCTTCTCTCCTTTCATTTCATTTCATTCCAATCGATCCCAATTCATCTCATTTGAATATGTTATCATGGATAAGTAGATGTGCATCATGATTAGAGGTAGGTCTATAAATAGGATACATCTTTATTTTTATTTTTTGTTTGTAGCTAGGAAGAAAGTTTTGATCCCAATGATAATATTGATAGGGGAGGAGGGCAATAAATTTTAAATAGAATTTATTCCTTCAAGGTGTAAAAGAGGAACGATTTTTTTTATTTGATTATTTTTATCCTCAAGTCTTTATATCTTCTCATTTTGTTTAATTGATTATTGGTAGATTTTTTTATGATTTATGATATCGTGTAGAATTTCTTACTAGCATATTTCAAAATAAGCGTAAATGGACTTTTTAAGCTTTCACAATCAGTCAACTTAAACTTTTCAATATTATTCCTCTGAATATTGATTTACTTGGTATCTGGATCATACCTTGAATTCTAAAACATTTTAGTTGGTATCGTAAAGAATTATTGATGAACTTATAAACATTCATATTCAAAGTCTTTGATCCTATTACAATTTTCAGATTTAAATTTCAAAAAGAAGCAATACAAATAGCAGTCCACAAATTTATAATTTGTTTCAAAAGTCTACAAAAGTTTTTTTCAGATTTGGAAGTATCCGTAAACTTAGCTAAGCCATACCAGACCTCGAAAACATGTCATGAGATAGAAAACGTAGACTTCCTAACAATTGTATCTCCTAAAGCTTTAGATCTTGAATATTGGAAAACTCATAATCTCAAGAAGAATAATATTGATGAATTCCGATTAGGATTATGCACAGTATTATAGTTATTAATGCCTTATCTATTAAAGAAGTAAGTATATAAGCAGAAAAGTATTTTCATTTCGAAAATTAATAATAATATTATTTTATGCCAAATATTTTTATTCCTGCTTATTTTCTGCTTCAATAAAAAAATCAATAGGATTAAAGTATATCCTATAGGCTAGTAGAACCACGTTATAATAAGGTATATCATAATCAATTACAAGGTACTTCAAAGGTTTCATTTAAAACATTTTTTATAGTGAATTAATAACTTATGAATATGGAAAAGTTGAGGAGCACTTTTTGTTGGATAGACCAAAACTAATTGAAACTATAGAATTTTTTATGTAACAGATGGGACGAAAAACGATTTGATGTATGGACGTAACGTAAAAGTGAAGAAACTTTCGTTATTAAAGAATAACTTTAGCGCATTTTCTTTGGCAACAGATTATGTTATTTCCATAAACATTTTTACTATGCAAAACGGAAAAGGAATCTTTTCAAAATTCCTTAGTTGTAATCTTTAAATCAGTTCACTCTGATAGCCAGAAGATTTTTTTTGGAATATATAAAAGGATCAAATTCAAGTGTAAAACACGAAAAGCCTTTCAGGAAAAAGGAATGTAAGCTAACAATACTACATGATCCGATCAAAAATATATTTGAATTGCAATATCATGTTGAATTTGTTAACTAAAGCTTTACGTAAAGCTCGTAGCTGTAGAAAAATCTGAATGGAAAATTCAGAGAATTATTTCTATGTCTCAGAAAATTACACTGAAGAAATGATTCAAATTGTTTCAATTTCCATAGAAAATGCGCTGTCGTAATTAATTTTATGTTGCCATTTTCACTAAATTTTCTGTTTTGTTCCTTCTCTTTCATTCTCTGTATAATATAGCTCATAATGGAGCATGAATGATAGCATTGCTTGTGACATTAGGAAATGCAAAACGTGTTTTTTCTTCTTTTCGATATTTTTTTTTTGTTACTCAACATACTTTTTTTCTTATTCATTCTACGTTACATTAAGCGTTCAGTTCATTGAATTTTATTATAATAACACCACACCAAGAATATTTTTCACGGTTCACACACCCAATTTTATCTCGCAAAGCCTCTTACTCTTATGTTGTAAACTAATACGCATAGATATCTTATTATTTCATACAAAAAAAAAAACATGAAGTAAAGGAAGTAAAGGTAAAAAAATCTGTTCTATTTCTTAAATTCTTAATTAAATTTACAACAAATTAGGATATTTCCCACGTAACCATAAGTCGACGAATGGAAGATTTTATGTATTACATCAAAATCTTCCATGTATGTTCCATATGTACATTCCATGTATCGTACATTGGACATTATGCTAATATGAAAAGGGACGATTTTACGTCGATTTCACGTCGATTATTTTTTTGAACCAAAATCAAATTTTTATTGACCGTTACAATATAAAAACCGATTAACGGAAAAATTTTGAATTGTTTTTACATGAAAATATTTTTTGTTAATTATACTATAATTTGTAGACAAAATCCAAAAAAATTAATTAAGGATTTTGTCTTTGAAAAAAAGAGTCGAAGTCTTCATTTAAATGAATGATTCGCTTGTAATTAATTTAATTAATTAATCACACTTTGCATGAAAATTTGGCTGTGCCTTATATAAGTGATTTCTGATTGCACTTGTGAAGTATATAGCGGCTCAAGAAAAACGAATGTAATGGATGAAAAATCGACGTCTATTGGATCATCCAAAAAATTGTACATTTAAGTCGATTTTTTCATTGACGGCAATTTTGGTTACGTGGGTTATGGATTCCAGGTATCGTTGCATGACTTGTTTGTGAAATCTTTGAATGATCTACAGACGGTTAAAATTCTTTGAGTTAGATCAGGATTTCTCAAACTGTTTTGACTTATGGAACATTATACAATCTGCATAACACAGATGTTACTCAAACGGAAGTATATTTTAGAGTAAAGATGAAACTGACAGTTGAATCTATAGATCGTGAATCTATGAAACACAATTGATACTTTTTTTTTTTGAAAGATTTCTATCGATTATTTAAGAGTTTTGATCAGTTCAAATGACTTTATGCAAGATTACACTTTAAAACCGGTTGTCGATTATATCCATACGTAAACTCTAGAAACTTTTCCGTAAAATCCAAAGCGTGGAAACTCAGGATCAATCTTGAAAAATCCCAAAAATCCTAAAAAATCCCTAAGGGTTCGTTCACTTATTACGTAACGCACTAGGGGGGGAGGGGGGTCTAAGATTTCGTTACGGTTTGTTACAGGGGGGAGGGGGGGGTCTAAATTTTGTTACGTAACTTTTCAAAAATTATATTTTTTTATAATTGTTTCTATATTAATTTTAAATTTTTTTAACTTTAATTTAAATGAAAAAAATTATTGTTACGTTATGGGGGGGAGGGGGGGTCTAAGATTTTGTTACGCTTTGTTACAGGGGGGGAGGGGGGGGTCTAAAAACTCGTTTTTTTGCGTTACGTAATAAGTGAACGAGCCCTAAGCCAATAAACATGGAAATGTGAAATTCCTTTTAAATCCCTGATGCATTTGATGAATAATTTCGGGATTCAAAAGGGATTGCAGGTTTTCATATCTATTGGATCAGGGATTTTTTAGGATTTTTGGAATTTTTCAGGATTAATCATAAGTTTCCACGCCTTGGTAAAATCTAATGCTGCCTCTCAAATTGAATACAGACACAAATCATGTGCTTGCATTATCACGATACACAGTTTGAGAATCACTGTTCTAGATCATATTTTTTTAAAAACACACAAAATAAGGAAAGTTGATGAAAAAATCTCAATTAAACTGAGAATGTTTCTGTTTGTAACTGCCAATTTTCCCAAACGAAAAAAAAAGGAAATGATATTCTGTTTAAGATGATTTGAATTCCATATGAGTAAGAGGGTGATAGTTAGTAATATGAGAGAATGTGAAGCTTTACCATTAAAACTTCAATGAGCTTTTCTAATGAATTTTATAATCATGTTGTGTTTACAGCATTGAAAAAAAAATCTTTTATGCCTTAATTAGTAAAAAGGTCGCTTTATAAGCTTCTGTTTTGATGAAATTTTCTCAGTTTCTTTCCATTCATGATATTTAATTATATTATGTATATAGATAATATTGCTTTCTAAAATTTTAATTTTATTCTTTTCTTCACATAGGTAAGTATGTATATATGTTTAAATTTCTTATATAACAAGCTTTAAAACTCCATTAAACACGAACATCAACGTGGGAATCAATTTTTCTCATCTATTAAGGTGCAATTTTTAAGGAATTATCTATAATTATATAAAAAGAACATCTTATATCTTTGTAACAAGTTAAACTTTTTTTTTATTAATAAGAAGATAGAAGAAAAGAAGTTAAAGCTTGTAAAATTAACAGCAACATCTCATTTTTATAGCAAAAATTTTTGTTAATTCATTTTGGAAAACTCGGGTAATGTTAGGTATTAAGGTATATCTTATGTCATTTAAATACTTTTTTTTTTTTAAAAAATCAAAACGTTAAACATTAAAAACTTTTTTAAGTATATATATATATATATATCTTTTAATGTATTTTACTTAATTTTTTCTCATATTTCTTTATTTTTTTATTTTTTTTGTTTCGATTGAGTTTCAAGTCTTTTCATCAAAGCGTTAAATTTTTCCATTAAAGAGTTTTTCAGGGGGAAAATTCCTTTGTATAAAATTTGGTAAATATTTATGCCATGTGCTACAATGTTTTACAACATTTACAATGATTTTATTCAGCGATTCTCAAACTTTTCAGCAGGTTAATTCTCTAGCTTGGTAATAATGTCAAACAAATGCAATGTGCAACACGTTTTTCTAGTAGAATATTGTTAATTCCACAAAAAACACACAAAGGTATTTTCTCCCTTATTTCATATTATTTATTTTGGTATGCTATTTTGGACTTACTTTGTAGTATCGATTTGACTAATAACATCTGCAATTTCAATTTTGCCATCATTTTGTAATTGGATATCATTTTTTTTGTCATTTTGATTATGTGTTTCATTTTTGCCAGTTTGACCCAATGATTCAACCGACACAATTGATCGAATTGAGGTTGACTTTCTCAATTTTCCACCATTAATTGTTGTTTCTTTCATTTCACTTATCTCATACTCATCAATATGACATTCTAGCTTTGTTGCTAAATCTTCTTCTTCCTCGTCATCATCATCATTATTAACGTTATTAATTAAATCCTTCTCATCCTTTACATCTATTAATTTGCTGCTTCTGATCACAGTTGTCACAGTTGAATGATTTACTGATTGTTGACACAATCGAAATGCTTCAAGGAACTCATTCAAGTCTACTAATGAATCCTTATTTATGTCCATCAATCTACAGTTCTCTAGCATTTGATCAATATTACAGTTCGGAAGATAACCTATAAATTGTTTTGTATTATTGTGGAAGAAACAAAAAGGAAGAAATCTATGAAAATTTAACTTTAAAAACCAGCATCAAAACTTTATTTGATTAAACTTCCCAACTCCTAGAACATTTATCACTTATTAAGTACCAGACCAAAACATAACCTCAAACCATATCTTTAAATCCAATTAAAAATACAACCATAACAACCACAGATTATACAGACAATAGGAGACAAGACAATTGAAAAATTGGATCGGCTTTTCTCACCTGACAGTAGTTCACAAGCTTGCTGAAATTCATCAATGCTTATTAATCCATTTGAATCCAGGTCCATCATTCTAAAAATGGCTTCTAAGTTTTCACGATTTGTGTACATCGTGTCGGTTATTTTATCAGTATCATTGGCACCAATTTTCTGTTGTAATTGAATAGATTGTAAATAAATGAATGAATTGTTAATGAAATGGCTTGTCGTGTTGAAAATAATTGTATTATAATGTAGCAAAATCAAGAAGTCATGAAAGCATAAAGGAATAAAAAAAAATCAATTTTTATGAATGAACTGGATTGGACTTACTATATCATCATTTTCAATCATTTGTAGCGTTTTTTCGTATATTATTTCGTTGTTTTCGGTTACAACTGCTAACTTTTCACGCAAGAGACGCCATGGTAGCTTGAAGTTTGTAACTGATTCCATTGCTTCAGACCATTGACTCAACGATATTCGGCCTGTATATAAAGTATACGTAAATATATACAATATAATCTGAAACCTTATCTTTTTGTCCTTTTCAAATGGAATGGACAAAAGAGAAAAATAAATAGGCAGTGTATGCAGAACAAACCTGTATTTTCTGTGTCTCGTTCTTTGAATTCGTTTTGCAGTTGAGTCTCTTGTTCTCGCAATTTTTCTTTCAGTTCACGAATGGCAGACTTTTCTACATTATCTACTTGTTGCCTGAATGTTAACTTTCTGGTTTTTGATGCGGCAGCAGTAAATTGCACAAAATAGCGGTCGGAATTAGCACCAAATTTAATATAAGCGCCTTTGTTGCTTCCAATTTCGTAGTAATTTGAAGCAGAAAAAACTGTTATCACCTGTATAATGGAAATTATAGGCACGATTAGAATATTTTGAACATTTGCATTAATTTTCATGTTTGCTTATTAAGTAAGTTAACTTACATTTCCATTATGAACAATTTCATAGCCATCAGATTTGCATTCGTGTGATCTAACTAGTGTTGACAGATTGTGACGCGATAAAAATTTATTTGTTGTTTCCGGTCCAAAGCATTCGCCAGCTCCTCTCTTATTTGGACATACTGTATCAGACATAACTGGATCTGACCATAAAATGTCAATAATTTGCTTCCATTCTGTCTTAAAGTCAACATCATCATCAGCAGGTTGTGTAGGTGGACGGAGAATCGATATATACTATGATGGTATGAAAAATGTATGTAAGTAGTGACCATTGCATGTCAAGAAAGTTCTACAATTTACCTTGCTCCTTCTCACGCTAGCAATAAGATTTAAATCTGTATTTTCGGATATCCCACCGTGAACAACGAAAATTTTATTATTAATGAGCGTTCCAAGCGGCAAATGTCTATAAACTTGGTCTATTAATTTCAACAGGCGATCAGCATTATGACGGTATTTTTGATGAACTTCACGTGTAAATCCATAGCGATGATTCATGACTGAGTCCTCATGATTTCCACGATTCAACATTACGCATCCCGGAAAGATGAGGAAACATGACAAAAGAATTAGTAGAACTTCTAAGCTTTTCTTTCCTCGATCCACAAAATCTCCTATTCATTCAATCATCCATGGAGTCATAAAGTGATGAAAGAGACGAAAATATTTCATATAAATCATAGGATTAAAGTATCATAGCGTAGCCGTTGATTTATAAAGGCTTACTTACCATTGAACACATAACAGTTTGTGTGCGAAGGAAGGCCATTCTGAATTCCAAAAAACAACATAAAAATCATGTTAAAACCATTTATAAAGGAAGGAAACATAAAAAGGACGTAAGGTAAATGTTAAAGCATTAGTAAATGCTAATTAAATAAATTAACATCAGTACAACTTTATACAGTGTATAGCGCATAATAGCTTGTCGCAAATTTTGCCGTTCATACTACTTATTTTGGGCCTCGAATTTTCTAAAGTAGAAGTGCTATCTTTATGGCAAGAAATGCTATTTTATGAGTTTGGCACCAATATTAAGGTCGAATTCATTCATTTCTCAAAAATTCTCATAAATTTGATAAGCTTTATGATTAAAATAGCCTCACCTTATATAGAATAACCAAAAGATCATCAAGTTTTCCGTGTAAGTCACCAACAACAGTAACTGTTTTTGATCCCTTAATTTCAGTCGATGCTCGATTTATATTATCTAAACGACGCAATTTCTTTGCTGCTTCTCGTAGAATCAAAGCTACATAGCGTGCATGCAGATTATATTTGCGTTTTCTAAATAAATTGATTAAAATATCTAAATCTGGCTTCTCCAACGGAAGGTTTAGATGAGGTCCTTTGTAAACCTTTGGATCATCTACACCTTCATCCAATGAATCATCAGACTCGTCTAAAAATTCATCATCCAGTGACTCTGCTGACGATGTTGATAATTGATCGTCGTCCTTTATTTTCTTTGCCGCTTCTGGCATGTGCGTTAATAAGTCGTTGAAAAAATTGAACAGCTTCACTTGATCTTGCTCGGCTGAATATTCGATATTTTGGAATATTGTCCATGTATAGCGACGTTTCATCTCAATTCGTGCCATATAACGACGATACCATCGTTGAATGAGGAGTGTTGCTTTTATGACTGCAAAGAGAACAGAATTTGTAAATAATTACTAAGGATGTCTATACATATGAGTGTTTGTTATAGAGTATGGAGTCAGTCAGTTGAAATTGACTTGGCACGAGTTGATTTGACTATTTTTTAGAACTGTTGACTGTTCTATTTTCCAGATGAGTCTTTAAATGCCAATAAATTTAATTAAAAAGCAAATAAATATCCAAACTATTAAATTACAAGATAACTCAGTTTTATAGCAATTTTCCCTAATATTTATGACTAATTTCATTCGAGCTGCGACTCATTCAAGTTAAAATAATCCCTCGAAAAAAAAAAGTCATTATTTTAATTCAATAAGCTTTAATGTGGAAATATATACTGAACAGACATTCCCATATGATTTCGCAAATATTAATAAAATACACAGCATGTATAGCATATCAATAAAGTTTCAATAAATTAATTTTTATTATGATTAATGAGTGAGAAATAAGGGTTGAATTGTCGATAAACAATGAAATGCAAATGTTGATGAAAAGTTCATTAATATCTGTGAAAGATAATTAATTAAAGTCACGCCAATTATGCATCTCATTAGTCTTTATAAATATTTTACTGCCACAAAGCAGGTATAAATTTACTGAAGCAAAAAAAAAATTTAATCTCATGGGTGAAATAATTCCTTCATTTGCTTAACGTGCCATGTAATGTTTATCCTTCACTTGAATAACTTATTACTTAGTGTTTAGTGCACATGTAAATACACTAAAGCAGATGCATTTAATTATGTTCTTTTGAAGACCTTTTTGTGCCTTACAAGAAGAACTTTTTTAATTATTCAAAGAATCTTTTAGCAAACTTTTCAGAAAAAGTTATTGTCTTATAATCAGTTTGAGTGCTTATGCATTATAAACTTTAAAATATGAAATCAAAAGCAATTCAAAATTTGTGTTCATTAGGGGTCGTTCACTTATGACGTCAGAAATTAACGGTCTTTTTTTCAAAAAAGAACAATGGATTTCCAGGAATTTCTATTGTTCTTTTCACCGACTATGAAGTCGAATTAAGCACACATCACTGTAAAATACTTAAAATTAAAGATTTAAAAAGATTTAATTTTACGCTTAGTTATTTTAAAAATAGAATTTGAGTTTTTTTTAAAGAAGTACGGTGATGCAAAATAAATATCTAATGTACAGAATTAGAATTGTCAATTTTTATAAGTCAAGAAATAGAACTGAAGTGCAGCCGTAAGGTCATTTACTAAGAAATAATCCACAAAATTTAGACCACAAATTTCATCATGTATGGATAGAATCGTTAGTAAATTAATATGCTTCAAAAAGTTTATATTCATATCCACTATAAAGCTATTGTCACTAATCATAAAATAGATGCGTTTAAAACATTTGCATTCAAATTCTTCCAAACACTTTTTTGTCGTCAATCATAAAGCTAATTAGGATTCTCTTTTGGCAACTAGCAAGCAATATAAAGCTTTGTCTCTTTTATCTCAAAGTTTCATTTCATTATGCTAAAGAACACAAGTGGCACAAGACAAAAAAGTTTTGTTTCATAAAGGCTATAAAAGTTAAATTGTACCCAATTCCATCCTTGGTCGTCGTCTCCTTCCACATAATATTTGGCCCATTGCGAGATTCTTTTTCAAATATAATTTCACTTTTCTTTTGCTGTGTTATTTTTATATTTGTTTTTATTTTTTATTAATCTTAATTTAATTTTCAGACATTATTATTGATTTTACGAGTCACAATAGAATTTTTTTCGCACAACTTTTTTATATCTTGTTAGGTACACGTTCTTCTCGCACACGTTTAATAAGACATCCGTTTTTAAGTAATGCTAATTATTTAACGCTTGATAATAAATTAAATTAGAATGAAAATTTCACAGCAAAGCCTTCTTTATCAGCTCGAGTTATAAACGAAATAATAACACCATGCAAGGCAGCAGGCAAGGCACACAAAGCGAACAGAAGAGAGGAATTAAATTTAATTAAAACTTCGCTCAAGGTAAATTTCAATGTTTATTTGAAATGGCTTGATTATAAAACTTTGTCCTAAATGACTTCCTTGCAGCATTATGAAGTTGTATTAATGCCTTTTAAATAATTCACACTAATGCCTCTTATCCTTTAATGATGCGATACTGTTCAAGCTTTATAAATTCCTTTTTCTCTACTTCGTTATGTCTATTTATTATTCTTTTTATGGTTGAATGAAAGTGCACAACGTCTAGAGTTCATTCTAGTTACGAGGAAATGTAAACAAAAGAGAGAAAAGCCTTCGCCGTAAAAAAGCAGAAAATAAACTGAAAAGCAAACAGAGAATTTCCATGTCACGTCGAAGTATATAGTGGTTAAAAGGATGATCGAGAAAACAAATGTGTTGAAAGTTCAGTGTCGTCTCTCTATTTTACTAGTCAACTTTTTACACATATTATTTCACATTCTTCTTTCATTGGCACGCGCCCACCATTCACTGTCAATAATTAATTAGATTTAATTTCATTTCTTCCACCTATTCGAGGTGTTTTTTTTTTACATTCGATTCTCATCGAAATCGAAATTGAAATCGTAAAGAAGAAAAGAAACACGACGACTTAACAAATTATCAGTAAAAGAAATGTGTTTGTCTTTTCCCATGATAATGATACAAGCATGCAATCGACACTCAGATATGTATATGTGAATAAAATAAAGTGAAAATAGAAAGGCAGGAAAAACAAAATTGATAGATAAATATTCAGTATAAGATAGGGTTTCCTATTTTTCTGCCATTTGCTCTCGTTAAATGTGAGAAATTAATTCTTTATCAGCTAATAAATTTTCTTAGATATCATTACATTTTATATGCTCATACAGTATCACCCAAATCCCGATCAAGTAATGTTCTGATTAGCGGTGAAATGGCATCAGTAGCCTAAGTGGTAGAGCATTTCAAAAAATCGAGTTTTGTCGACATAAATGAAAAAAAAAAATATACAAGAAGAAAAGTTACACAAAATGAAATTATGTTCATATTTGTTGTAATGAAACTATAATTTAATCGAAAGTTTCAATTGATAGTTATCAAAGCATTTCAAAACATTGTAGAAGAATTTCATTAGTTTTGCCACAATAAAGGATTCACAATGTTCATAAAACCCAAACGAAAATAATCATATTAGATCGAAAAGATTGAAATCAAATTGCAATAAAGTTTTACGACGGGATTTCAATAGATTCATTTAGATTGTATTCTTTACAAATTTGTTCCCTTATAAACTATTCATGATATTTACTTTTATGAGAAATCCATAATGATAACTCGCTGGTGTGAACAAATATTGTGATGATGGTTTTACAGATATGAGAACTTGAAAAGTCCAATCAAACTGTGTCTTTGCATGCAAGCACACATAAAAAATATACGTTGGTTCTAAGAGGTTTAGTAATCGAGTCTTATAAATTTTCTGGTGTCAGGTGAAACAAAAATTGGGATCACTAAAAAGATATAAGGTTCAAGATGTAATAGTTTCACAGAAAAGAGGAAGTCGAAATTGTCATATTTGAATTAATGATCCTTAAAGATTGAATTCCATTAATTCTTCATTTTTGTCTTTGCTTAAAGTTTTGTGGCTTTAAATTTCAAATCAAGGATCTTTTTTTTTCAGTTCCAAATCCTTGTTTTCTATGACATTGAATCCAGATTTTGTTAATTCTGACTTTTCATTATAAAAATCTTTCGACAATAAGTACTAAATGCATCAAGATGTGTAAATGTTTCCTCTATAATCACAAAACTGTTATGCACACATTACTCATACCGCAACATATCGTCTGGAAAGTTGTTTACGTGAAAATTAAGTTGAAAACTTTCAAAAAATAACATTGAAGCGAATAATTAGTTTTTTCGAGTTTGAATGAGCTTGAAATAATTTTTCAGCAAACTTGTTTGATTCAAATTTCCGCATAAGCTTTTCTTGAATACATAATGAATTGACTGATTGAAAATAATTACTGCTGAATTTTTACCTGCATAATAAATCGAGTTATGATAAATTCATTATTCTATATTTTGAAATTCCGCATGTCATGCTTTATTAAATCGAGTTTTCCTACTATGGGCAGTAAATTACAGGAGCAATCAATGTACACATTTTCCATATAAATGGAACAAAAACGCTCGTTTAGAGAAAAAAAAAATAAATACAAACATGCTAAAAATGAAATTACGGTTTTGCCGCAAATTCCTTGCTTATATAAATAAATAGAAAAAGAATTTTTTCAATGAACACTGACCCTCAATTTTATACATGAATGAAAATCAATATATTCATTCTGAGCCATTCTGAGGTTTGAAGTCAAGAATATATAATTCATTGTAGATAAAAAAAATCTAAAAAATGTTTTTGTTTTTAGAGTCAGTCACTTTTAAATATTCCTTGAAGTGGAAAATTAAATTTTTAACATAGTCCATGAGACGTATTTTTCCATTCTATACACAAAAACATCTTTGCTCCTCAAAATGACATTACAGTAAATTTTTTATGTCCACTGACCTTAATCTAATTTATCGAATTTATATTCATTTACGTTATTTTCCTTCATTCCTCTTTCTCTTTGATATTATTCTCATGCTTACTTATTGTATATAAAATAAAGTGAGACATAAATGGAAAATGAACATGAATGAGCGAAATATGAGGAAATGAATTAAATTAAGTTTTTGTAAAAGGACTTAAAAGTAATTTCATTACCAAATTTTTGGCACATTTAAAGTATTTTTTTGAAATTTTCGTGCCGTTTTATGTTTTGGATGATATTAAAAATGTCTGCCCCTGCACAATTTTCCTTAGTATGTGCTATACTGTTAACTGTGTTTGAATTCATTTAATAGTTTAAGACAATTTAAAGAATCAGTTAATTTTGTGTAAATATTTCGTTTAATATGATCTCAACTGGAACTACTTTCGATTTATTTCTACTAAATAAATTCACTTCAAAAACTCAACAAATAAAATAATAATGCGCTCAATTCATCCATCAAAGCATCTCAAAATTTTCCATATTTTCCATAAAATTCTTAATTAAATTTTAATATCTAAAGATGGAAAAATTATTCCAGTTTGATTGAAATTTTTT